CACGACCTCATTTTGTTACACTCACGAACTATAAGGAACATATTATGATATTAGCTGGGAACTTGCTGTGTTTACATTAGTCGAAATGAAACACAGGATTTACTACACCGCTGCTATGCGGCAGAGATATTGTATAAGATAATAATAGTAATAAATTGAAGTTTAAGAACACCACTATTAAGGTAAACTTATACTCAGCAGCGTTTAATCTAGTCATCCCAGAAACTATCATGATAAAAGTTAGTACTGCTATCATATACTTGAAAATATATCGTTCATACTAAAATCAGAGAGTGAAGCTTAAAATTAAAGAACTAACACTATATGTAGGCCAAAATCAGTGATTGATAAAGTTTTTCAAGTTCATACTGAGACAATTTGAACTTTTGAATAAGAAAGTTTTTAGAAATGCTTTAAAGGATTCCAGGAATTCAGCTGATATGATGGTAGTAGGCAGACGGTTGTAAATCTTAGGAGCCACCACTGAGAAGCTTCGCTCACCAAACTTACTAGAGTTAAACGATGGAACCATAAGTTTTAATGTGTGACCGTGATGAGTGTACCGAAACATGTCTTGAATATACGTTGGAGCGAGCCCTAATAAATAATAATGACTTGTGAGACAGCAGTAATATTTTGAAAACAATCCTTTTCTTTACATCCAGCCAGTGAAGATTAGTCAGGTCGTCTTCCAGATGGTAAACTAAATATATTACACAATACGGTTCTCATGCCATGCTTGAATGGTTAGTCTTGATTACTACATCTTATTAACGAGACTGATTAGTGATTCAAGAGACTGATGATGCTGAAACCCCTATCGTGATACTAATGGAGATTGGCTGGTAATACCTTAATACAATATTTGTTCTGCAGAAAAATGTACCATCAGGACTGCATAATAGATAGGGTGATTTAGGGAGGAAATAGGGAGTATTGCGTACTGAGTAGATACTCTACAATATTGTAGTTCTTCCGGAGTCCGGAACCCCCTCAAAAATTTGGTCACAGGCCCTAGTTTATTGACAGCATCAAAAATACAGTTATTTATGATTGGCAACATATAATATGATCATTAAATTTTAATATTGAGTTGTCTAGAAAGTTTTTGGCAAGAGTCCAGATTGATAACATGTATCCAATTTTTATGGGAAATGACCGGCTAACAGCGGTCGTTTTATCTCCAAATAAAGCCTCGCGAATTGGAACATTTCACTTCTAGATTTACTCAAAGTGTAGTTTCGGTACAAAAACACACACGCCTTGAACTTGGCCAGTCAAGTTATTCAATATTGGATGCATAATATGATGTTGCTATAACTGCAAACGTGTAAAATTGTACATCAGATTGTATAGTTTACAGTGTCCAGTGAAGATCTAACCCAGCAAAAATCGAACTAAGATCTGGACGGCACTTAGCAGCTGGTTTTCAGAATTTTATAATTATTAAACGTGGCAACGTTGTAATTACATCATGCAACTTCTTCTACACTTCCTAACAAAAATGTGACGTATTTTTGGAATTTCTTGTAATCTTTTCCGTGGAATCGGAAGTTTCCTGGTATCTGTACGTGTACTATTGCTCAGTGGTATGTTCAACTCGCTCTCCGTTTTACTGAACTATACACTATAATAGAATGGAACTTTAATAATGCGATCATAGCTGTTGCCAATTATATATGAGAAAATGATAATCAATTCATTTTACACATTTTATGTCTTGACACACACTATTATATATATGTTCAAAACTTACTGCAACAAAGCCTACGCTCCTTATTGTAGATACAATATGTTAAAATATAATATGTTAAAATATAATATGTTAACATATTATATTTTAGATTTCCCTTAGCCACTAGCTTCAAGTTCTCACCAAGTTAAGTTTAATATTAATTGCATAAGTTAAGTTTAAGTATACATAATATCAAGTTTCTAGATCGCTCCAGCTGGCACATGAGACTAAACCAACCTTTTACAGTAGCTACTTAGCGAGTTAGTGAGGTGAGAACTACTAGTTATATACTTAGTGAGGTGTTAGGACCGGCTCCAACCTTTACCACGGTATAGTGTAAACTATATAGTATATATTATGTATTTATCTAAGTAGATATATTTGGTTGGTCTGATTGGTTGGATGGTTGTAGAAGCCGTCCCCAATCTCATATCGGAAAATTATCCCAACTAAAATCTGACAAGTTGAAAAATACCATACTTGGCACCGTTATTGTCTGGTTTCTTTAAGTTTGCAGAAATGGTGATACCTCTACCAAATCACCAGACTGGAGGCTGGAGAGGTTTTTTAGATCGCGATCAATCTTTGTGTTCTTGTTACATGTAACTTATTTGTTTTAAAGAAGTGAGCTTCAAGTTATTTGATATTTACTTCTGCCAAAAAATGATCCAACGAAATAACGTCGATTGATAAATTTCCCTTTTTAAACGACAGTCGTTGAACTGAAGAGGTATGCATTAATCAACATCAGCTTTATGAATGCTGCAGACTGCAGAGTCTACGACTACAGGATTGTATCTTGTAACATCGAATTCTGTTATCAACCATTATATAATCGCATCACCGTCCACCTTATATTTTCACGCCCACCACCACTATCAGTTCTCAACTCCACACGGATATGGTAACTTGGTTACATCCTGATGTTTCCTTTCTTAACCACTTATGACTCAGTTCGTGAAGATGGGCCCGAAGAATTAATCACGATGGACCTGATGATTTAATCTTACCGGTAGATCGCTGCACCTGACCATCACACTATAATACAAGACATCGGAACAATTTCGTAACGCACAAAAACATGGTACACGAAGTTTTTCTATGAATACAAGTCTTAGGGCTATGGGTAGAAGTGGGTGAGGATACCCAACAATGTTATGAAAAGGTGGTAACATTATATGTGCACGGTGGTGAAGTTATTTATGGTATACAGCTGCTGCAACTAAAATCTTATTGTAATGTTGGGGAGGACCTAGTCCCCACATGTTTCTAGAGTCCAGCTTACGTGTTCCTAAGTTGTCATATGGTGGATTCGTGTAGTGTTATTGAGTCTCATGATTTTATAGAGTTATAGTTCTTTTATTCAAATTTATGATTGTTTCTGAATAGACTCAGTGAAGACAGATTCTAATGGAAATAAATAGCTGAATAACGTATCGACATTTCTACGTCATACTCATATTGTGAAATAGTATTAATTCAATTATAACGATCAATATGTACATTAAAAATTTGACGACGAAATTTATTTCAAACAAAATATATAACTGTAAAATAGTTATCCACTGTAAAACAGTGGATTTTACAGTTTTATATTTGAGAGCTGTTGCTTTGCAGATGGCATACTGTACTTACTGGTTCGAGGATTCCGTCGTCAAAATTTGAAAATTCGAATATTTTAGACCACGCCCATTCAATATTAAAACACCTATATTGTTTTCTCTTAACATACTGAACGCCTTATTTTTTCAGAGACGGTAGATTGTTAAATGTTGCATATGATCTGAAAATATGAGGCAAAACGGATTAGAAATGACAAAGTTATCAAGCATTTTCTGTATCTCGTTAACAAAATTGACTGGGTGATTATGTAACACCGTGACACGACACCTTAATTGGGCACCCTTAACAATTCCCATAATGTTTAACGGGGTGGTTGACGGGGTCACCTAATCACGTGATTAGGTATTTAACCATTCACCTGATCACACGTAATGAATAAACTCGTTATGCTTCATATCTCGGTCATCTGAGAAGCTAAAGTTCTAATTTTTTCAGGACAAACGTAATTCGAATGGCCAAACACAATTCAATAAAATTCAGCTCGATCCGACTATCCAAACTATCAAGGGGGGGGGGGGCCAAGTGGATATTTGTAGATATTTGGATAATGTCATCCACTTTTTTCGTGAATTATCCATTACAATAATCTACAAATATCTACATTTATCTACAAAAAATGTATATCTCAAATATGTGCCCAGAAATTCTACTGAATTTTTGGAGATAAATGTATAAATTTGTAGAATTTGTAGAATTTTCGTGAATTATGCATTGACAATAATCTACAAATATCTAAATTTATCTACAAAAAATGTAATCTCAAATATGTGCCCAGAAATTCTACTGAATTTTTGGAGATAAATGTATAAATTTGTAGAATGTCATCCACTTTTTTCGTGGATTATCCATCCTACATTAATCTACAAATATCTACAAATATCCACTTGGCTCCCCCCCCCCCCTATCAAATAAATGCAAAAATGAACTTTCATTTGAAACAAATGAACTCGAATATTCTTCGATTTGACAAATTCCTCGAACCAGTGATGGTAGTAAGTCATACCAGAAAGAATTATTTCAATTGGGCACTCAGTGACTGAGCTATTAAGGCCAACGTATGCCCACTGACTTTTGGCCCACCCTGTAAATTAGTATAATATATGTACCTAAGGAGACATATTTATGAGGGTACCCGGTACAAATTGATGGCGGGCGGAATAATTGAATGGTGGTCTGAAAATATGGGATTTTTCCCGGAAATCCCCAAATGTAGTTACAATTATATATGTCTCCTGAGGAACAACTAATAGTTGATTAAACACTATTCGCTGTATAGTTGAAGTATACAGTGAATAGTGTTTAATCATGTTCGTTTATGTTCTCTCCTGACGAATTATAAAACTCACCATCAGTTGATAGTGAGCTGTCCACTTAAAATCAGTCAACTACCACTTTATTTGATGTATTCTTGGAAATATTGGGCACTTTAAGATTTATTATTAAAGGAGACTACTTAAGGACTTTAGGAGATTGTACTATAAGTTCATACAGTATCAATCAAGCAAAATATTTGAGTAAACTGTACAAGGATAATATAACATTGTCTGGGAATCATCAAAAATACAGTTATCTATAATTGTACAATCGTTTGATACGATTTATTAAATAGAACATTAATAATAGCAAGTTTTCAAATTTTCAGAGGGTTTGGGTTTGTGGTGTTCATGGAACCGGAGGTACTGGACACTATACTAGAACAGAAACACTCCCTTGACGGTCGAGAGGTTAGTTCACTGTTATTTTTAAACTCACGGAGCCTAAGAGAAGTTATTTTGAGGATTCCGGCTGGTGATATTTTTTAAATGCGTTTTATTTAATAGTTTAATACTCTAATTTGACGGTTTATTAGACATTATATTCCGTGGTAAAAATGTGAATTTTAATTTTAAACCCTGGCCCTGGACGGGCTAGAAAGTTTGATTTCCGATCTGGGATCGGATTATTTTACCCACCATCTGATCTTATCGTTTTATCTTCAGATTGAAGTGAAAAGAGCGATAACGATGAAGGAGAAGTTCTCTACTAACAAGCTCTTTGTGGGAGGCCTGCCTCCCAAACTGCCAAACGAGGATGTGGTGGACTTTTTCAAGAGTTTCGGCGAGGTTTGTTGTTTTGTAATGTGGTTTCTGTTTTACTAGTAGTACGCTAATATTTGTCTGTTCTTATTCGTTTATTTCAGTTTGTCACGCTGTCTTGTTGAAAACCGCAAATTATTTTTAATATACAGAGGGGCGGGGCCAATATATCTTGGGTCTTACAACATAGTGATGTTTCATATTTGATCTCTTACTTTTCAGATGGTATACTGTAACTACTCATTCGAGGATTCCGTCGTCAAAATTTTAAAAGTAGATTTTCATAGACCACACCCAATCTTACCTTTCAAAAGTATCTTCCTTCTCGGTACTTCTGCACAAAACATTGAATCGTTTATAATCGTGTTTGCGGAAATGCTAAAAAGTCCATTTGAAATTGAACATGTTTCAATAGGTCATTGAATCAGGAATATGATCTGAAAAGGTGACGCGAAACGGATTTAAAATGACTTTATCGAGCAATTTGTTTATCTCGTTAGCAAAATCGATCGATTGGGTAATCATCTGATAGCGTGCTACGACACCGTTATGAGTAATTGGGCTTGCTTTCCGCACGATTTCCATAGTGTGGATCTGCATGATATGCAATATTCCCAGTTTCAACCGAACCACACGATCCCACGTAATACAATAAAAGATAAACTGTTTAAATGTCTCGCCGTCTCGGTCATCCGAGTAGTTACTAGTTAGAGCCCCCATTTTGTGGACAAGTGTATTTTATAATACCAAACACAATGCGTTACAATGTTGTATGTAACTATATTACAGATCATAGTATTATTAGTCATGTTAAAAGTATTATTTCTGTTTTTATCTGTTTGCTTTTATATCTCTTTAGAGTCTTAGGCAATCATATCAGTGTAATCTCGTAAGATACAGAGTTATATCTCTCTCTCTCCCTCTCTCTCTCTCTCTCTCTCTCTCTCTCTCTCTCTCTCTCTCTCTCTCTCTCTCTCTCTCTCTCTCTCTCTCTCTCTCTCTCTCTCTCTCTCTCTCTCTCTCTCTCTCTCTCTCTCTCTCTCTCTCTCTCTCTCTCTCTCTCTCTCTCTCTCTCTCTCTCTCTCTTTTTCTCGCTTTCTGTAATAGTTTGATGGTACGGTTATATGGATAATAGGTTTAAGGCTTAATTTAATACTGGGAAATATTTGATATAATCTCGAGATCTAACCATGATCTGATGAGTTTTGAATCAATAAATGGTGCTTTTAATGTGCTGCAGGATGCTTCTTATGTGATTCCTGTTCTTTTGGTGCCCGGGCAACCTAACTAATGCCAAAATTTACATTATAATTGTATTTATATATAGAACAACGGTCAACGAAATGCAATCAATCGCAAAAAAAAAGAAAGCCCAATTCTCAGAAAAACAACATTTTCTTTTAAACACCATAATTGGAACTCTACCTATATTCAAGCTCATAAGTAGTAAGTACCAATATAATATCACAAACACAATTCCAATACCAATTCCAATACCAATTCTAATTGTAATTGTAATCGTAAATTTTTCATTTTAATTCTAAACCTAAATCTAACCTATCAGATAAACATGTTTCATAAAGCTTGTACGTCATAACATGTCAACTGTTAGTGGTATATTTATAAATAACATTTAAAATTCAAGTTAAAAGAATTTCTTATTTCAACAAAATGTGTCTTCAGCTTGCTATTTGAGGTTCTGCGTAGTATTTGAGCAAACTGAAAATTGACGTATAAGTGATACGAAAATGTATATCAGCAGGAGCTTGCAACAAAGCGTGATAATCGTCTTCAGCTTGTTATTTTAGGTTAAATGTGTAAATCATTTGAGCAAATTGACGTCAAAAGAGCTGAGAGACGTGATTATATATTCTGTAGCCAGTTTGTGACTCTGGTAGTGGTGGTGAACTTATTTTGTGTGTTAAGAGAGCTACCAGTTCTGTTAGATCATGTAGATTGCAGTACACGTATTATAACTGTGCAGTTGTTCACTGTGAACAGATCAGAACAGCATCGTAATAGAATTGTTGCACAATCTCACTCCCTCGGTAATGGTAATGGGTTTTTCAATAATATTACGATAGATTCTGCAGCAGAGTGGGCAGTGAGTGGTGGCCTGTATTATTCAAGGGCGTGGTCTTTCTCTGGAGCCCTATTATTATGTTGCAGAATCAATTCTGTGGTAGTGGATATTATTCTCTCTCTCTCTCTCTCTCTCTCTCTCTCTCTCTCTCTCTCTCTCTCTCTCTCTCTCTCTCTCTCTCTCTCTCTCTCTCTCTCTCTCTCTCTCTCTCTCTCTCTCTCTCTCTCTCTCTCTCTCTCTCTCTCTCTCTCTCTCTCTCTCTCTCTCTCTCTCTCTCTCTCTCTCTCTCTCTCTCTCTCTCTCTCTCTCTCTCTCTCTCTCTCGTCTTGCAGGCTTCAGTAATGATGTAATCTGTAATATGTGGACTAAAGTGGTATGGGACTGACTTTGCTGTTTAACTGCGATCTCCAACTTTATTAATAATTTGATACAGCTCGCAAACCATGAACCATTTATAATTCTCTTTACCATTTATTATGTAGACTAGACTTAGTTAATAGATCATATCAACGTTGATTGTTGTAAATTGTACATTAAAATGTAGCATAACCACTGTTGTGGCCAGTATACAAATTACCTGTGGTACAAATTACCTGAAATGTTGACACAGCGGCGATGGGATCCGGTGTTTTGCAAGAAATTGTGCTGTAAAATATCAAATCTTATCAATGTATGAACCTTTTGACGTCTAAATTGGAAATATTATCATACATTCATCGTGTTAAGTGTCCATTATATATAATATAATGGAACCGCAGCAAAAAATAATATTCTACCAGGCCGGCAGACATATTGTGGTGATGGCAATAATGTCCCAAAACTGTTCTTTTCTAATTATAATAATTAGATTTAATGTTTAATACTCCATACTTACTGGAACCTATCGACCCTCCCCTTCTTATCTGACGAAGCAAAAAAAGATTACCAACATGACGAAACAATTCCTAGAAATATATTTGTGGAGAGTGTTAAATAATTTGTAATACCGAGAAATGGCGTAATTTTAAAACGTTTTAAATATAGGTATGATTCGGCATATGTTTCGATAAAAATTTCTAATGGGAAAATATTGACGACAATTTTAACCAGAACTAGTTAATCGTCAACCTGGACAATTATGTGGTTTTAAAAGACCGTGGTTCAATAAAATCAGGTGCATTGACTTTTTGGCGAACTTTGTAAATATAAGGACGAATATAAGTTGAGCACTAAGTCAGACTTTGCTCTGACTCTGGCTACTATTGAGCTTATAATGAAGGAATTAATACGCTCTTTAGTTTAGAAAATACCTGAACGATGGTTACAAGCAGTAGTTTATTTCGGTATATCTCATTAAATACATTTAACGATCGGATTCTTCCTCCAGCACAAGTACTAGCAAAACTTAACACCCTATTCCAGGGTGTCAACATGCCAAAAACAGATATCACCGTGAAACTGTTGTTTTGTTTACAAATGGGTCCACTTTCCACAATACACAGGTGGAACCCTACTGTAGTGTACAGATACTACTAACTACATGTGCATACCACGGAACTAATGATCCATTACCTGTACAAAGAGGGGACACTTAATATGTAGATGTAATAGCGAAGAAAGTTGGAACAGTGCCAAGTTGTTAATACCACCCTTGCCCCTGGCCCGTTATGGGGATAATTTTCAACACAGCGAATAAGTGACTTAATGGACGGGCAGATACCGCGGGAGGGATTAAAGTTACACACGGCCCCTTTGGCCTGGGATATATCCAAATTACACAGCAACTTTGTAATGATATATGCATTTTGGCTGAAGTCCAAATGACTGCGGAGATCTTGCTACATGCCACTACTGCACAGTGCTCTCTCTCTCTCTCGCTCTCTCTCTCTCTCTCTATTTCGAGATGATGTCGCTCCTTGTAACTGTTACTCTGTGCGGTGCGAGAAAACTTTAGGAAACATATTATTCTACTGTAATAATTAGTCGGTCAATGTCCGTGTGAGCGTGTGTGTGGAAGTGTGATATTGAGATTTGTGTGTGTATAATGTAAATATATGTGTATTTTGCTACTCGATATCCGTAAGTGTTGCAAATATGTGGGCGGCTAGAACTGACGCGCCGAACGGCAAATTCTTAGATTAGCTGCGCGCAAAAACACGTGTATTATTATTACACTAGCTATGCAAGCTAGATATACCGAGACTGTTCAATGCTGTACTGGGAGTTTCTTCTCGACCAAATAGAAGTAGAATAATTAGAATTTGGAACTATTCACGTGGACTTACTTTTGAAATTAACCTAGATCGAGTCTATTCTATAATGCGATTTCCTTCTCAACCAAAATATATATGTAGAACCATTGGAACTGTGGACTTATTTTTGCCACCGAATCCAGATTCCAGACTGAATTTTCTCAGTTGTAAAGAAGGCCAATTTTTCCGCCAACTATAGGTCATTATTTAGTGCCGGAGGAGACGATGTTTTCAACAAAAAAAACCTGCATCCCTACATACATGAGTTAACTCGGCGAACAAAAAAAACGTAGAAGAGTAGTAAAGCCGAGAAGTTCCCTTTTACTTGTACTAGCTTGATGCACTATCAATAAAATTAAGCTGAAATATCTTCAGTGGTTATCGTTGATTTTGATAGCTTTATCCCGTATAGTATAGTATCCAGTATAATGGTTGATAGCATGATTTAATCAGAGTGAGTTCCCCAAAGGATATGTTTTAGTTAAGATGGTGTGCTCTCAGCGCAAAGCAATCTGCATCTTGCAAAATCATGCCTAAACATGGAAGTTATTGCACGATTCAAATTTAGAGGTATTTAAGATCGCAAAGTAATTAGCTATTTTTGGAAGGAGCGACTCCTTGAGAGATCATTATCATATTATATACTGCAGTAACTTCCATTACCAGCCCCGCCCGGCCGCCCTGCGCACTAGAGGAAGACTTTTTGATTAGGATTCCTTTGTAAGTTAGGTGAATGCTGATTACAGGGGCCGGGAAGACATACCATTGCAAACTACACTATTTGAATTATATTACTGTAACATGCACTTGGCACTTATGTTAATGACCGAGAAGATTAATATATGGGGTAACCGCATAGAATGTAGAATTGGGTGACGAGGACAACAAGATATCACGTACTATATTGAGTTAGTCAATGCTGGAGGAATGTACAGATATAATTAACATTCTATTGAGGTGGCACCAAGAAGACTAAAACTAAGTGTAAAGTGCCTTCTTTGTGTTGACATAACAGTGTGTGCTATTTAACCAACTACCCTAACTTTGTTCCAACTTCCAGCTCATTCTGTAAGAAGAAACTAACAGCATGAACCATCAGGTCCAAGACGTTGAATGGGTTGTGGACAGAGTAACTGGAAACAGGAAAGGGTTCTGTTTTGTCATCTTCACCGATCCCGGATCTGTGGAAGAGGTTACTGACGGCAAGATCCCTCCTCAGTCTCAAAAACATGAAATTAAGGTAAAATTTTTTAAATTTATTTTTTTAAAGAATCATAACATTTTGTAGTGGCAAGATGTTTGGTCACGATTGAGTTTATTTCATAAGTTCTGAGTCGATGATACTTATAATTTCAATTCATTACAAAATGATAACATGCCACTGAGCAGGGGTACACTGTGGAATGCAAGAAGAAGTTCCCTGATAACCACCCAGTCCAGAAGAAGATTAAACGTATCCAGCAGCAGAAAAAGGAACGGGCTATGGCGCATGATTACATGGGCCAGGATTACATGGGTACGGTACTGATAACTTTTATTGAACATTTTAATGTTTGGTAAAACTTTCAAGAAAACTAGATAAACTGATAAAGTTAAAGTTTTAACTTCGTCTAGTTTTCTACATTAAACATTAAAATGTTTTAGCTTTGAGGTTGAGTGCTGCAATAATTCAAGCTAGTTTCTGATTTACTATTGTTTATTTATTATATTATATTATTTAATTATTATGCTTGTTTAAAATATATTACCCACTTTACCACACAGCTTATGGATATGATTACTACAATGGACAGTACTACGATGGACAGTACTTTGGTTACGGATACCCTTCTTACGGGTACAGCTATCCTGGCAATGGCAACTATCCTGAGAGCAGATATGGTATGATGGAACGTTACTTTTTATCAATAATATCAATAATCTGGGATGATAGATTCCATCCTGAATTGAATATGAATATTTGAAATTCCTCCCGAAGCATGAATTTCAATCAAATTCATTACTAGGAATTTATAACATTCCTTTTTAGTAGCAACACCGAACAAGACCTCGTACGCTCAGACCCCCTATCGTATCAGCCCCTCCGTCTCCAACTAATCCTCGTCAAGATGTCAAACCACGTGACATGACGTCACACCACGTGACATGACGTCACACACCTTTTCAAATTGGCCTTCGTTTCTACATCAGCAATACTGAATCTACAATATATTAATTAGTATGTTATTCTTACTAGCGATCGCCCCAGCCTCTTGTCGACCTGGTCCGGAAATCGTCGTGTAATGGATTCTAGACCAGTGTCTAGGCGGCAATCATCTGAGGCTGTAATTAGAAAAGTTGAAATTTGTCGACTTATTCGATTCTTAAGTGGGCATAAAACTTTACCATAGGTATCCGGATTAAACGGTGGGCCAGAATTAGCTTTACTTCGACTGATCCAGACTTCTGCTACTGGCTAAGCAGGAGAACTGCTCGATCTGCACGAGTACATGAAGTTAATTTTGGTCCAATCTGTTGAACGATAATGGGATTCTTTAGCCAGATGTATCGTTTGTACTCGAATTGTTTATTTCCCCTATATATTGGAAAATATTGTTTGAATATATTCGACAATATCTTGTCGACTAAAATTAAGGAGCTGATAACAATCTTATAATTGAAAAGCTTTATTAATGAAGGGTATCGGAAACATTGCGATTAGGCTAATTGAAAGCCAATTAGGCTAATTAAAGGCCGTTATTAGAGAAGTGGAGATTATGGTAGGTTGTGCTGATATGTCACTAAGATGTTATCCACTCGGCTTTCTCTCTCTCTCTCTCTCTGTTTAGTAGTGATTTGACGTTCCTTGATATATTCCGTCATGAATTTTGATATCTTGAGAGTATGCGTTCCTTCAACAGAGCTTAGTTCTTTAAAAAGAGGTAAATCACTTCGTTACCGTAATTAAGTATTTTAGTATTACGATGTTTCTTGTATTAACTATTATTGTTTACAGTATATATTGTATCGGCACATGTGACTTCCTGCTTCTTACTGATATTATTGTTTTTAGGAGGGCTGTGTTGTGTATGTTAAACGTTATTTTTTCGATAGTTGACCGTTCATAAATACTGAGAAACATCCCTTTCGATGTCGAGAATAAATAAAAGAAAAGGGCTGCCCAAAATTAACTCTGTACTGTGGGAAATAGGCGGTTCTTGTTTTGTCCGGATAAGGATGAGTTAATTTTGGGGCACCCAGAAAAATTTCAGAATATTTTACAGAACGGTCAGCTTTGATTAATTAGTGTGATGCTCAGGGTCGCTTTTATAATCCGTTTCTATTTATTGGTCACAAACAGGACAAGAGTGCCCTGGAGAGCAGGGAAAGAAAAATAGGAGTATCGTGTTGTTGTGCTGCATTCTGCATTCTGTGGGAAATTTTGGTGGGATTTTCAGTTGATTGTTAAAGGTTTCAAGAGTTGAGTCTGAGAAAATTCCCCTCAATGCGGTCTGTGGTAGGGCTGTTATTCAGTGCGTTATGATATTGTTGTTAGGATGAGATCTTGATCATATTCGTATGATTTTGATGACAATATAATATACATCATAGTGCCTGACCTCTTTTTTCTTCTTCTAATTCTATAAGATTTTTACCAGATCGTTAAAAAGAAAGTTGATCTACCGATTTCGAGGACTGTTTTCTAAAATAGTGTGCACAGTACCAGATTGTAAAGTTTAATGATTACAAAAAATCGTAAAAAGTTTTGAAAGGGTCACATATTAAAGTAGGGCTAACCAATTGTATTAGATAGGCAGAAAGAGGCTATTTGCTCAAGAAAGGGCATTTAGATTCCCCGCTACCATAACTTTTCATCGTACGTGTTTATCGTTTACTGGAATGTGTTTTCCTCCAGCTTTTTCACTAGATAGGCCGAAATTGATGTAACATCGTGATTTTTGTTCTTGAACAAAAATCAAGTACCGTGCTCTACCATCTACGTACTTAATCGATGTAGCGTTAATTTTGGCCCTATGATATGAGTTTTTGAGGTGATGATGGTAGTGGACCCTCTATATATGGTTTATTATTGTACCAAGTGTTATGTGGTAAATTGAGTGCACACGCTACCATGTAGCAACTAGATTTGCACACCAGGCCTAGCTCGGATTTTTCTAGATTTGGGTAGGCGTCTCATGGGATGTTTTGACACGTGCGGTTTTGTGCTCGTGCGAGTTCATGCTGCACGTGCAGATCGCGCGTGTCATCACCTGACCTGTTGTCGCGTGTAAAGACGGACTTGTCGTGCCTACTCGAGGATAGTTTTATCCACAATAATTATTGCAGGATTTGTATCTCTTGTCTTTAAATGTAGTGTGGTATATCATTAAACTTAATTTTAAAGTAAAGGATGGATATTATTAATAGAATATAGCTATCCGTGTAGATTGTTGTATAACGTTGATATAGTTAGAGACTGATTTAAACTTTACCAAGTATTATGGGGATATTGAAATTTTGGAGATCTCTGTTGAATTAGTTTCCATAAACAATTCTTAAGATAGATAAGTGGACTGGCACCTATTAACAGTTCGCCTTTGATTTGTAATGTTGTTTTAATGACAGCAGTTTGTTAGAATACTGATATAGATTTGTAGCTTAATATGGAATTAAGTAAGTTAGATTTTAAATAGTTCAAGTATTACGTGTGGAAGAGCGGTTATAATAGTCTCAGTTCAGTTGATTTGTAGGAACAATAATAAAGAAATATTACTGATATTAGTGATGTAATTTCGAGAAGATCACCTACGAAATGTCACTTATGTTAGTAGTATGTCTCTGTAATGATATTCCGTATTACGTTCTCGCAGTGCAGGAATCTGCGGCGAGCCTTGCATTTCACTTCTATCAACTCAAGCCAATATTAACCGAACAGATTTGCTAAACTTCAATATTCCAATATTAAACGCTCGAGTGACAGATTTTGTCTGCTTAGCCATCTGCTGTACTCCAAAGACCACTTCCTCGAATAGTTAATAGTTATAAGCCTTTTAGGTTGCTTGAATTGTGCTCTAAAATGACAAGGTTGTTACTTGAAGTTGCATAATATTCCACTTAAATTATAAAACGCCTCCTTACAGGCAGTAAGGTAGTAGGTACAAAAGATAGTATCATAATATTCCGTGAGTTACACGAGAATTTTACAATTCACCGGGAATACTTGAAAGTTAGCAATAATGAATAAATTCCAGCGCTGAATTCCAGCTATAGAGCTAACAGGTGATTCTAAAAATAATAGGATATTGGTTGAGATAAAAAGTGAGATGCAATTTAATTTATCTTTTAGAAGTATTCTTAAATAGTGATATCCAGATAATGAATTCTGGGTTTTCTTGATTAGATGAAACGCATGTCACATGAACAAAGGGCCACTTTCAGTCATTTCAGACCATGAAATTCTAGAAACTCTAGAAAGAGAACGTTACAGTGAACTTACCACAATATGTAATTCTTTCCTTTAAAACTGACCAGTTATTTTATAACGAGTTCAAAATCATTATTCGATTTCTTGATAATTGATTACAGTCACGATAAATAATTTGAGTTATATGGGAATTGTTGGAGTTGTGCCCAATTCCAGAAACTTCTAATGAAGTAATAGTGTTGATTATGATGAAAGTGGTTGTTTTGAAAATTAAATATTAGTTGGGATTGTTCAGATATTTCATTCCAGCTACGATCGAGTGGAAACCATTTCCATCCGGTACAATGCTGAGAATGTTAAATTTGGTCGCACCCCTACCTGTTAATTGCTATTATCACACTTCTGTAACGTAGAATTTATCTTGGGGGAACGAGAAATTTGTTCAGTATATTGTTTGTACCTACCGTAATACGGAATTGATATTAGATACTGATAACATATAATTTTCGGCAGTGTGGAACAGTTTTGACTGACCTTATTATTGCAATAAGGTTACGGCCTCGAAGCGGCAAAGTTATTTACTCGGCTTCTGTCTTGATGGAAGGTCGAAATTGTAACACACTGCCAATAGTTGAAAATTTGTCAACTGAATGGTTGTACGTGTATCTTGTGGAGCTGCACAAATTTGCAAACGCTGACCGCCGAATCTGATAGCTTAATTAGCTACTTGAAACAGGTGTTTAAGTTTGAGGAAGTACCAAACAAAGTGAGCTCTGAACTGAAGGTCGTTTGACCGATTAACCCACTAGCGGTAGTCAGCGCTTGACAATTTGTTCACACACATGTGGTAGGCGGATGAAATGAAAGTCACGTGATTTTTGGCGAAAAAAAATAGTAACAAATTAATTTTAAATCATCAATTATTGCTCTTTATAGCATATTACGGAATTTGAATTAGCCTCATCGACGGTAGTGCGAGCGTTTTCGTTAGAAGATTACGTGAGATTTGGATGATAAAGTTGTTGATCGATGAAGTCAGGTGCAGAAAGAGCTCCCACCAAACTCGATGAGGCTAATTATAGGCTGCAGTGAAATGTTCGGTTTAAGGACAAAGGTGGATTACGGGATTAAAGCCTAGCTTCTGAAGCAGCCTGCATGTAATTAAAGTTATTGTTTCAAGTATCAGTATATTGACCATAAACAACAAACATTCTTCTATTAACTGAAACTCCGACATTCTTTACGTTTTAACTGATCCTGGTGCCACTTTCCATCGAATAGTACTTAATCGAAACCATACTAATTCACTAACTGTGAACAATTAAATCTGGTAGTAAGTATGAAGAGTTACTCATGTCCAGTGTCCACTACCCTCGTTACTTCTACCTTAATCTTCTATATAGCTCCTACTCCTAGAGGCTATCTGTTATTCGTATAAAATAACCAAATAATCTAGGTCCCTTTTACCTATACCATGGTATTTGTGATGGAAATGGCACCATGAATAGTAAGAATTAAAAGTTGTGCGGATAAAATTAAGAGAATCTTGTCATACATTTACACGTATCATGATAATTACTGATTACTGCAAGATTACGTGTATTATTTGTCACTTAGTTTTTTAAAATGTATTTCGCTCAAACATCAAACCCGCTGTCGAGATAACCTGAATTGTAGCACCCATTTGGAAACTTTTCAAACTGTCTGTTAATGGTAACACGACATCTGTCCGACAGCACTATTTTCTTGTGTTTGAAGTGATATCTCAAATTTGGCACATAGAAATTCACCCAAACTTGCACAAATTATTTGTCTTAAAGCTTACTATCTAGAAAGTTCCAAGAAAATCGTATCGTTGGATATGATACATGCCTTGGTACCACTGCAAACCACCGAATTGGAGATATTTTTTGTGTTTAAGGTGATATCTCAAATTTGGCACATAGAAACTCGCTCAAACTTACACAGATTATCCGTCCTATAACCATTCTACTTTATGGAAATTTTCAAGAAAATCGCACGGTAGGATCTGATATAAACTATTGTCCGAATAACCTATTTTCTGATTCGGACAGATGTCGCCCAATCCTAAATATTATAGGTAACCAAGCAACGAGGTTAACATTATTGAAAATCCTCTGTCAATGGATCGGACGGCCCGACGCGATGTATTCGCATCTTATCTCCGGCACGCTGGCACGTTTGATGGCAAATTCTACACATATAAAATAAGACCGTGCGTGCGCAATCACATAAATATTCGGTTTGGCGTCGACGCCATACGTTTACGACACAATATTTTCGATGTTCCTAAATTGCAACGTTATTATCACCACTGTGATGTCAAACTAATTCTAGCCAAAATACCTTCCGTAACCGTGAAATAATGTCAGTGTTCCATCAAAGGTGAAATATTCTGCAAATTGGGCATCACGTACTGTCACCTAATTGAATTATATTTTAGCCCTATTTCAATTTTCATGAGATCTTAAAACCGCATCTAACACACTCTAAAAATCTGCACAATATGGGAGAAAGAAGATGGATGTTTTCCTATTTGTAATTTGGTTGATCGTTTCAAATTATCTTTTGTCTCCACTTACTTACAGAGTATAGATAGGAAACATCTAATGTCTCAATTCTTGGCTGTTACAAATAGCAATTAACAGTAAACACCTTAATATTTGTAATCACAGACCACACCCTTTTTATAAGTCATTAAAATCACACACGTAGGAATGGTTTAATTTATTTTTAAAGCATCATTAAAGTATAATAAGCTTTACAAATTTTGACATGTAAGAAATTGAGAACGTTATATTTTAAATTGAGTTATAGTTTTAAAATTAAAATAAAATTTTTGTAATATATCATAGGAATGTGACACTTGACACATCGACCTTTTTAGTAATTGTCATTAGCCAGGATAACAGGCGTTGAAATCTTGATCGTTTGAAAAGTGTAAACTAGTTTTCCAATAAACAGTTCAATTAGGTTTACTATATTCGATTAAATTGTTATTGATATGAAACAAGAATAGTAACCGGGAAGATACGGAACAGATTGCTACCATCCTTGCTGTCTCCCCTTCAATCGGTTTAAACATGAATGCAATTTGCTACTTTTCTTGTAAGGAATGTAGCTTAACCACGAATAATGTTAATATTTTGTTAAAATACCGATTGAACTGCTTAATGTACTAATAGTATCTCTCGAGTTGAGTCAATAACATCATATAATTAAGCTCACACAACAATTTTAACAAGGTAGTAAAAACAAAAGGTTAAAACTGACGTTCATTTAACCAATTGCTACATTTAATAATAATAATTTAACTTTAAAAACAAAGCATAGCTTTATTTTACTTCAGTTTTAAAGCGTAAATAATAATAATCAATTATCGAAAACAATCTAAATTTATTACAAACAATCCAATCTAACACGAAAAAATTACATATTATTCATATTAGGAATGCGAAGATAAGGAAACAAACATCAAAAATTTTGAACAAATTTCAGGAAAATAGTTTTAACGTCAGTTTCTCTATCGTTAGTGGCTCAACTAAGTATATTATTAATGCTACAAATATGCACATTAGTTCGTCACTTGTCGTCACATATTTACACTCCTTATCGGCTACTTACTAGATTCTACTATTATTAAAGGAAAATATGAACGTGTATTACGCATGTTGTAAACTTTTCTAAAAAAACATTCACAACATCTGATTATAGTCAATTAATTGTACCAGGGTCTGCAACGGGTAAAATATTTGGAAAATTTAAAAATTATATCTATATTTTTATATTATCCGAATTGGTAATATTATACAAGACCCGTGGCACATAGCCCGTTTGTTTCATCACTTACAGTTTTTTACAAAACATTTTATTAAAAAACACGACATATAATTGAAAACCCAAGCCTTTTCCAAGAGTAACTTAAATCCAACCTTTCAAAACACACACTATATATTCTGTCACTCTGATGAAATTCAGTTGGTTCAGAACAGTTTCCTGCCCCATTTTACATCAACATTTACATTTTACATGAACTTTTTCACGAAATTCAACAAGTCAGAACCAACCAACCTCCACCACTATTCACACACTGTCTTAATTTATCACACACTACTGCACACTAGCACTGCAGATCCACACACCACACCACACACAAGCTGCCTGCGCTTTTACAGTCTCTGTTATTGTCTCTGTGTTAAAGGGACATCACTGAGTCTCCTCCACAAACACAGCCTTTAGCACCTGTTTAGTTGACTGCCCTGAGTGGGCAGCACTTGTAAGTGAGCTACCCGGAGTGGGGTTAGCTGAACCTGTCTGGCGGAGGTCTATCCAGTCTTGTAGCTTTATTAGGTACTTCATACACTCGTCCGACTGGGGAGGGGGTGCTAGTTTAGAAGGGGTGCTAGTTTAGAAGGGGGTGCTAGTTTAGAAGGGGGTGCTAGTTTAGAAGGGTGTGCTAGTTTAGAAGGGGGTGCTAGTTTAGAAGGGGGTGCTAGTTTAGAAGGGGGTGCTAGTTTAGAAGGGGGTGCTAGTTTAGAAAGGGGTGCTAGTTTAGAAGGGGATGCTAGTTTAGAAGGGGGTGCTAGTTTAGAAGGGGATGCTAGTTTAGAAGGGGGTGCTAGTTTAGAAGGGGGTGCTAGTTTAGAAGGGGGTGCTAGTTTAGAAGGGGATGCTAGTTTAGAAGGGGGTGCTAGTTTAGAAGGGGGTGCTAGTTTAGAAGGGGGTGCTAGTTAAGAAGGGGGGTGCTAGTTTAGAAGAGCATTTTAGTCAACTATAGATCACTTTTAGGTAAATCCTACATATTCTTAATAATATAATATAATAATATCGTATTATAACATTTAAATTAAATGATACCATTATATTCTGTAGTAGTAACAGTACATAATGAGTGTATTGGAAGAATAGTGTCCCCGACTTAATCGTCAAAACATTTCACATATACTATCACATGGAAACACTAATATAAGAATAGGGCTCGGAATTCCCATATTCGTAACTTAATTATGTCGCGTGAAATCGTTACAGGAAGATCGCTCTAATTTTTTCGATTGCGGCTAACTGTCAGACACCGCAATAGAAACAGTGTTAGAATGCACATTTTTATTCATGTGGCGTCAATTTAATTGATAAAATCTTCAAATTAACGACACTTGATAGATTTGACTTTTATCTTTCGACCATTGTGGTTGTATAATGTGCATAATATACACAAGCGTCAAATAATTGTCTTATAAGTTTACGTTAATATATAATTAATATATAAAATATCCCCTATAAATACTATAAATACTCTACGGTACGATGAACATTGTATAACGTATAATATTTCAATAGATTGCCCACATACTGAACTAAGTTATCCGTGGAATGTGTCCTACCTGATTGGTAGCAGTATAAAGGTAAATAAGACCCCGGTAATCGTACTCCAACCCACTGAAAGCAGGCCCGAACATCTTGAGCGCAATATCTATAGAGCGCAGGTAGAGCGGCAGTGCGTCGTCAAAACGCCGCATGTCATAGTTGTAGAGACTCGCTAAGTGGCCCAGAGACAGTGCCAGCTCAAAGTTATCCGGTCCGAGCAGGGATTCCTGGTGAAAATTATCATAAAATTATCATAATTACAGGTGGGTTATCTTAATTATACCGATTATCATGGGGGAGGTGAGCACAGCAGAGCACAGTTTTTATTAAAATATCAGGATAATGGATATTGTCACATTAAAGTAAGTTAGTAACTAAATAACTGAGAGTTTATGGCGATATTACAGACCCAGTGGATATGTTAATTGGAAAGAATGTATTATTTTATAACGTTAAGACATTTTATTGTTGTAAAATAGTGGGAATTTTAGACCTTAAATTTTTATTGTTTCATGAATTACTAGCGTATCCTCTAAAAAACCTAAGATTTACGACCATTAGGCAGCAAATAACCTCGTGGACCACGAGGTTACTTGCTGCCTAATGGTCGTAAATCTTAGGTTTTTTAGTCGTGGTTTGTCCACAGAACTTCCTGGATTTGAATTCTAATGATGAGTGAGAACAGGACACCTTCAATACTTTCTGGATGCATGAAACAGTAGTCTTAAAGCATGAAACAGTAGTCTTAAAGCATGAAAAATATTCTTAAAGCATGAACAATAGTCTTAAAGCAGGCTAAGTGCGCCGAAAGGTCCAACTTCCAACATGGTACCAGCGTAACAGACAATAGCTCACCGGTTTTAACAAAATAAAAAGTGTTTAAAACGTCTCCAGCAGGACCGTTCCAGGGTCATGCAGGTCCACCAGTCTATATATTTTACCACGTACGTGTGTTCCAGTGTACCTATACTAGTGATATAAAGATACCCAGGAACCTGATGTGAAGTCAGTGAAGTACAGCTGGACACTGCTACTAGTTGCGCTAGACTTCTCCGAATAATTTCAACACGTTGGATCTGTTGAGTGGTATCGCTATTGTTACACCTGACGACGCGTTGCGGCGAAAATCGGCAGAAAAAAACGAAAGTAAAGAAAGAGAAATAACGCGTCAAGTCTGGAAGAAGATATGAAATGACGATAGTTCTTTGTCTTTCACAATTCAGCGATAAGTAAGCATATTAAGCATATATGTCAGCGAATATCCTAAGAGGTATTACTATTAGCACGACTAGTTTGCAGACAGTGCGTGTTAACGTGGAAGTCTGGTGGAAGTAGGTGAAGTGTAGAACGTGGTAAAGTTAACACTTCAGTACCCCGTTAATAAGTTACAGACTGGGAGTTATTGGCAAGTTGTCTGGTCACGTGACATTCTTTAGGATAGTTAGTCACGTGATCTGACAAACTTTAGAGTTCAGGGGGTAATGTTAATACTAGAGAATTTTGTCTAGAAAATGTTCGTCAGTTGAGTATTGGAAACATGAAAGTCTAGTCGACAGAAAGAAACAAGCTGATATCTAAATTTGGCTCTCGCTTTTTATTTTTGGGCAGCCACCTCACCCTCCACCCAATTTAGTAAGCTGATTTAACAGTCTGCAAGTCTCTTTAACGCTCCGTACTCTAATTATAGTTTCCGCAGCTCTAGGGCGTAGGCAGTAGCCGGATCAAAAACTAGAGTGAATCAGGTTCAGGAAGTATCTGTATATTTACTACAATATATCTTACAAACTGGGGATTTTTACACGAGAATTCAGCCAAGTGCGACTTATCCTCCCATATCCAAAAAATTTTTAATTTCCTACATTCTCAATTTTTTCGTTTTCTGTGGCCCACTCGCTTCGCTCGCATAAAAAGTCTTTGTATTCGCGCGGTTCAAAGATTTTTCATGGCGGATTCCAGATTCTCAATTTTACTTTTTTAGGGCCCGGAATGCTTTTTAATAGATAATCCTAGGTTACTTTTGGGGGCGAAGCCCCCGAAAATTTTGGAAATTTAAACTAGATTTGGCCTCCTGGAACGAATCTGACAATGGAGAACGATTTTAGCATACTATTTTCTGTTTTCAATTTTTATTGGGATAAATTGTCTGGATTCTAGAATCCCTAAACACTTGGCTCAGACCCTGGTCCAGACCCTGTATTTTCTGCACTCAAGTCAATGTTTGACGTTACTTTAGTTGTATCACGTGCTTTCTGAAAACTGTTACATGCGATGTTTTAACGATAAATACGGGATTTTAAATTTTGCTCATACTTAAAGCTCTTGATCAGTTTTATAAATTCTGAGTCAAGATCAATCCAAGATATGTATATTTAGCAAAGTGATACCTAACTAGGATCAGGAGCATGTAAAGATAATTCATGCAAAAATGATTTCCACCCGATTAATGTCTTAATGTGATAGCTACCTCAACTTAGGTTGATTCGGTATGAATTCATAGGGCTGATGCCCTGGGTGACACCTCTTAAAATGAACTTTTAGATTATCGGCTCGAGTACAAACTTCTTTGCATATACCGCATTGGACCTCGGATTTAGACTTGAACTTTGGACGATTCATGATAAATAGGAAGTTCAACAACCCAATGTAAGCAACAAAAGCAAGCGGGCAGAGCGACTAATTAAAAAACTAGAAAAAGTCCAATTCTCACGCCCATTCTAGCATCATCGTACAGATTAGTTAAAACGCCCTGTTTTTCTGATATTTTCTCACGCCACACGAATTTGGGCTGGGTGTGTGCAGTGTGATACACACATTGAAGACGTGATGTGTATATCTATTGCTACTGCTTGCCAATACAGATATCGGGTGACACTGTAGACATATCCGGTTTCATAGACTAGATAAGTAGATAGTAAAATGTAAATAAAGTAATAATGACAACTATTTATGTCGTATACGCGAAAATGCCCCAATAATTAGCATCTGGTTAGTGGTTACTTGATGCACAGATTTTGTAGCTAATAGCAACAAACTTTGGTCTGTGAAACGAAATTTGATAGACTGGATCAGTGGATCCCTGACTGAGGACATTTAAATAACGGTCCAGCAACTTTTAGTCTGCTCTTTCACTTAAATTCCTACTGAAATATTATCGAAAATTTTCAGAGTTGGCTCTAGAATTTCCTACTTTTTGTCAAAAATTTCCTACTTTTAAAAATTTCCTACATTCTTAGAATGCGAGAATGCGGGTTTTTGGATATGGGCTTATCCTTATGTTAAAGTCTCCTTACGAGACTTTATCTTTACCTCAGCATAAAAACTATATGAATCGGAGCGAAAGAAATTAGGCACTGATTTTAGAGCTTCTAGGAATGTTGGCTACTAGTTACTACTATATAATAATACCAGGATTTCAAGGTTTAACTTTTTGAGGTGCAAAATTGCTCCTCCTTCAGAGCCGGTAAAAACAGAACCTTTGTTGTTTTTCGTGACCGCGTGGAATTTTATCTCATGAGAATAATATGCTGGGGTTTGGAACTGATGGTCAGAAAAGGTCAAGACAGATGTGTGGTTCACTATACTCACTGTAAGATTTGTCAGTTCATGTCCTTAATAATTCCGTGCTCATATGAATCTTAACCTCACGTTAATGGTTGATCATTACAACGCCAAATATTTACGTCATATTTCACTTCTATTACATAGAACAAATGTTTGTTGTTGAAGCAGGACATTGTCATGTCTCCATGACAATATAATATAAATTACAACTTATCACGGCAGATTGTAATAGTGAGGTTACTGTTACCGTAATCAATTATTATATCATTAATAAATTATTAATTCACATTCACACCCTTATATATTAAATTATTAGTGACGTTATATGGCTGCAGTTCGTGGCTACTTGTACATTATACAATGTGTTATGATGAGATAATTGGTAAGTAGATGTGCCAAGGTAAAAGAACATCTGTTAAATGGGCAACTTGCCCACTTTCCCTGTCAAATAAACATTCCCAAGATATTCCTGACACATTCCGAACTTTTTCAGACTAACTTCACAATTCCTTAAGGGGGGGGGTCAATGGGTATTTTTTTGTGAAACTTGATTTCGAGATAGTAGTTGACCAACAAACTAGGACCAGTGACCGAACTTTTGAGGGGGTCCCGGACCCCAACCGCCAAACGGTGCGCGCAGGGCAGCCACGCCCATATTTGGTCCAAATTAGGCCCAATTTAGCCAAATACCCTGAACATGCCCAAAACCCAGGTTTATGGTGCTCTACTTGTAGCTAGTGGTCTCCTGAACTCGTATATGAAATTTCATCAAGATTGGACAAAAAATGACTGAGTTATGAGCCAAAAACCATATGCCCATATTTGGGCATACGCACCAAATTTGGTAGATTTCGTCCCATAAATTGGTCAAATATCAATATTTTTGGATGAGACTTACTTTATATGAAAGGTAAGCCTAAACTACATATTCTCTGTAAGTTATAGCTTTATATCTGTTTAAATGTGGATACTAAGGCGAAAAAACCACAAAAAATGAACTAAATTGCCCATATCTCGGTTCGCGATATTCGCGGAATTGATCTCACCAAAATTGTAACAACTCAATCAGTTTTCAAAATTTTTGCATGAAATTTTTGAAATCGACTCGAAATCGCATTTCGACCTTATTTTAAGAACGGATTTTTGATTTAGGCCTCAAAAAAAATTTGGCGGCCAAATTCTGAATTTCTGTAATATAATTTTGGAATTTGGCCGCCAAATTTTTTTTGAGGCCTAAATCAAAAATCCGTTCTTAAAATAAGGTCGAAATGCGATTTCGAGTCGATTCCAAAAATTTCATGCAAAAATTTTGAAAACTGATTGAGTTGTTACAATTTTGGTGAGATCAATTCCGCGAATATCGCGAACCGAGATATGGGCAATTTAGTTCATTTTTTGTGGTTTTTTCGCCTTAGTATCCACATTTAAACAGATATAAAGCTATAAATTACAGAGAATATGTAGTTTAGGCTTACCTTTCATATAAAGTAAGTTTCATTCAAAAATATTGATATTTGACCAATTTATGGGACGAAATCTACCAAATTTGGTGCGTATGCCCAAATATGGGCATATGGTTTTTGGCTCATAACTCAGTCATTTTTTGTCCAATCTTGATGAAAATTCATATACGAGTTTAAGGGACCACTTGCTACAAGTAGAGCACCATAAACCTGGCTTTGGGCATGTACAGGGTATTTGGCTAAATTGGGCCTAATTTGGACCAAATATGGGCGTGGCTGCCCTGCGCGCACCGTTTGGCGGTTGGGGTCCGGGACCCCCTCAAAAGTTCGGTCACTGGTCCTAGTTTGTTGGTCAACTGCTATCTCGAAATCAAGTTTCACAAAAAAATACCCATTGGCCCCCCCCCTTAAATAATTGGAATATAAATAGTTGGGGTGCGGTGGACATGATGACATCTTCTCTAAAACTCATGACAATTGATATTCATTGTTTTGATGTCATGTGAGGGTTTTAAACAGTATGTAGCATGAGATCACGTGACGAGAAAACACCGTCACGGGAGTCTAGCTGCATGACCATGAGTAATGAAATGTGTTTAACAAGAAGAAAGAGTAACGTGAAATCATGTGCTCGTGTTAGAAACAGCAAACAAAATATTGTGGATATTTGGAAATTTATCATCGAAAACATGCTCTAAATTGAGACTCGTTGGCGAGGAAGCGCAAGCATTGATGAGTAATATTATAAACAAATGACGGTTAAATATTCCGACAAGGTTTATTAATTATTGTTACAGTATCAAAGCAGACACAACCAGATCAAATCAATCCGATAGTGCAGTGTCAATTGAGCTTGCTACAGTTGGGGGTGATGCAACGACCATTAATGACCATTAATGACCATTAATGACCATTAATGACCATTAATGACCATTAATGACCATTAATGACAATGTCAGTTTTGCCAAAATTTCGAATACTGACATTAATGGTCATGTTTTTTTCCGCACTTCCTGGAACAAGAAGGACGGACACGAGGACCACTTAGAACCTACCTAAAGTTAACTAACAATAAGTAGACGGTACTTTACGTCTTGGAAGAGGATGAAAAGTTAATTTTACAACTTTCTCAAACACTGATATTACTACATATTACAACTAACCCAATTATACCATAACAACAACGTTCTCCCAATCTAAACTTATTATTGAACCATCCTGGGTCTTCACCCAACACTGGGAAGACATATCGTGCTCAATACAGATCGCCACCGCAGGTCTTCTCTCTCCCGACCGAGCATTTCCTTTTCTTTGTGATGCTTTAGATGTCTTAACAGATATAGAAAGCACTTTGCCCTGCACAACCGTGCGCCTTCTTTTTTCATCCTTGCCTGTTATGAGTATACCAGTTATTGTTCCACCAACTTGCACCTCTTGAGCGTTGCATAGCTCTGGTTCTGCTAAACCTTTACAGACTGGGCGATACAACCCAATACTTGTATCCAAGGCAAGACCAAAAAATCTTTTCCTTCGGCTTTTCGCACCAAAGTTGGTCTTGCCTTGGTTACAATATTTGGTCACGACCTTAGTGGAGCTATCAACCAGCTCTTCGTCCTCATAATCAGAAAAATTGTCTTCACTCTCATGGTCTGATTCATCATCTGATTGTTGTTCACTACCATATGAGAGTGGAAATTGGAGACTCCGCCGTCTTTCAGAAATAACATTTCCATTATCACCTGAAAGATACGAACTTCCATAACTAGAAGAGGAAACAAAGAGTTCCTCTCCAATCTTGGATCCTCTTTTTAAGCTTTGGATTATAAGGTTACTCATCTTGACCGAACCTCCAAAATCAACAGCAATCTTTTTCTCTGGATGTTTGCTCCACTCAGAACGAAAGAGTGTCTTCCCCGGGTATGAGCGGTTTTATGAACACTTGTACCACATTCAACATCAAGCGTATTCTCCACCTCTAATAGTCGGTTGTAACGACCCATGGCTTCAGGGACTCTTGTAGAGTCGATTTGTGTGCGTCTACCGGAGTGCCGTCCAACCCTGATTCGAGCGAAGAGTTGTTCATTTTGATCAGACGATAAAAACCACGGTACTACTGGTGCTTTGGGGTGATTACAAATCAAGTCGACAAAATACAAGACAAGTCCGTTAGCTGCGGATATTAAGTCTTTGAAGCTTTCTCTAGTTATGAAGTTCTCGCTGGTATTTAATTTCTTCGAGTGTTCTCCCCACAGAGTGAAGAACCTGAAAACAGTCCACGCATTTTCAGCTCTTTCTGAAACAGTCAGCGATTTGTCATAAAACGCTGCCAGGAGCAAAAACCCGGCCTTAAGATAGGCCGAGAGGCTCAGAAATCCTGCTTGTTTTAGAACATCCCATTTAGCCGTTAGCTCTGCAGCACACTGCGGGTTTTGTCTATCAGAGTGCTGCAGAGTTGTAAGGGATACAGAGTCTCTGAATTCTTCACTTTCCGTAGCGAGTTTAAGAATCATCCCCCAGTTTAGGGTGAATTTCGTGTCTTCGATCGAATCAGAATCGGCCATTATGATGAATCTAGTACTGAGGTAATGGAGACAGTTAACCAGTTTTTTCAACTCATGACAGATGTCCTGCATGGGAAAGTCTCCTGTTTTGTTGAAGTAAAATACTGGCGGGTACTCCCACTTCGACAGCTCGCTCTGACTGGCTGTTTTGATCCGTTCATCTGTATTGACCTAAGCCGCTGATCTCCGTACGAAACATGATTTCTCCCCTCAATTAGTCAAGGCTACTGCCAGATATTTCAAAATTTGAGATATCTTATGACCATTAATGACCATTAATGACCATTAATGACCATTAATGACCATTAATGACCATTAATGACCATTAATGACAATGTCAGTTTCGGAAAAATCTCAAATACTGACATTAATGGTCGTTGCATTACCCCCCTACAGTTAACAGTACAAATATTGACGGGCGACTAATTTTGGCCCTTAGTTTAAGATTTTTAGCCGGGCCCACACTCAGAACTGCTATCTCCAACACTACTTATTCTTGCGGTATAAACATTCCTTATTGGTCATAAGAGTACCCCAAGATGCACTACACTGACCTTTATCTTGATAGCTCTACGATGCATCTTCTCAGCAGGTTTGTACATCTTCATGCTCTGATAAAGTCTCCCCAGGTTACCGTAGTGTTTTGCTGTCTGGATGTTGTCCTCCCCCAGCACAGACCGACACAGCTTCAGTGACTTGTTGTGCAGTTCTTGGGCTGGGTCAGAGTTTATTAGTTGTTTTTATTAACTTTTGTATTGATCAAAAGAATAATAAGCTCTAATAACCAACAAAAAAAGGCACCCAATAACAATTCTCCTATGAAATTAAGCTAATGAAATACTGTCAGAATTTATTCTGAAGTTAAAACTTCAATAATCTCACCTTCTCTTAACAGTCTCTCCTTCTTCCTAGAACTCGTCTCATCGAACGCGAGCTCCTCCAGGATCAGGGCACGCAACCTGCTCGTGCTGGCGTGCAACAAATGATCCGGATCCAGCAGTTTGTTAACAATGCGCACGCTAATGTTGCTGTGCGCTAGTGATTTCTCATAGTTCCCGTAGTTGTAGTCGTAAACGTAGGTTGCGTAAGCTAGGTCTTCGTGTGCTACTGCTGTCTTGATGTTATTCTCTCCGAACACTTTGTCTATTATATCTACTGCTTTCATGTACACCTGATTAAATTATAATTAATTAAATTATAATTACAATTAAAGAATTAACAAGCTGAAGAATGTTATCCACACATGTTGACCACAATTATTAGATGGTTTATGTGGAAAGGTTGTTTATGATTTAAAGACTGTAGTTACAGTAGGCTTTGCAGGTGTTGCTGTGTTGTGTAGGTGTAGCAAATGGGGTGGAGACTGGAGAAGGTTACAATACAATAATTACAGGAACTTTACTGTCTACATTATTCATACAGCGTCGTTAGTCTTTGTTAAAAGTCTTATTCTCTAGAGATAATTAGATCTAATTACAGTACGCATAGTTTGACATACAGGACAGATAGGGTAGATAAGAAGCGTGTCAGAAAGAAAAGTCCGTTCATCCTCCAGCTACCCCCAGTCCGACAACCAGGACAAATTTAGATACAATTCGGTAAATCAAAGCAAATATTTCAATATTAAAACTAGTTCACTTGGGCTTTGATGTGAATGATTTTTTAAAAAGCAGTCACGTACCCAATACGCATACAGTTACAGTCCTGACGTGAGTGTTCATGGTCCCTAATCCTGTTTACCCTAGCTCCAGAATAGTTAAACAAGTAATAACACAGATACATGCTGTGTTAGTTGAGCTTACTTTTAGCAATATTTATTTGTTGTAAATATTATGTTGGTTTGGGTATATCGAAAGCAGGCGTAACTGAATTTTAAAATTATCTTTCGGCAAACTTAAACTGCAAATATAATGTTTTACACTGCAGGTTACCCGCTACTGGTCGAGGGTTGAACATTTCAATATAGAATTTTATTTCTTTAATACAAAATTGACAGTTACGTGCGGAATTTCAAATTTGACTGTCATACAAAATTTTTAATCTAAATTTTAATAAAAACGAACTTAATAAAATAACATATTTTTAAAATTTATAACGTAGTGTTAACATTGCAGACCTGTTAGTATGGGAGTAATGTTAGACTTAGAGCGTGTTAAAAACATTATACAGAGTCACACTTCAGTGCCGTATTGGTGCCGTACAAGTGCCGTGAAGGTGCTGTATTGGTGCCGTGAAGGTGCCGTATAAGTGCCGTGAAGGTGCTGTATTGGTGCCGTGAAGGTGCCGTATTGGTGCACCGTATTGGTGCACCGTATTGGTTAACTTTCATTTGTGTAAATATTCTTGAATCAGAGATTCAGTTTTTAGATAAATAACTTTTATTCTTCCCCGACTAACTCAGCCTATGAAAATCTATAACCATAGTCTAGAAAATATCTTCTCATTTTGGTGTTCTCGCATTGAGGCGACAATAAGTCATGAATATATGGGGGAACGTTTAGCTGGAACGGTCCAGAAATTCATCACCTTTAATACTAAGAAGCCCTAAAATGACGTAATAGCAATTAGCGAGCACGGCGCAATAACTCTTGTAGTAATAATTATGTCCTTGCAAAATTATTAATGCCTACAATTGCCTACATCTTCGTTGGCTGTTACCCGTGCTATTCAATGCTTTATGATATAATATAAAGCGCATTGGGCATACTATTCAAATTGTATGATGCCATTAAGACTTTAGTATATATATTATCATGTCTACCCACATAATAATTAAGGTAATTGTCCGGTATGAGGACACAAGGAAGCTTGTTATCAGTAATTGTCAACTTTTTACCACTCTTAACTATATGTGGTTGGACGCACTAGGCGGACAAATTAACAGACAAAAGATATGAATCGGAACGCAGAGTCAATACAATAATTGTCGATGATTATTTATAATATTTAACAGCAACTCAGAATTTGGACATTTTGCAGCTACAACCACTGATCCTGAACTTTTATAATTTAATAGTTGGCTTATATACCTGAATACTGTTGGGGAAATGAACCATATTTATTTGAACACGTGACAGAGATTCATTGTTTCGCTTTATTTAAGCGTAGTAAGATTATTTAAATGACACGCTTACAAGTGCCCAGAATCAAGATGAAGCTGCAGGTTGCAGCTCACTGAGAGGTTGCAGGTTGCAGCTCACCGAGAGCCTCTCAGGAATCTATTTAAGGTAAAGAGTGTAAGCCTGTTTTACCGGATTGCTGTTCATCGCTTAAGTAATCGAATTTGTGGGAAGTAGATACAGCTATAGTGTCCAGTAAATACAGGTAAATATAGGTGACCCACCTCCTCTAGACTAGTGCACGAGCGGCAGTTCTGAGTAACTAATACAATAGTGGTATGGTGAGTAGGAATTCAAGATAATTGGTAACTGGTACAGAATCTCTGCTGCTCCAATTAACACGATATTATGTCGGTCGCAAGAATTTCAGCTATGTTTAATGCTTTTACACGGCAATATCAAAGAATATCTCCAGATGTTTCTATAATAGGAATTAGGATGTAAAATTGTACGAGGAAAAATCCTGCTTAACTCGTAATCTAATAATATTTACGTTATTCAATTTTGAAACCAAGCCCACAGAAGCTCACTAGAAGAATGTTATCACACGGATACACCCTACTGAGATCCTGTTTTACCAGATTTAGAAGAAACTGGTAGAAGGAGAGCTGCATAAAAAGAGAGAGCATTTTGGTTGTTACGTCGCAGTATCAAGTTTACAGGGTATTATTGTATGTACTATTTGGATCCATCATTGTAACCTATTAAATGTGTATGCAGCCATTTAGCTTTCGCAATGATTCGATAAATGAAACGATTGTTTTGTTCCCGTTTATTGCGACATAACAAGGAAAAGGATCTTATCAGGATACTTTTGTTCTACTGATTGTTTTGTTCTACTCAATGTAAGGATCTGAATTAGGACCTCCCAGTAAACTATTGATGACATATTACGTCTCTGTACTTACTACAACCCGGTATACTATTGTCTTACATCAGTTCTAACCAATAATTATCTCCTCAATCTTGCTAATCTAAGGCATAAACACAAAGCAATTGATAGTGTCACCACCTATCACAATATAACGTTATCCATCAAATGTGACACAATGTCGCTATATTAGCTGTTGTTGTGACTTGTGATCAACTGTGTGTAAATACATGGGTGTGACTACAGTTTGATTACAGTTTGATTACAGTTTGACTACAGAGGTTTACTAGAGAATTTGATTAAAGTTTGATTAAAGTTTTACTACAGAGTTTGACTACAGAGTTTGACTACAGAGTTTTACTTCAGCACTATGAATTACCCACAGTTATAATCAGATTATGTTAGAAAAACTAGGATGAGAATATTATAGCGGACATATTGTCAGAAAGAAAGAATATTCTTTGCAGGACGTGGCCCTGTTAAACAAGTAATAAAATATTATACATGTAATTCAATTTGAATGGCAAGCTCATAAGAAAAGCAGCAAAATCCGGTAACACCAGGATCCGTTTACTCAGATCCTGTGTGACCTGCTTTTGAAGAAGTACAGTGAACTGCAAAATAAGGAGGGTGGCATGGGTGCATTTCAATTAAAAGTTTGTTAACTTGATGTAGGTTTTGTTATTCTGTAGAACTTGAAACTTATCACCTTATGTCAATGTGTCTGGTGTTAATTTACACATATATGTATTGATACATGTCCTTTCATAAACTTTGGAAGACCTTAGACCGCTACATAACAAGAGAAATAGTAGAAATAGTAGAACTAGTAGAAACAGTAGAAATAGATCATGGATACTGATAAACTTTGTAAACGGCAGTAAGGCATAGTACGAGAGTGTTGGTAGTACGGGAGTGTTGCCCAATTATCAAGAGTCAACTACACTAACTACAGTAAATAACATATCCTTAACACTTTCATCGCAAGAACAAAGATCGTTGGAGCTGAGGTTTCAAAGCAGCATTCTTCTTCTCAACATATTTGCTACAATAAGCTTTTATATTTGTCTATCACACTTCTTCTAATAGGTGTCCTAACTTTCTAATAGATTGTAGATCGTGTGTAAAATTTGAAGTGAACTAATTCTGGCTAATACATCAATTATTGATGCTCAAAGAATTTGATGAATTTCGGGTAGAGCTCGATGAAACCCTATAGAACTAAAATTAGGAGCTTTACAGGCTTTCGTTAGTTTCGTTATTACCATGGAATGTGCCTAATTAGATTTAATGGGAATAATAAGTGGGAGACGATTCACAAAATTGTTTACACTCAGACAATATTTGTAACATAATATATTTGTAACATAACATATTTGTAAAATAATATATATTACAATCTTTTGAACCGAAATTGTAGAAGTAATTTGGAACCGAGGTGTCATGGGCACGCATTCGCCGAATGAGAATCAATACAAATATTTGGATCATTCGTCACACTTGAGTAACATCACAGATAAATCTTTATACCTAATACATTCAATATTTATCACACCTCACCATTTGAGATTTATATTATCATACTACAGTCTACAGACAAATCGATTTACCGACACAACCCACTCACAAAGGATTTTTTACATTTTTGTGTGTCCTTTATTATATTATGCCTGTCCAAATTTTCCACGTTTCTTAAGGCCACTTTTTGCCACTTTTTATCTGATTATCTAATTACCAATTTAAGCTTTTAAATTGTAAGCTGGTTTTGTCGGTAAATCGATTTAATCAGACGATTTGACTGTACTATAATAATTATTAATTACGCATATTATTATGCGTAATATTTGATAATAATCAATGATTAAAATTACAACCTCACTCTTTATTATGTATTAAATAACTTATTTACAGACAACTACAGGTAGACTAGTCTAGACAGTATAATATATATAATACCTTATAACTACATTACATTAGTCACTATGATCACTGAGCTTAGTAAGCAAGTAATACAATCGATGAATAAACGGGTAATACAGGAATAAACTGTCAAGAAGTTAGATGTCTTAAGGTCTCGTATTGCTTTACATAATATAGTAACCAAGGTTATTAATATAGTAACCAAGGAGATACGATGTATAGCATATTGTTGTAGAGTTAGAAACGGTGTTTTGACTGTTAGTTCATGACTAGGCTTAACTTCTGAGTCCTAGAGGTTGTCTATGATGTAATAGTGTCATAGAGGCAACTATTTCGAAAATTTGCATTGGACTACTAATAGCAAATGATTGTTTTACTGCACTTTATTGTGAATGATAACTGATCTACGAACATTTACAAATCATCACCATCTAGAAGGGCTTAAAAGTACGGATAAAAACCGAAAGGATTAAGGCTAAGCAATCAAACATTTAAGAAACTTTAATACCAGAAGAAATAAAATAGTTTGTGCTACTAACCTCAACGCACTGTGAAACAAGATCAAGGTGCAGTAAACAGAACCCGTAGTCTTGCAGTGTGTCTGCGTAGAGGGGGTGGTTGCTGCCGTAGAGCGAGCCAGCCAACTCCACCGCGTGTTTTATCAGTACCTCCGCGCACGTAAATCTGCGCGTATTGATGTAGACTTTAGCGGTGCGACGCAGGACTGTGATACAGGAGGCTGTGTTAAGGTTCTCGTTGACCTGGAGAAGGGATTATTATAATTGTAGAGTAAGCATTAATTTAACATTTCACTATAATGATTGATTTTACGATCGATTGTTTAACTCGGTATTTCATTACAATGTGAACCGGGTAAATATTCTACTCTTTAACTTTAAAACATACCTCGAGTAAAGCCCTGTCAGCCCAGTCATCTGCCTCCGCAAAGTTACTCAGACAATAGTGCCTGTATGCCTCTTCTGCATACAATAAACCAGCGTTGAACCGCTTGTCTTTTGACGTATCATAGAACGTACTCGCTTTTACAAATGCTTCCTTTGCTTTAGTAAACTTGCATTCCGCAATGTGTGTTGAAATGAGATGGGTAAGAACAACTAAAACGTTGTGTCTCTCTGATAATGGGTTCATCGTTTGGTAAAGATGGTTTAAAAGCTCGCCAGCAGCCTTGTGCCATCCACAGTCTATTAGGAACTCACACACTTTGATTAGTCTCGAGCTGTCCTTTTTCCCACCTGGAAAAGTTTGAGACGTGAAGTTCAATATTACATATTTCTTTGTTTCTATGTCATGAACGTTCTTTAACAATAGAACTGGTCTAGTTCACTGTCTGGTGTAAACAATATATAAATATACTATTGTAAATAGATAAACATGATATAATAAAGGCTACCTTGAATCGTCCCAGAAGTTTTTTCCTGAATAAACATTTTGGATATTTCGTTGTGGATTGGAATGTTGTTGTCGACTAAGAGACGTGTGCTTGTGTAAAGGTTTACGTCATAGTCCTTCGTTTCCACCAAGTCAAGTAACAGCTGAAAATTAAAGATTGATTAGGGATTACTAAATGTTGTTAATTGCCTTCTGTCTGTTATCGACATGATTTGCGATACCGCTCCACAGTGAACATATTGCTTCGATCCATAATTACAGCAAATAGACGTTAGAATAACTAGCAGGAACCCGTATAACCCTAAAATGGTTTCAAACCCAAGACTCAAGAGACTTAAATAATTATTACCTATTTAATTCGCGTTTTTGACACCACTTGGGGGTCCAAATTTTGGGCACTTAAATTTCTGTTCCTTGGCCAATTTTTTATTTTTTCATGCTGATGTGGAGGCCATTAAAGTATTTGACCCAGTAAAAAAAGTTTCAGTTCAAGTATATCTTTTAAGGTTTTTGCGGAAAGTCGCGTTAAAGTTGATGCCGTGGTGTCAGTAAAATGGTACGGATAAACACATATATAATATCGTCTCGCTTTATATATAATATAGTAAGATTGTGCAACTTCAATTGAGTTTTACTGTGTCCTTACGGTACTAGCATGCATCTTCAATAGGTAGGTTCAGTACTAGAGCCGGTGTACAGGACGAGGGAAACGTTACGTAACATTAACAGCAGGGCGAATATTTTAAACTACTGCAGCAGAAATTAGATCAGTGGGAATGTGAGGATGTTAACCCTGTAATCGAATGAGAAGGAAGTGTGAACCTTTCTAGCCAATAGGATCACAGTATTCTGTAGAGCTGACTATTCTACAAGGTCCTGCTTATTAGATTAGTTCAAGGATCCCTAGATTACCACTGGGACGCAAAGGTCACCAGTTATTTGTGTTTACTCCACAAATATACAGTTTTGAAATGAATAAACTTTAATTTTATCTACTGCAGAAACAATTAGATCGGTGTGGCTTTGATGATGTTAGCATCACTATCGAATGAGGAGAGAGTATGGAGCCCTAAATAGCCAATAGGGTTGCAGTACTCTGCAGAACGCCAGACACTAAATTGGAACTCATTGGATTACCATAAGAACACAAAGATGATCAGATTATATTACTACAGGAACGCAAAGGTGACCACTTAACAAGAGGATATACTGCAACAGTAGACACCCTTCCAGATAAGCCCACTACTCCTGGATACAGTGCAGAAAACTCTAACTCTATTACCGACTGGTGCAGTCAAGGAGGTGGTGCGCAGATTGCCTGATGATGCCTATTTCTAAACTTCTCAATAGGTTCAAAAGTTAGGTTCAGTATTAGAGCTGATCTACAGGATGAGGGAAACGTTACGTAACAATAACAGAAGGGTGAATGTTTTAAACTACTGTAGCAGAAATTAGATCGGTGGGAATGTGATGATTTTAACCCCGTAATCGAATGAGAAGGAAGTGTGAACCTTTCACTAGCCAATAGGATCACAGCATTCTGTAGAGCTGACTATTCTGCAAAGTCCTGCTTGTTAGATTAGCTTTAAGTTCAAAGCTCCCTAGGTTACCACAGGGACGCAAAGGTCACCAGTTATATGCGTTTATTAAACGAAAATTATAATAATAATAAGGACACATTGCAGCAGAAATTAGATCAGTGGGAATGTGATGATGTTAACCCCGTAATCGAATGAGAAGGAAGTGTGAACATTTCTAGCCAATAGGATCACAGCATTCTTCAAGGCTGAATATCCTGCTAAGTCCTGCTTATTAGATTACCTTAGTGTTCAAAGCTCTTACCACTGGGACGCAAAGGTCACCAGTTACATGTTTTTATTCTACAAATATACAGTTTTGAGACAAATGAACTTAAATTTTATCTACTGTAGAAAATATTAGATCAGTGTGACTGTGATTATGTTAGCCCAACTATAATCGAATGAGGAGAGAGTATGGGGGCCATAAATTGAAACCAAGTCTCAGAACTTATTGGATTGCCATAATAACACAAAGATAATCAGATCACCACAGCTAGAGGAACGCAAAGGTCACCGCTTAACAGAAGAATGAGGAGAGCTGCTCTGTCTTGTTCAGTATAATATCAGCTGAATTTTAGCACCAGTGACTGTGTTCCTGACATATGCTATGACCACTCTAAAGCTGATAATAGTAAAATATCCTCTGAAAACTGGTGCCTGGTATAGTGAAACAAATTTTAGTGAAACAAAACACACAATCTGTTCTTATTTGTGGCTTCTGGTGCTTGGATGCTACACTCCATTACTAGAATTACATATAATACTAGAAAGCCTGTGGTAACAGGGATGAAGCTAGTAGTATTCTTTGAAAGAAAGTTTTAATCGCATCAAAAAATATCCATCCCAACCAAAGATGCTGTCGATTTAAATGTTAAACACTTTAAACACAACGTAATTACCACAAAACCGATCAAAATGCCGTTCCAACAATCTTTGCACGTGTACGTGTGCATTACAACACTGTTGCTATGCAACCTTTTGGTTTTACCTAACTTCCTATTTTTTACCTAATTAATAATTTGCACGTGGGCGGTCATACATTGTACAAAGATAATTCTCTGAATTATAAGTAAGATGATTCTGCACTGCGTTGACAATGTATATATATATGTATATAAATGTCTAATATAATATAATATAAATTTCAATGATTAGCATTTAGGAGCATTAAGTCTTTAAAAATCAGTACCTGTGGATTCAGGAGCACCTGATGGATGATTGGTATCTCCTTGTTTTCTACACAGCATTCCAGGAAGTCAATGAGAAAATGCTTTGGTAGGGTGAAATCTTTTAAACTGGTGAAGTAGGTCCAGTGTTTTATTATGTTTTCAATACACAACCTCTGAAGTAGTTGAACCTGCACCATTACATAAGATGTGAAACACTGAAAACCCTAAAAATAGTGTCTTAATCAAAATGATGTAAAATATAAATCATTTATTATCATCACTATTATATCATTTATATATACTTACTAGAAAACCCGTGGTCACAGGGAGGAAACAAATAATATTTTTGAAATTCAGTTTTTATACTACAAAATATGCTGCCCATTAAAATGTAACCCGCCTGAACACAGCGTAATAACAACATTAACAATCAGAATTTCAATCCAAATTCTTTGAAAGTTTGTATCCGCATTACTATGCACATTTTTAATTTGCACATTATACATAGTTTTTACATACAAAGAGAAACTTTCGAATTATAATATGTAAGATAACAGGACAGAAATTATGGTCTTGATGGATTTTTTCCATCAAAAACAACCGCATATGATATATCCCTACATGTAAACATATGTGAGGTCGCTGGCTTTGGAATAACCTAATAAGGCAGCTCTAAACAGCGTAGACAATGTGACTGGGAGCTTATATGGCTCAACAGTCAAATACATATGAATTCTTATCATTTTCGTGCAGCATAACAGACTAATTCCGACTAGATCTAATTACAAAATGTCACAATATACAATCATGAATATCAATAGAAAAAAGGTATATACAAATAGTGCTTATTGGATGATATTTATAAAATATGATGATGATGATGATGATGAAAAACACAACGATATGGTGCCTGATGAAGCCTACTTCTAAACTTCTCAATAAGTTCAAAAGTTAGGTTCAGTAGTAGAGCTGGTCTAAAGGATGAGGGAAACGTTACGTAACAACAACAGAAGGGTGAATGTTTTAAACTACTGTAGCAGAAATTAGATCAGTGGGAATGTGATGATGTTAACCCCGTAATCGAATGAGAAGGAAGTGTGAACCTTTCACTAGCCAATAGGATCACAGTATTCTGTAGAGCTGACTATTCTGCAAAATCCTGCTTATTAGATTACCTTAGAGTTCAAAACTCTTACAACTGGGACGCAAAGGTCACCAGTTACATGTTTTTACAATTCTACAACTATACAGTTTTGAGACAAATGAACTTAAATTTTATCTACTGTAGAAAATATTAGATCAGTGTGACTGTGATTATGTTAGCCCAACTATAATCGAATGAGGAGAGAGTATGGGGCCATAAATTGAAACCAAGTCTCAGAACTTATTGGATTGCCATAAGAACACAAAGATAATCAGATCACCACAGCTAGAGGAACGCAAAGGTCACCGCTTAACAGAAGAATGAGGAGAGCTGCTCTGTCTTGTTCAGTATAATATCACACTACAAAAATGTCACACTACAATCATGAATATCAATAGAAGAAAAGGTATATACAAATAGTGCTTCTCATGTCTTATTGGATGATATTTATAAAATATGATGATGATGATGATGGTGAAAAACACAACGATATGGTGAAAAGCACAACACAAGATACAAGGGTAAGCAGTAAGTCTCTCCCGGAGTTAAAATTGTCTGAGGTGCATATCTCCTCTTCAGTATCCCTAAGCCAATCTGTATAATACTGTGCCAAGGCTTTGTTATACTAGTAAATTAGCTGTAGGGGGTTAGTCCTACCAGAGTGTGTATCACCTACCAACAAGCAGCTGCACTGCCGACAAAATGCAATTGCAAACAAAATGGGAGATTTGAAAAATTAGGATGCACCAGACCTGAGCGATCATCCAAATTCAAATGGACTTTGAAGGTGGAAATGTAAAAAACTAAAAATAAAACCTAGCTAGAAAATATTTTAAATGCAAAAAAATTTGTTCAGGGTTGTTAAACAATACAGAAAAGAGAAGAGCGCCGCGCATTGCATTGGTATTGGTGTACTAGGCTATGTATGTTTGACGGATGTTACTTGTCTAAATTTCTTCGAAGTAGCTTGCGCCGCTTTCTTCTCGAAATATTACTGGCCCGACGGCAAATGCTATGAAGTAGCGCGCGCCGGGCCAGACCATTAACAATGGTCAATATATGTATGCATGTTTGTAGCGCGATGCATTACTGGGTCGCCGGGCGGCGCTCATCCAATAATGCTTTTTGCAATCACATTCGTTACATCGGCGAGATGCACCACGGGGCTTTGCCGAGCTGTAAAGAGTTTACATTGTTAAATAAGATACATGCTGGCAAGCACTGCAAAACATATTCTTAGCGATATTACCGCGGACACGCGCGGCAGCGCTTTTATTTAGCTTTTCGCATATCATTTTATATAATTGAAACATTAAAAAGAACCGAGTGAGCAATTTTGATGAGCAAGTAAAACAACAAACTTTTTTTAAAATCAGGTAAGTGCTACAATTAAATTTTTGATTTAAAAATTGATTTAAAGATTGATTGTTAAAGTAAAAATGTAAAGTAATAATTTGCGCGGCGCGTCGAAGCGGCGATTTCCTCAAAATCAAACATTTTTAAATGTGCGCTTTTATTATCAATTATGTATATAATACTTTTACGATTTAAATTTAATTTTTTGTAATAGATAAATTGTTATTTGTTTTGCCTCGCAATTTGTTGGCGCAATACACTTTTAAATTAGCTGGGCCGCGCCGCGCATCAAATAATAAGGCGCTGCGCCGGGCATCAAATATTGTTTTTATTCGGTTGACGGATGTTAGTCGTCTGAATTTGTTCGAAATACAAAATAGCGCGCACCCCTTTTTTCTTGAAATATTGCGCGCGTTGGGCCATACCATTAACAATGGTAAATTCTTCGGCAAAATGCACTTCTGGCAACGGGGCTAGCCAAACCTTACCTGGGGACCTCAGGCTATTATGTTCATAAACATGATAGAGATTAGGCGGAATGACAGGCTGAGCGCGGCCCAGTAAGCCAAACCTTGCTGAGAAGGCAAAAATATTTTATATTGACATCGTGAATCAACCACGCGATGCACTATTTGGCTGTGCATCAACTAATATGTTTTTTGGAGAACTTCGCCGCTTTGACGCACCCCGGGAATTTAATCATTCTTGCTTCGCAGAGCAACGATCTGGAAGAGTTTTTTGTTGACATCGTCAATCAATTATTTTAGGACAGCGCTCAGTACGTGTACCGTTTTGCCATTTTAAAAAATGAAATTAGTATTTTTATGACAAATATTATGCTGCGCACTTTTAAAAATTTGTTTGTAAGTGGATTGCTACCATAAAACTTTTAAAACTTAATTTCCGGGATCCCCTGACTTTTTATGCGAAAAGTGGCATGCAACGTATGTCAACAATAGGCCATTAACTGATGCTTTTTTATGTACTGTACGAAGTGTTCTCGACTTCTGGTGGAATGGGTGGTGAAGCTGAGAGACTGGTCAAGAAGCTGGCCAGTAAGATGGAGTACCACACTGGCCAGATGTACTCAGACGCTGTAGGATACATTAGAAATCGCCTTCGCTTTGAAATCCGTAGAACAACAGTGATTTCTCTCCGTGGAGACAGAGGTGCGAGAAAAAACATAATTGATATAAACAGTCTAGATCTTAATTTGGAGCCACAAGGCCAAGAGTAATTTTTGATTGTTAAGGGAAATTTTTGAATTCTTAAAGGGTTGATTTTATATAGGGTCATTGCTATATTATGTGTATATTGTTTTTCTAACTTTTTGCCATGTCACATGTTCGCTGACGATCCACTGACTGTGAAACAATTTAACTGTACGAAGTCACTGAAATTTGTAAATATAAATATAAATTCCTAAAATTATACACCATGGGTAGTTTATTCGAATTCCTTTGTTCTGAGACATTTTGTGCTAATTTAACATTTTATGGTCAGTTTATATCCCACGCCACAACATAGCCTTTAAAGCTGTAACTTTCCACTCTGAATTTATCAAATCTTATTGACGACATTTGCTTAGACAGAAAATGTTTTGTCCATTTTAGGGGGTTGCCATCTTAGGGGGGTGCCATCTTAGGGGGTGCCATTTTAGAGGGTGGGGGGGGGGGGGGGGGGAGGGGTACCAATGGCATAAATGGCATAATGGAGAATTGGCCAATAAAAATTTCCATTTATACCATAAAACGTATGACATTCCATGCAGTGGCGTAACGTTGCCTGTTGGCGCCCCCCTGCCGAAAATGCGCCCCCCTGTTGGCGCCCCCTCCCCTTTTGGTGCCCCTCCCTAAAATTGAACAAATTAGGTGATTTTAGAGGATACGCCGGTAAAATCTCTAAAAAAGTGTGTATCTAGAGCAAAACGCGCAGTTTTGCTAGTACTTTAGTTAAGTTTTCGAAATTGTCCCACATTCAAACGACGATTTGGCGCCCCCATAAGACGGCGCCCCCCTGCACAGCGGGGTCAGCAGGGCCCTTCGTTACGCCACTGATTCCATGCCATTTTATGACATTCCATGCCATTGATACCCCCCCCCCCCCCCCCCCCCCCCGTTTGATATAATACATTTCTATTTTCTTTATTTGTCATATGAATCTTTAACAATCATTCCAAGCGTTATAAAGCATGAAACATGTCTCTTATTCAAGTACCGATAATAAGTTGTGAATTTAAAGTCATCCTAAAGGTCAAATATGAAGACCTAAATTCATGGCATAAATGGAAATAAAAATTTCCATTTATGCCATAAAACGTATGCCATTTATGCCATTTTATGCCATTAGTACCCCCCCCCTCCCCCGGGGATGTCAAATCGTCATTTGAATGTGGGAAAATTTGGAAAAACTTAACTACAGTACTAGCAAAACTGCAAGTTTTGCTCTAGAAACACACTTTTTTAGAGATTTTACTGGTGTATCCTATAAAATCATCTAATTTTTCCAATTGTAGGGAGGGGCACCAAAAGCGGGAGGGGCGCTTTTTCAGCGGGGGCGCAAACAGGCAACATTACGCCACTGATCTGAAGTCAGTATCATGCACATTTCAGTAGCTAGCTCTACCAGTCTAGTGAAAAAAGCTGCTGGGATTGGTATCAGTTGATTATCATCTTTGGCCCTAAAATGCTATACTTTGAAACCAATTTTGCTTGCTGTACTGTTTCTAATTGAATGTTTTATCCTATTTAAGGTCAAATTCAACTGTTTAGCGTTTTCCTCTGAGATCCTCATACTGCATCTAGTCTTTCAACCATAATGGGGTCACACTTTTGGATTATGACCCATTAATTTATCATACCCATTCAAAGGTCATTGGACTTCTTACATTATAAGTTGACAAGCCTGTCAGCTGATTTCTAATAATTAGTAAATAAGACACTCCAGGAGTAACTATGGTTTAACTACATTTCTGACAATTGTAAATGCAGGTAAAATGATAAGAAAAGCTCACGTTGGAGCAGCCATGCTTAACTGGCGATATGTAGGCAAGACGTTCGTCAATCGGGACTTGGTGAGACAGCAAATTCTAGAGGAAGGACCAAATTCAAAACCTTTTAGGTATATTGAAAAAAATGATATATGCCGGTGGTTGAAAGCTCCAGAAGATGCTACAACAGATGGACGAATTGTGTGGCTAAGTACAGATGGACAGTTTGCCAAGGTCAGTTATGTTAATAGAATGTTAAGGAAAATGCCACCCAAAGCCGCAGTTTCAGACAAGTCCCCAACTCATTTGGCAGTATTAAAAAAGATCCCTATTCAGCAGCTCACTTTATTGGATATTAATGGCAATGCTGCTGAGAAAGTTGAGATTTTATATACCACATCTGGTGATCCCATGAGAGTGACAGAGAATGGTGTTGCTATTCCCTATCAGGATGAGGCTTATGAAGAAAAGAAAACCACAAAACAGTCTGATACAACACAAAGAACTATTGTTAAGTATGGTAAACATATTGCTGAAATGCAAGACGTTGAAGAATCAATTATGGAAAGTCTAGACACTGATCTTGAATTAGAGCTTAAAGAAAGTAAAATAAAGAGTTATTGGGGCAAGGGTAAAACATGGATAACTAAAGGAGCATTAGAGAAAAAAGACTGATAGGGTACTCCAGTGTTCCTTATTGTTTTAAATATTATCTAAAATTGATAAGATTTATTTTTAATCCATAATGATGAAAAATCGACCTCTATTTCTGTCTAGACAAATCAGGTATACAATTCATAATTAATTCCTATGAAGTTATGGATATTAACTGTCCAATTGTCAGCTAACTGTAGCAGGTACCTTAGATTTGAGGTTATTTGTTGTTGGGGCAAGCAATTCTGAATCCATGAGATTTTTTCCCGATCCATGACTCAAAGTGCCGAAGGCACAAAAGAGTCAAGGACAAGGGTTAGCGATCGAGGTTTTTTTTTGTATATGGTAGCTTGCGACCGTGCGTGCGTGCGTGCGTGCGTGCGTGCCCTCGCCCCCATGTCGACAGTCTAGTTATCGCCCACGTGTCTGCCTGCGCAAACTTATTTTGCGCGATCATCTGAATTAAACAATTGTTGGCGCGCGGTGCTGAAATGTTCAAGTACATTGTTAATTTCACCATGTACGCATCCCGCTAGGGACAAATTGATAGCATTGTATTATTATTTTGAGTTAGTATTACTATTTTGCAAAGATCCGTGTCAGGTTGCATAAACAATAAACATATGGTTACATAGAAAATAGAAATATACACGATTTTCAAATTCAATATAGAATTATATCAACTGGGCGGCGCTCGGCCTGTCTCTCCGCCATATCTGCATGCTTATAAACCGCAAAGACTGGGGTCCCCAGGTGGTATGGAATATGATAAAATACTTCATCCCGGATCGGGAAATTGAGCGGCCATCCACAAAAGAAAAGCGGCCGCATTTCTTGTTGAACAAGAGAAACTTCCAGAACTTATGTTAAAAGTTAGGGCATTTATAACAATGTAGAATTGGAAGATTTTTATTTCTGTATTTAAGAGATGTACTGTTTTCACTAGTATTTATTGAACCAGTAAATTTATCAGTTGGTAAGTTTATAATTTATTACAAAATAATGTTTCTGATTTGAGTTCAGTACTTAATGAACAAAATGATAAAATCAAAAGTATAGTATTTGTGCTCTTCTTACAGCAACCAGAGTTTGGACTATGACTATACGTATCATTAATTTGCAGTATATTATAACCTTTATTTGCAGAATAATCAAAATTGGCCTTTGCGATATTTTGTTGTTTTTGTTATTTTATTCACTCTGATCAGATCAAGTAATGGGATGGATCTCGAAAACTGGATGGGATGTATAAAAGAGGAGATTAAAGATAAGAAGTTGAGTGAGATTGTTATACCTGGGAGCCATGACTCTGGGAGTTACTGTATCAACCGCAAGTCAAAGTATGATTCTTAACGTTATTTTACTGTTGATTTTACCAATTCCTATCAAGTCTCTGCCACTCTTCTGGGCTCACTTTAAAAACTGACGTAATTATTTTTGGCTACCTGACCCAAATTAATTTTATCCAACAGGAGAACATACCTCTTACCGAACTTGTTTTGCCTGAACCCTGTTGTTGACAGAGTCGGATCAGTTTGGTCCAGAACTCAAGACTATTCCATTGCTGTAAGTCAGTCAAATTTATACCGAATAAATTCATGATTTCAAAGTTGTAATCTGTTCACTTTATCAAACCTCCTCGCTTGATAACGTAAATAATGAATCTATTAGATATAGGTAATGAAACACATTTTCAGGACCAACTAAGACTAGGTGTCCGGTACATAGACCTACGAGTGTTCCTGGACAGTAACACCAACACAAAGTATCTGGTGCACGGGTTTGAGGCAGGAGAGCTACTGGTAGAGTTGGAGAGTGTTGCGGAGTTTGTTGAGAACCATCCTGAGGAGATTGTTATCCTGGACATGAACCATATTTACAAGTCAGTGTAATATGACAACCATTACTATCGCGAATGATTAGTACTTCAGGGGCTATTTTCCCTTCTCATTTAATCATAATATCAGTTATTCTGATAACCTAAAGTAGCTAACTAATAATCTTACTTTTAAAGGTGTGCTGACTGTAACATATGCAGTATGTTGGTTAAAGTTGAGGAAATGTTTGGAGACAAGCTGTGTCCACCACCTCCACAAGATGCTGTATGTGTTTGTAATTTAATTTTGAGTAACATTAAAAGGGTAATAAAATCTGAAGGAAATAAGGACTCTAGGACTCTTTTCTAAAAGCAGAGTCCTACGGATTTGTCCGCATTTTGCCGCACTGCCTCCCCACGACTAGAGAGCTAAAGTCCCATATCCATTACAGAGTGTACAAACGTACGGTGAAATGATACAATCAGGTAAACGTGTTATCATAGCCCTGACGGAGGAGCCGGAAATGTTCACTTCAACCTACAAGCACAGTGAGGTAAAGTGCCAGTTTGACTGGGTGTGGAGTAGCGAGAGTCACGTGGTGTCCCCGTGGGCTGATACGACTGATGTTTCTTATCTTAAAGATTTCTTGGAGGTATTTCGGTATTTTACTTGGTTTGGTTAGTTTGTTGCTGATCACTCATGTTGGATTATTTCATGGAATCATTTCTTCACAATCCTGACTGTAATCTATCATGTCTAAAATAATCTGTATCTCTTATCACGATATATTTCAGATAACGATGTCACGAGAAAGAGCCCCAGACTCACTCCACGTGGCACAAACAATCCTAACCCCTAAAACTGGGGACACTTTACACGGAATATACAAGTCTCCTCGCAACCTAAAACAGGTAAAGCCGATATAAAATGTAGAGCACGAATAGATTTTAATAAATGCTAAATGTTTGTTAAATGTATAAAATTGTAAGGTTCACATCGTCGGGCATCATCTTTGTCGGGAAACAAGACTTAAAATTCGATTGTTAAATTTAAGGTCTATATTTTCAGATGGCTGACTTGTTAACTCCACATCTACCAGCGTGGTTTGAGGATTTCCAGAAAAGGCTTAAATTGAACATTGCAATTGTTGACTTCCTGACTCCGTCCCTTATTAATCTGCTGGTAAACCTCAACTTATCCTGAACTTAATGTTAACGTGGTCAGATGTTAACGTGGTCACTGGTCAGATGTTAACGTGGTCACTGGTCAGATGTTAACGTGGTTAAATGTTAAGTGTTATCGTTGTCAGATGTTAACGTGGTCAGATGTTAATGTGGTCAGATGTTAAAGTGGTTAAATGTTAACGTGGTTAAATGTTAACGTGGTTAAATGTTAACGTGGTTAAATGTTAACGTGGTTAAATGTTAACGTGGTTAAATGTTAACGTGGTTAAATGTTAACGTGGTTAAATGTTAACGTGGTTAAATGTTAACGTGGTTAAATGTTAACGTGGTTAAATGTTAACGTGGTTAAATGTTAACGTGGTTAAATGTTAACGTGGTTAAATGTTAACGTGGTTAAATGTTAACGTGGTTAAATGTTAATGTGGTTAAATGTTAACGTGGTTAAATGTTAACGTGGTTAAATGTTAACGTGGTTATATGTCAACGTGGTTAAATGTTAACGTGGTTAAATGTTAACGTGGTTGAATGTTAACGTGTTCAGATGGTAACGTGGTCAGATGTTAACGTGGTTAAATGTTAACGTGGTTAAATGTTAACGTGGTCAGATGTTAACGTGGTTAAATGTTAACGTGGTCAGATATTAACATAGTATGATGATAACATAGTATGATGTTAACATTGTGTGATGTTATGAACATCAACAGAATTAATTTAATAAACATGAACTTTAGGACGTTCACATACTTAATTGTACAGCCTAATACAATCTTTATTTCTTATTCCATTGGTTTTATACATTTTTTAGATTTCACCAAAGCTGATAACGATGTATTTTATAATCTGTTGAGACAAATAACAGAAATTTAAGACATTATGTTATACAGTTACAGCAGTAATGTTATTAAGTTGGGAACTTTGATGTTTTCATTTACAACTTAAATTTTTGACCTTTCACATAAATATATAATGAAATTGTGATAAAATGTTTGAGTGGTTTGATATTTGTCTTTAGCAATACTTTCTCGTTTTAATGGTTTTAGTATATTAACAACAAAACCGAATAGTGTGAGACAGTGACCAGTATTATTATTCTATTAATAGAAACTTATGTTCGTATATATAATATAATTACTACTTTTAAGTTAAGATTGCGTTATTTCAAACCGTTTTTACAGTTTTGCTTTACTTTGAACATATAATAATTCGAGCTTTTTATTTTACTTTACCTTGTTTCCTTTCCTATTCCCGCGGGTACCTGATACATTGTTTACAGACACAAGTTATTTGTTGTAATTGAATTTCACCGTTCTTCGAAGTTTATTACTATAGTTTTTAATTTAAAATACAAAAGTTCTTGTCCTAGATATAGGAATTATGTATTTACCAGGTCATGAATTTAAATCTACTCATCCCTCATCAGAACAAACGATAATAAGTTAATAATCTTTTTATAGTTTGTATATTACATGATTACAGGAGGAGCAATGATGTTAGGTTTTGTAGCGGACACGGTAATCATGTTCACAACTCAGCTGCTTTTCTTCATATTTGGTTATCTCTTCTTCATGCTCCAACTCTTCTCTAACTACGAGGTTTGTACTGTTATTCTAGGGGGGGGGGGGGGGGGGTCCAAGGGGAACTTTGGGGAACTTTGGGAAAGTCCCCCAAGATTTCTGAAGTTCCCCAAAAAAAAGTTCCCCAAAGTTCCCCTTGGACCCCCCCCCCCCCCCCCCCTATTCTAGTGACATGCCAGTTAAAAGTGTTTGGATGTACTCGTAACGACAGAATAATTCTTATCTTGTTGTGGATAAGTCTCGCTTGAATGACTTAAATGTATCTTTCCTTGGTATATTTTATTGTCGATTGTCGAAGCGTGTACAATAGATATTATATTAATGTTATAACTTATTATTATATTTATCTAATCCTCTTTTTCTTTCCCGTAGATCCACCAGAGAGGAGTACAGGTTCTATTTGCAGTGACCTTCACCATGTCACTCAGCATGTTCGAGCTCATCATATTCGAGATACTGGGTGTCATGGACCTCTCCTCCCGCCTCTTCCACTGGAAACTTAATCTCTACTTTGCTCTGGTTCTGTTGATCGTTATACTGCCTATGTACATGAGCTACATTGTTCTTAACAGTTTAAGGTATATATTGTTTATCTTTATTATGGAATTTTTTTTGAGTTGCAAAGATTCTTCTTCTTCTTTTTGACGACCATTGCATTTGCGTGTTTATCAAATCACGGACTAATATTCAGAATATTAAAACAACAAAGACTAACAGCTCTTTTCTGTTTCCTGTCCTGGACTGTTTATTTCTACTTCTTTTGGAAGCTTGGTGACCCATTTCCCATCATGAATCCTAAGCAAGGGATATTCAGCATAGAGCAGATGATCAGGTTAGTACTTCAATGTGATAAAATTAAGAGAATATAATAGACATTCCAGATTGTTACATGTCACATGTCACGTGTCACATGTCATGTGTCACATGTCACATGTCACGTGTCACCCTCTACCCGATGAATTTTCACTATTTGTTGGGCAGAATGATATCCGGTCTAAATCTTTAAGATGTTTGCCACATTGCATAGGAAGCTTGTTTCATAACAATTTACATGGTAAATTCCTAAAGCATTGTCACCCTTTTTTCAAACTTTAATTCAAACTTCAACTCAAACTTTGCTGTGTAGCATTCCATTGTAGTGATTGTTTGCGTCAATAGTCCGTGTAGTTCTTTGCAAAAGTTCCTCTTCTCTGGAATCATCTCCTGCTTAATTGGTTAATTAATTAGCTAATTATGTCTTCCGAAGTTACCCTTGGACTTCTTGTATTTTGTCTCGCAGTCTTGATCCTTCTCGTCCGTGTTTTCTTCGACTTCTTCCCTCTTCTTTGTAACATTGGAAAGAAGATAAAATCTCAAGACAGACAGTTGACAGTTGGAGATATTAGCTGATAATTGATATCAGCCGCATGAAGCCGGGATATTTGCGTTATATTCCCTACATAAAGATATGATATACTATAAAGAACAATTCTGCCGCACAATTTTTGGATTTTCTGATAGTTTTGTGCCTCTAGTATCAGGCTGGGAGACACCCAAGAAGACTTTTGTTTTAATTAAATCTTTTAACTGCTTAATAACTAAGGCAGGAATATTTGTATAGCAAGGAGAAGTTGTATACAATGTGCATGCTTATCAGGAATGATATTTTATCGTAAACTTGGAAAATGTATAAATTCTTATTCCCTGGATAACAAATTTTATTTTGCTTCCTTGTATTCTTGTTGTTTACAGCAGTGTTCTATAACTTTCTACTCAGAAGCAGTTTTACTGGTTACACCGGAGTGGGATCCAGGATAACTGAATTAAGCAATGTAGTGTGAGCAATGTATGAAATGTAGTGTGAGAAATGTATGAAATGTAGTGTGAGCAATGTATGAAATGTAGATGCATCTCAGGAATATTAACTTTGAGACCCTTTTCTGTGTCAAACATTGTGAATAAACTGTCGTCCTGTGTATACGATAAACCGGCCATTGGCAAAATCCTTGGTAAATTTTGTAAAACCCTTGGTAATGTAGCAAGTAGCTAACTAAATCGAGTGATTGGTCGAAATACAGAAGAAAAAAAACTTTGCTATAAATTATATCCTACAGTCTTACGTAGTTTCCCGTGAGAGTTAACCGAAGTTTTCATGGGTGGGGGCTTCATTGACACCAACACCATGGAAACGTCAAATATTTCAAACTAGCAACTATAAAACTAGCAACTATAAAACTAGCAACTATAAAACTAGCAACTATAAAACTAGCAACTATAAAACTAGCAACTATAAAACTAGCAACTATAAAGCTAGCAACTATAGAACTAGCAACTATAGAACTAGCAACTATAGAACTAGCAACTATAAAACTAGCAACTATAAAACTAGCAACTATAAAACTAGCAACTATAAAACTAGCAACTATAAAACTAGCAACTATAAAACTAGCAACTATAAAACTAGCAACTATAAAACTAGCAACTATAAAACTAGCAACTATAAAACTAGCAACTATAAAACTAGCAACTATAAAACTAGCAACTATGAAACTAGCAACTATGAAACTAGCAACTATGAAACTAGCAACTATGAAACTAGCAACTATGAAACTAGCAACTATGAAACTAGCAACTATGAAACTAGCAACTATGAAACTAGCAACTATGAAACTAGCAACTATGAAACTAGCAACTATGAAACTAGCAACTATGAAACTAGCAACTATGAAACTAGCAACTATGAAACTAGCAACTATGAAACTAGCAACTATGAAACTAGCAACTATGAAACTAGCAACTATGAAACTAGCAACTATGAAACTAGCAACTATAAAACTAGCAACTATAAAACTAGCAACTATAAAACTAGTTTCGCCACTCCTGCACAAGTAAACGGTCTTCTGCAAATTTTACCGGAACGCGCGAAAAAATCTTATTTGAGTATTCAGCGCTCCAGACCTAATTATCATATATATTTTCAATTCGATCGTGTGATCGGGACGTAACCAAAAAGAAAAATGAATCATCAAGATAGAATTGACCGCACTACAAATGAATCAACATGCAAAATGAATCATAAAGATAGAGTTGACCGCACTACACGACCATCAGCTGGGTCAGTGGGACCTATAGTTCTGCTATACCATGTCACTTGACAGGGTATAGTTGAACGCACCCTGGCAAACCTATCCACACTTTGTTCCTCCATCTCTACAATCTGCACGTCGACATGTTTTATTCTGTTTACGAATGATATTTCCAGTCGAGTAGGAGTGGTAGGAGTGACTCTGATGGCTATCCTCTCTGGGTTTGGAGCCGTGAACTGTCCCTACACTTACATGGACTACTTTGCCAGGATTGTCACGTCACTGGATGTAAACGTGAGTACTGATCGCCTTAGACATTTCCATTTTTCTGTGTCAGTTTGATAATATGAGCTAAACCGCACGCAAATAACTAACTTTCAAAATATTATTACCTGCAAAATGGCGGTAGCCCAATGGCATACTTTTATTTTTATATAATTGTTATCACTGATGCGTGGTTAGCAGAATCATAAAAACAAGTATATCCCAGAACATGGAGAAAAGAATGCTGCAGACACTGGACATGATAGCCAACAAGAAGAAGAAACTGATACTGGAGGAGAGAAAGAGTACAGCTCAAGTCAGCGACAGTGAGTACTTACTACTACTACTACTACTACTACTATGTCGGAGCTAAGTCCGATCTACGCCAGAAAACCCCCTCCATATATCCCTGTCCCGCATCAGGGTTCGCAGTTCCTCTTTAGAGTTTGTCCCAACTTCCTTCAGTAACATAGACAAGTAGCTTTGTCTTGGTCGGCCTTGCTGTGCTCTACCGTGCGTAGGTTCCCATAAGACTAAATCACTGGCAAGTAGCTCAGGATGTCGGATGCAGTGTCCCGCCATTTTTAATCTCCTGCTTCGTAACTTGTTTGACAGCCTTGGGAGGCTACCATACAAAGTTATATTGCTGACCTTGTCCTTCCATGAGATACCCAGCACCATACGCAACATCTTTGTGTATGTCCCGTCCAAACTTTTCTCTTGAGCCTTTGTCAGTGTCCAGGTTTCTGATCCGTAGAGCAGTACTGATTCACAAGCCGCTATGAACAATCTAATCTTTAGGCTCTTTGAGAGTTTGGATTTCCAGATATCCTTCAGTCTATGTAGGGCACCCCACGCTTTTCCCTTTCTAACCCTTATCTCCCTATCTGTGCTCTCAATCCAGGAGCCTAAGTAGATGAAATCATCTACATTTTCTATGGCTTCCCCGGATCGACTTTGTAGGTCGCTAGATCGATCCTCCATATTCAGTGTCATGACCTTGGTCTTGCCTTCGTTTATGTGTAGTCCCACGCTTGCTGCCGCCGATTCTACTCTGAGCAGGAACTCGTTAGCCTTGTCCATGTCCTCAGATATAAGTGCTATATCATCTGCAAAGTCCACATCGGTGATGATCTTGGGCCCCACTCTTCTGCTTTTTCTACGTTCGAGGGTGAGTCCAAGTCGCTCCGCATCATCGCCTATGGCTTGCCTCATACAGTAGTCGATGACTATTGCAAAGAGGTAAGGTGCTAAGGTATCACCCTGTAACACACCTGCAAGTATCTCGAACAATTCAGTTTCTCCGTCTGGAGTTAGGACTTTGGCCATTGTCTTCTCGTACATGAGCCGTATAAGCTGCACGATTTTGACTGGAATGCCGTAAGCTTCTAGAATCTTTAGCATTTTCCCACGATGTACACTGTCGAAAGCCTTCTTAAAGTCTATAAATGTCAGAACAGCTGGCAGTTTCCGACTCTTGACACCCTCTATAAGACGTCTCAGTACCAATATCTGTTGAGTTGTTGACCTTCCTGGTCTGAATCCATTCTGGTTTCTACGCAGAATTGTCTCGATTTCTGGCTTCAACCGGTTTAGAACCATCTTGTTTAGAGACTTGGCAACTAGGGATGACAAGCTTATTCCCCGATAGTTCATTGGTTCGCTAAGGTCGCCCTTCTTTGGAATTGGTATGATGTTGGCAGTTGACCATTGGTCTGGTTTCTCACCTTTCAATAGAGCATTGTTACAGAAGTCTAAGACAATTTGATCAAGGTCGCATCGTTTTAAGACTTCTGGGGCTATGTTGTCGTCACCCCATGCTTTCCCTTCCTTTATGCTGGACTTTGCTTTTCTGTACTCATCCAACGTAAACGGTTGTGTTCCGATATTCAGAGGTGGGTGGACTGGATCAATATCCTCTTCCGCGTTCTCTACCGTCGGTGGTGAGCCGAGAAGAGTAGCAAAATAGTCCTTCCATTTCTGAACCCTTTCCGTTGGTGAGTTTCCCTTGATTTTGCCAGTATATGATGGAGCTTTACCTGTGATCTTGTTGATCATGGTCCAGCTTTTAGCATGTCTGCCCTGCCAACTTGCTTCCTCCAGTTCCCGGACCTGCCCCTCCAGCAGGTGCTCTTTAGCTGCTTGATAAGCATCGCCTAGCTTCTGTTTGCCCTCTTGGACAGCTATTCGGTTGTCTTCTGTAGCATCTGAGTGGTATTTTATGCTACATTCCCTCAGCTTCAGCCTGGCAATTTCAACACTTGGAGTCGCTGAGATTTTACATCTTTTCTTTTTCTCCTTTTCAGGTAGTAAAAGTCGAGAAGTTGTCCTATTCGCATCAATAAAGCATTGGTACCTTTCTGTTGCCGTCTGATCATCCTTTTCAAGTATGGAAAAGCGGTTTTTAACTTCCACTGTGTACCTCTCCTGTAGAGCGATATCAGTTTTAAGTTTAGACCAGTCCAGAACCGGAGCCCTCTTCTCCGTCTTGCTTATCCGTAGACTAAGCTTTACCCTTGCTACGACTACTCTGTGATCCGAGCCAATACTGTGGAAACTACCATATGCTTCGGAGTTCTTGACGGAGTTCCGCCATTTCTTCCGGCAAATGATGAAGTCGATTTGAGATTTACTTTGACTCATATCTGAGAGATATGTCCAGAGTTTACCTCTTCGCTTCTGAAATCTGGTGTTTGTGATTTCTAGCTGTCGCTCCAACAGCATATCCTCTAGCAGTCTACCATTTCGGTTTGCTGGACCCTTGTGGAAGGATGTCCAGTTTCCTGATGATGAGACATGCGCATTGAGGTCTCCTACAACGAATAGTAAGTTGTGGGCTGGTATCTGGTCGATGGCACCACCAAGGCTGTCGTAGTAGTTTTCTGCTTCGTCGACAGTCGCCCCCTCTGTCGGGCTATAAGTCACAATAACAGTTGTGACCGGGTTCCCTGCAAAGTTGGCTACCATCGTCCTCCTGTCATGTGAGTATACACTAATCAATGAGTTGAATACTGTCTTTTTGTCCAAGACAATACCAACCCCACCAGCAGCCGCCCCATTGCTGGTTCTCCATGCCGAAGTTGTTATGAGGTGAGAGCTTCCAAGATCTTGATACTCGATTTCAGTGCTATGTACTACCCGATGCTCCTGAATGCCCAAAATATGTACGCCACTATCCCTCATGCATACACCCAGCTCATCCCTCTTGTATTGTTCTCTTATTGTTCGTACATTAAGAGTTCCTACAAGAATTTCCTTCTGGCCACGTAGTAGTAGGGTACCAGCCTTTGAAAGAGTTGGAGCAGGAGATTTGGGTGTGACCCGCCGGTCGAGAGATTAAGGTGTGTGCCCGAGGTAAATACCCCACACACCATGTGTTGAGTCTACGGCGGCGCCCGGCCAATAGGCAGGTCACAAATTGTTTTGCCAGACTTGTATAACCGCATCATAGTACTCAAGCGAACAACCATCCCCCTGTTCGCTAGGGCCGTTACTGCAGAAAGCCTCACGTCTAGAACAATTGATCATTTGTCGCTCCTGATCCTAGAGCATCCTTGTCTCGTTACTTGTCACATGCACTTTTTCTAAAGAGGAACTGTATAGTGATATACAGAAAGAAAATCTGTAGTAGATTTTCAAAGGCGACTGATAATATTGCGGACGCCACACCAGCAATATGACAACCATACCATAATCCAACATTCCCATGCACCTTTATAGTTTAGAGTGCTTAGCACTATCCCAACTGCCAATATATTGCCAAAACGTTCTTGCCCAACAGAAATGCCAACTATAGTTATAGTGTTACACACTGTGCCTCAAATTATTTGATCAAAGACGAGGATGTGGGATGATAGGCCGGTATATGTAGTGTAGTGCTGACACCTAACTAGGACTGAGTGCAGTAGGACGGTAGAATGCAAGTGTGGAAGTGAGGATGTGGGATGATAGGCCGGTATATGTAGTGTAGTGCTGACACCTAACTAGGACTGAGTGCAGTAGGACGGTAGAATGCAAGTGTGGAAGTGAGGATGTGGGATGATAGGCCGGTATATGTAGTGTAGTGCTGACACCTAACTAGGACTGAGTGCAGTAGGACGGTAGAATGCAAGTGTGGAAGTGAGGATGTGGGATGATAGGCCGGTATATGTAGTGTAGTGCTGACACCTAACTAGGACTGAGTGCAGTAGGACGGTAGAATGCAAGTGTGGAAGTGAGGATGTGGGATGATAGGCCGGTATATGTAGTGTAGTGCTGACACCTAACTAGGACTGAGTGCAGTAGGACGGTAGAATGCAAGTGTGGAAGCCAAGTACTTACTACTTGGGTTATTTAATGTTATTAACAGTTGTGGTTACCATGGGAATATTACGATCTAGAGGCATTGTTTTCTTGCGAATTCTATTGATAGTGGCTAAGGGACTCAACCGATCTAATAATGATATCGTACTATTAAAATTCTACAATTGCGGCCCAGAGAAACAGGTTGCTTACTTTGTGTCTCCTTTCAGAGGATCAAGGCTGGTGGTCAAGACTAACCTCTTCACTCCGCACAAATGAAACAGTAACATTGTTGTACGATGAGGTGGAATCTCTTGAGGAACTTTCTAGACAGGTTTAAATCACTTATATATTCTGTGGGACCATCTCGGAAAGTTGTTTAAATCTGTCATATTGATCTGCAATTGTAGCCCTAAATTTTAACACATTTAGGCAATTATCATCTTTTAAATGATGAAACTTTTCAGCTGTATTTGGAAATAGTAGATATGAACTCGATGAGAGAACGTCTAGCTATGAGTAGGACACTGTTGGGAAAATATTTCAACTTTACTGGTCACATTTTCTCAGGTGAATATAGCGACTTGCTTTTTATTTATTGTATTTTATTTTATTGGCCCGGTCCAGAGGGCCGCACTATCTATAAATATTACATGATTTTGGTTTCAGCAAAACAATTTGCCTGCTATAATTTCGTTACTTCAATTAAAACAGCTTTTTAAAAACACATAATTTCAGGTTACCTCGCATACAAGATATTCATGAGCACAGTGAACATTGTGTTTGACAGAGTCGGCAAAAAGGACCCCATCTCCCGAGGACTAGAGATCTCAGCAAACTGGTTGGGCTTCAAATTTGACGCTCAATTCTGGGCACAACATCTCAGCTTCATCATCGTTGGCATCATCATCGTCTGCTCAATCCGGGGTCTCCTCATAAACCTCATCAAATGGTTCTACGCTATCTCCAGCGCCAAATCCAGCAACCTCCTCGTCCTGTTCCTGGCTCAAATAATGGGAATGTACTTTGTTTCGTGTGTTTTGCTGATGAGGATGAACTTGCCGCCTGACTTCCGGGTCATCATTACGGAGGTGCTCGGGAACATCCATTTCAACTTTTATCATAGGTGGTTTGATGTTATATTCCTGGTATCCGCGGTTATTACAATGGGAGTGCTGTACGTGACTCACCAGACTTCTCCCCATAAGTTTACATCTGCTCATTGAGGAGCTGTTAGTGGTGTTAGTGGGGAATAGTTGTTATGTGTGTGTGTAGAATTAACGTTTAATTAGTCAGGAATTAGATATTTATTTAATAGAGCTTAGTGTTTAATTATTACGGAATTTAAGTAAGTGTTATGTGGATTGTTACGACGCTGATAAACATTATTCCAATGATATGCATCTCACAAATGCATTTGTCTATGTAATCAGAAGACGCGAGCAATGTGTGCCCTGTCAATGTAATAAATACCAGCATTTTATTTAAATAGTATGTTTATGGCTATGCAGTTTTTACCTGGGTATCTAGATGATGCAAGGCTAACGTTAAATGAAAATTATTATATGTATTTATACATTAGAATTTCCAGCCTGACTTACAATACGATAAATATAACAGACGATTAAACTTGTTTTTTAAGTTGTTGAGTATAAAATAATGACAAACCATGAAATATAACTATTGGCCTCTTTTAACAAGCCTAAATTCGAAAAATTTGGTCAGCTAAAATTTTAGTTTTCGGTATCTAGTGTTATGATATATGTTGACTCACGTTGAATTATTGAAAATGAATGAAAATTGTCATCGCAAGATCTGATATTGACATTATTTATTGTCACAATACGATCGTTTTTTGTGTCCATGAATCATTTGAATAAATATCATACCAAATATGAGGTATTCCATCCTATAATTATACAAAAGGAACATTTGACCATTTCCAATGACCAATATTCTTGTGCCTAAAGTCATGTTACCTTCAAATCTTCTTCTTCTTTATAGGGGGCTGTAGTCATTATCACTATTGTATCCTCTTCCATACCTTCACATCACACAACACCTGAACCTGTAAAAACGGAGCTTGTGAGCTGAGCTTACCGTCCAATAGAACTCCAGGAAGTTAATGAGGTGCGGGCAGTCTCAACTCGCTAGAGTATGAGCGGATATTGCCAACTACCCACGTGTCATACCTGTCACGTGATCATAACGTTCTGCTTCTATTAGCCGAACTTGGGGAGTTTAGAGGAATAGGTTCGTTAATTACAACAGCAGTTGGTATTACGGACTGGCTGCAGGTAATATAACTGCTCTTTTTAGTTTTACACTTTAAGAGTTTCAAGGTTTCCCGCTGTTCTTCTTTGTGATGATTTAAACCAATCGATATCGTTAACCTCCAGCAGTTCTGACGTTTGGACACGTCAAGTGCTTCAATGACCTAGTAATCAACCAATTTAATTAGTAAGAGAAGCACTAGCATTTAATAGCATTGTATCTGATTAGCAGCATTAAAAGTTTCTTTATAACTGATAACATCTCATGAAAAACGATTGGCAGAAATGCAGTCAAATGGCCAATACGAGGAACTGCCTCAGGATTTCCTTATGCAGCAGCTCAAAAATAGTTTGACCACCGATGAAAATTTAGGAAAAGATGCCTCTCCTCGAGCAAACACCAACGATTACATTTCTTATGAGATGGGTGGGGTAGACCAAGAGTTTCAACCTGATGGTAGTTATGCTTTTCCAATAGATCCCGCCAGAACGTTCAGCAAAGAGCCAAACAAAGGTTTAGACATTGATTTTGTTCTCGTATATAAAATTCCTGTACATGTGAAGGATCCAGAGCTAAAATCTGGAGATTCAACTCCATTGCAGGTCCCTACTGGAGGTGATGGAGCAGCGACCCCTCAACCAACTGTTAAACTGGCCGGGAGGAAAAGTTCTTTCGATCAGTCTGGAGCAGATCAGATTCTGATAGACGCGAGAAGGCAGGAAGAGAAACAAGTGAAATACAGGAGAAACTTTCACAAGAATATTAAGGGTATGGGTATTGCTATAGAAACAGACGAGTTCAGGGCGTCTGGTGACCATTTGCGGGTTGTGAAGCTGAGTGTACCCAATAGGATACTTATGAAGTGGGCAGAGAAGTTCGGCTTCGAGAAAGCTCTGAAATGTGATAGAAAAGCTCATTTGGAACGAAATCGAGGTGCAGCCGAAAAGAAGACAAAAAAGATGAACAAGCGGATGTTTGATGACTTTCCGAAAATGTCTGATGAAGAGTCTGAGTCCAGTGATGACGATGACGAGGGGGACGAGAAGTCAGGGTTGTTCAGCTGGTTTAAGGACAAGATATTTCACTTCTTGCACGGGAAAGACACCTTCTATGCCAACATGAGGAAGAATTTTTTTCCAAAGATCGTCAAAGCTCCTTTCGTCGTTCACCATGCTGATAAGTTCCTGGGTTTTGAAAGGAGAGACTTCTTCAGTCCAGCTGAGAGAAGCATAGTTGTCTACAGAATTCTGCAGCAGGCTGTTTACTTGAAAGAGGGAAACAGAGAACTATTTGGGGTGGATGAATTGGTAGCCAATGGAACTTACAAAGCAGCTTACCCTCTACATGACGGACCATATGAAATCGACCGAACTCAACGACCTAAGAACCACAGGCAGCTTCTACGATTCTACTGGGCCAGTTTCCGACAGTGGAACAAATATCAACCTCTCAACGAAATAAGAAACTACTTCGGGGAAAAAGTCGGGATGTATTTTGCGTGGACAGGTTTTTACACTCAATCACTCTTCATCCCAGCAATCATGGGAACGTTGGTGTTTGGATATGGAATTGTCATTCGAGGAGAAGATTTCATAAGCACTGAAATCTGTGAGAGCGGTAAAAAGTACAAAATGTGTCCCTTGTGTGAGGACGAAGGTTGCGAAATGTACTTCATAAAAGACATCTGCAAAACAGCCCAGCAAGCAACGTCAGTGAACAACCCCGCCACTCTCCTCTTCTGCATCTTCATGTCCATTTGGGTGGCATACTTTCTAGAAATGTGGAAGAGAAAGGAGGCCATGCTGGGCCACATTTGGGGAACTCTCAAGACACAACACTCCACCGCTCAAATAAGACCCACCTACACCCAGAACTGCGACAAGTGGAAGTTCAACCCCAGATCACAGCGCAACGAGCCGTGCATGAGCAGCCGGAAACGGTATCCCAGATACATCACAACCTTCGTTTCAATACTCGTAATCCTGGGGTGCGTGGTCATATTCGCTCTGGCGGTCATTGTTTACGATCTGGCGGTCTACCTGGCTCTCTCCAACAATCCAGACACAGCCAAGTACGCTAAGTGGTTATCAGCAGTGAGTGCTGGGGTGATGAGTTTGACACTGATCATCATCATGAGCAAGTACTACACTTACTTTGCTATTACCATGACCGAGTGGGAAAACCACAAAACTCAGTTTGAGTACGAGAATAATCTGACCATCAGGAGGTATATTTTCGAAGTGTTCAACTTCTACAGTACTCTCGTCTACATTGGCTTCTTCAAAGGCAAGATAAATGGGTATGTTTCATTTATTAGTCAATATGGCATTTCACGATTTCAGTGAGCCTGTAACCTCAAACGTTTATAATCGAGGAGAAAATGAAGCTTTCTCAAGATAAAGAGGAACTATGGTCATTGATTTACTGCATAGTGAGTTGTGTGATTGTTATTTATTACCATATCATGATATAATTTCACTGATGTACTGTCGCAGGTACCCCGGGAAATACCCAAGAGTTTTTGGGGTAAAGATGGAAGACTGCCCTCCAGGTGGCTGTATCTCTGAGCTGGCTACACAGATGGCCATCATTCTGGCTGGAAAACAGTTCATCTTCACCTTCTCCCAATTCGTCATCCCCATCATTATCAGCAACAAGAACAGCTGCCTAAAAGCGATAAAACCGAAGAAACAGAAGAAGAAAGACCCAACAAAGAAGACGAAATCTCCCTGGGAGAGGGATTACCAGCTAGCTGAGACACGCGATGTATTTGCGGAGTATTTGGAAATGGTTATCCAGTATGGGTTCGTGACCATTTTCGTAGCTGCATTCCCTTTAGCGCCCCTACTAGCCCTGGTGAATAACCTCCTGGAAATGAGATTGGATAGTTTCAAGTTTGTAGCTCAGCTCCGCAGACCTATTGGATTTAAGAGTAAAGACATCGGAATCTGGTCTGACATCCTAGCTGCAGTGGGTAAGATAGCGGTGGTGTGCAACGCCTTCATAATAGCATTCTCCTCCGACTTCTTACCGATGATGCTGTTCGCGATGGATTTCAGGGAGAAGAATGCCAAAAGAAAGAACATGCTGTCAGGGTATGTTAACTTCAGCTTGGCAGTGGCTTCCCCGGAGATGACAGGCTACTCGGAACCTTGTAGGTACTGGGCTTATAGAGACGAACAGGGAAGTTACAATCTCTTCTTCTGGAAACTCACGACTGTTAGGCTACTGTTCGTCATTGTGTTCGAACATGTTGTTTTAGGTAAGGTAGAAGCTCAGCTGGCATGTTATTGTACATGTTGTTTTAGGTAAGGTAGAAGCTCAGCTGGCATGTTATTATACATGTTGTTTTAGGTAAGGTAGAAGCTCAGCTGGCATGTTATTGTACATGTTGTTTTAGGTAAGGTAGAAGCTCAACTGGCATGTTATTGTACATGTTGTTTTAGGTGAGGTAGAAGCTCAGCTGGCATGTTATTGTACATGTTGTTTTAGGTAAGGTAGAAGCTCAGCTGGCATGTTATTGTACATGTTGTTTTAGGTAAGGTAAAAGCTCAGCTGGCATGTTATTGTACATGTTGTTTTAGGTAAGGTAGAAGCTCAGCTGGCATGTTATTGTACATGTTGTTTTAGGTAAGGTAGAAGCTCAGCTGGCATGTTATTGTACATGTTGTTTTAGGTAAGGTAGAAGCTCAGCTGGCATGTTATTGTACATGTTGTTTTAGGTAAGGTAGAAGCTCAGCTGGCATGTTATTGTACATGTTGTTTTAGGTAAGGTAGAAGCTCAGCTGGCATGTTATTGTACATGTTGTTTTAGGTAAGGTAGAAGCTCAGCTGGCATGTTATTGTACATGTTGTTTTAGGTAAGGTAGAAGCTCAACTGGCATGTTATTGTACATGTTGTTTTAGGTAAGGTAGAAGCTCAGCTGGCATGTTATTATACATGTTGTTTTAGGTAAGGTAGAAGCTCAGCTGGCATGTTATTGTACATGCCTACTTTTTTCCGGTTTATCGTATGTTTCAGAAAGAACTTTGTAATACGATGTTTCAAGTTGTATTTCCTATCAATTCTATTTATAGAAGTCAAACTGAGATTGACAAGAGAATTTTCAGGAGTTGTTAAGATGATAGATATATTTATCCCGGATATGCCCGATTCTGTACAGCTCAGAATAGACATTGACGAGATTATCGCAAACGATATCGTCAACGATGATGATAGCATCAAGAAAAAAGTGAGTAATGCATCATGCATCAAGCAATTAGCTATATAAGCTATTAGTATATTTCATTGTCAACCTACAGCTATCAGAATTTATATTATGCTTCGAGAATGGTTTATGAGACATTGTTGATATATATATTTTTTAGTAGTGCTGCCAAAGTGAATATTATATTTATCAGTCGATACCTCATTTTATTTTACCCCGTCGCATGATTGTGGTAATATTATTACTAATAAATAAATTTTCTTACTTCAGTTCACATCTGTGGGCACTAATACTCAGAAAGGAATGAAGAAGGGTGATGAACAGATCCAAAAGGATGCAGATACCAAAGTATAGGGAGGGATACACTACGCGCCTCACATAAATACAAACACGAGACATAGACTATGGAAGCTGTTCGATGTATATTAATATAATAACCACAGAACAGCACTATTACATTATTATGACCACGGCCCGGTTCACTCTTCTTAATTATTCGGGTTTGGTAAAATTAAGCCATGTTTAACAATACAATTTGTTAGTTGTTTTATCATTTTTGCGATACAGTTGCAGTTTTGGGAATGAGTTTTGCGCTGGAAGTGGTATAGGATTTTTTGTGGTGGAATTTATAAGATCATTACTTAATTAATCAAACATTTTCTTATTTTAATTGTTGATTGCACGTTGCTCATCAACGTAGAAATAAAGTTAGATTCGTTACATTGACCTAACAGTAAGAGGCTAACCAAATTTCCTAAATTCATTTTCAAATTCATAAGAAAGAAGACAAATTCATTCAGAAGGAATTTTTGATCGGCGCGAACAATCGACGAACACATACAATGAATAATGATAACATGAGTTCCAATTTAAACCCTACTGCTCCGATCCCAAAAATTCAAGGAACTAATCGAAAAAGTGAATTAGGTAAACGAAAAACATCAAGTTTCACCGCACTAAGGATATTAATAAAATTAACATTAATTAAATGTTTTTGTAACGTATGACTTTCGAAAAGCTGTCGATCGCTCCCATTTTGAAATTTTAATAAAAGCTATGTATTGTTCAACGTACTCAAAATATCAATAGCTTAATCTGCACACGAAATTTTTAGATAAGTATGCAACACAATACCCAACTACAAATCAAAATGTCATAATTTTCACGAATAATTGGCAAACAAATCTATATATGGAGGCATTAAAATTAAACGAACAGATAAATAAATAAGTTAGGAAAGAGATCTACAATAACTATTCACAAAAATCACAATTCAATAGCTAACATTTCATTCAAATTCATGATATTTCACATATTACTTACTTCAAAACCAGTGTTTTTGAACACTGCGATTACGCGATTGTAAATAAAAGAAAAGAACAGGATACCAAATAGTTTGTGGTGTGATATAGCAATTGCTACCAACATGATAAATATTTCTTAAATATGCATGGCTACCTTGTTGGCAATAATTTAGTCGCGATAAAAGAACGGGAACTTTAGGTCAAGAAAATTTGTTTTTATCCTTGAAGCAACACAAACTTTTGGCAAATTCCTAGGTTTTGGCATAACCAAACTGACTCTTCCAACATTCAATTTCAAGGAAATTAAAGAATTGAGAAAAACTATCTTATGAAAGGATTGAATTTTTCCTTAAAAATTGCCCTTGAAATCCCTTTGAACCTGATGGATAATACTATAAAACCAAAACTTTACCCAAAGATTACGTACAGTTTCACAATTTTTCCAGTCTTAATTCAGCGGAAAAAGTTTGAATGGCCATAATTTGGACGGGTCGATAAGTAAAAAATCAGGAACATTTTTAGTAAGATCTACATTATTGCCAATTAGGTATATAAAATACTCCACTAAAATAATTACAGAGAATGATATGATGACTTATGTAATTAAATGTAATTGTCTGGGATGGTTTTAAAAGGGTTCATAAACGCTAAAATGTGAGGAATTATGACTCATCTGGGCGGTGATGCAGGTCTACGTTAGTGATGAAGGACAGGAGGTCAACAGGGACAGGTGGGTGAAGTTAAGTGTTAACTCCTTATATGGGCATCACGCGGTACTCTGGGTCATTCCTTTAGGGCAACTGTTAGAGCTTCTAACATCTCTAATACTTCGTCCTGTGAAAATGGAATGTTATGGAATTTAGAGCAATAACAGAAACTGGTACAGCAACTAGTACAGCAACTGGTACAATATATTATATATATTATCTACTATCTAGTCATCACGATGGTTTGATAATAGCATTATGGTAGAAAAAGAATTTAAAATGGATCATTGCATCCCATTAATCAAAACTTTCAATGATTAGATTTGGCGTAAATAAAATAATTTCATGTAAGGGGGCACTACAATCACACTACATGATACATCGCGAGAACTTGGTAATTCCTACTTTTTAAACCTATAATATCACAAACATTCAACTATAAATTATATACATTACGAATGTTAGCTCTGGTTATATTGAAATAGACCTTAATATCTAGATGAACAGAATAACAAATCCACAAATTACCAAGGTTAAACAACACTTACATCTGACTTAGGGCTCCGGCCAGTGTGAGTGAATAAGAAAGTGCCGATAGCCCTGCGGAGGTTGCCCAGTTTGTCCATAGCCAAGTTCAACTGGTTATCCGGATCCTGTGGTTCAGTGGGAGCTGCCCCTGGAACCTCTGTCTTCTGTCGCCGCTGTAGGAAGAGCAGGGTCAGATTCCGGGCAGATAAGGGTAGGGAGTTTGGATATTTGGAGATTTATACGATTGATATTATGGAACATTGACATTTTATTAGAATCATTGCAGTTAAATATTTATATATTAAAGTTTGATTTAGTTAGATGGAAGATTATTTTCCAGTTATATTGTCTTAGCTAAAGAACTCACCACTCCCATGTAGCTGGTGGGATCCGACATTTGTCTGCTGAAAATGAGATGTTGAAAGCGCCGGAAAAGGTTTTGATTTCTGTAAAATAAACAATTAAAATTGTTTACAAATATAATGAGAAAGACCATGGATAGGGCTAAAAGATAATTGTAAATGATTTTATATTTTACCTTTCATGTACCGTACCTTTTGAAGCTTATCTCATTTTGATCCTTCAATTCAGCAAAATTTTGTCTTTTTCTGAGCAAGCAAATTTCGTGGTGCAAAATTTGAAATTAATACATATTATGTTTGTGTGTTTTACACCCATACTAAAAACAAGTGAGGTGATTCCAAACTGCGTGGGATGAATCTTGTGGGAAACTTAAGCGGACATCGCGCATGTTTACATTTAATTTCTCAAAATTCCAAGTTGGGCTTGGGTGTTTACATTTCTGTTTAATTTAGATAGGAAATTAAGTCGATTGCTGCTTATTGTATTTGTATAGTCTGTGAAGAGAGTGTATTACTTTTTTACACTTCATTTGAACGGATATTAATTGGATGCTGGATGCCCTAGCGTTCATTTTAATGCCCGTTCAAATAAAGTCCGATAAGTCAGTCAAATTAAATTCTGATTATGAAAGCCTTCGAGCGTTAATTTTAATGTCCGTTCAAAATTAAAATAAATAACACTGAAATAATTATTTCGCGATAGCCCAGCAGTTTTTCTTTCTGTAGCAATTTGAAACCATTAGCCATCTGCATCCATCAAATGCCAATAAATTAAAATAAAGTCATTGATGGAAAATTTGCAATAATTTTACAAGATGGATCATGGGATAATTTTACCATAATAATTTGGATCTATCATTTAAAAAATATTACCAAAGCCTTTCAACATATCCCTATTTGATTTTGGTAGACTTTTATCATGTTTTCGTTGTCATTATATGAACATAACCAAAATAGCCGACTAGCTACAAGTACAATTATAATATGACGATAAGAAGCATATTTGCAACAGGAAACTGAACTACTATTACTAAGCGCAAAAGTCCGAAAAACACGAACAAAACAACAGGCTTAAAAAACATTAAAAGAAATTTCGTCCAAAGGAAATGTGACATAAAAAAGTAAATGAAAGTAGTTACCCCGGAGGAAATAATCCTATGGCGATGGGAGTATTTTCTTCTGGAACAGCTGGAAGTGACCTTCTTCTTGTTGCCTCACTGTTGTCAACAACCGACTGAATATCCTTACGATGAGGGGCTCCTTCTGAACGATTCATTAGCCGGATTAGAAATGATATGATAATGATATATGGCCATATCCAGTGCACTTTATAACTTATAAATTATGAAGTGTACTACGCGTATGTCAATGTGCTTTTATGAAAATAAAGCGCTGCAAATGTAATGAAGATCAGTCAATTATGCAATATGGATTTATATAATATGCATTATTGACTGATCTTCATTAGTACTTTATTATATTTCTGATGAGACAGAATGGGATTAAATGATTTACGCAAAACAAGGATGATTGGTTTTTCGTAAACCATCAGTGATTACTGAGTAGAAAGTACACGTAAGATTTAATGATTGTATCGATTCTGAACTTAGATAATAGGTACACTAGAAGTAGGTAGACTAGAAGTAGGTAGACTAGAAGTAGGTAGACTAGAAGTAGGTACACTAGAAGTAGGTAGACTAGAAGTAGGTACACTAGAAGTAGGTACACTAGAAGTAGGTAGACTAGAAGTAGGTACACTAGAAGTAGGTACACTAGAAGTAGGTAGACTAGAAGTAGGTAGACTAGAAGTAGGTAGACTAGAAGTAGGTACACAGTACACTAGAAGTAGGTAGACTAGAAGTAGGTAGACTATAAGTAGGTACACAGTACACTAGAAGTAGGTAGACTAGAAGTAGGTAGACTAGAAGTAGGTACACTAGAAGTAGGTAGACTAGAAGTAGGTATACTAGAAGTAGGTAGACTAGAAGTAGGTAGACTAGAAGTAGGTACACTAGAAGTAGGTACACTAGAAGTAGGTAGACTAGAAGTAGGTACACTAGAAGTAGGTACACTAGAAGTAGGTAGACTAGAAGTAGGTACACTAGAAGTAGGTACACTAGAAGTAGGTAGACTAGAAGTAGGTACACTAGAAGTAGGTACACTAGAAGTAGGTAGACTAGAAGTAGGTAGACTAGAAGTAGGTAGACTAGAAGTAGGTAGACTATAAGTAGGTACACAGTACACTAGAAGTAGGTAGACTAGAAGTAGGTAGACTAGAAGTAGGTACACTAGAAGTAGGTAGACTAGAAGTAGGTATACTAGAAGTAGGTAGACTAGAAGTAGGTAGACTAGAAGTAGGTACACTAGAAGTAGGTACACTAGAAGTAGGTAGACTAGAAGTAGGTACACTAGAAGTAGGTAGACTAGAAGTAGGTAGACTAGAAGTAGGTAGACTAGAAGTAGGTAGACTAGAAGTAGGTACACTAGAAGTAGGTAGACTAGAAGTAGGTACACTAGAAGTAGGTACACTAGAAGTAGGTAGACTAGAAGTAGGTACACTAGAAGTAGGTACACTAGAAGTAGGTACACTAGAAGTAGGTAGACTAGAAGTAGGTACACTAGAAGTAGGTACACTAGAAGTAGGTAGACTAGAAGTAGGTACACTAGAAGTAGGTAGACTAGAAGTAGGTACACTAGAAGTAGGTACACTAGAAGTAGGTACACTAGAAGTAGGTAGACTAGAAGTAGGTACACTAGAAGTAGGTAGACTAGAAGTAGGTATACTAGAAGTAGGTAGACTAGAAGTAGGTAGACTAGAAGTAGGTACACTAGAAGTAGGTACACTAGAAGTAGGTAGACTAGAAGTAGGTACACTAGAAGTAGGTACACTAGAAGTAGGTAGACTAGAAGTAGGTACACTAGAAGTAGGTACACTAGAAGTAGGTAGACTAGAAGTAGGTACACTAGAAGTAGGTACACTAGAAGTAGGTAGACTAGAAGTAGGTAGACTAGAAGTAGGTAGACTAGAAGTAGGTAGACTATAAGTAGGTACACAGTACACTAGAAGTAGGTAGACTAGAAGTAGGTAGACTAGAAGTAGGTACACTAGAAGTAGGTAGACTAGAAGTAGGTATACTAGAAGTAGGTAGACTAGAAGTAGGTAGACTAGAAGTAGGTACACTAGAAGTAGGTACACTAGAAGTAGGTAGACTAGAAGTAGGTACACTAGAAGTAGGTAGACTAGAAGTAGGTAGACTAGAAGTAGGTACACTAGAAGTAGGTAGACTAGAAGTAGGTACACTAGAAGTAGGTAGACTAGAAGTAGGTAGACTAGAAGTAGGTACACTAGAAGTAGGTAGACTAGAAGTAGGTAGACTAGAAGTAGGTACACTAGAAGTAGGTAGACTAGAAGTAGGTACACTAGAAGTAGGTACACTAGAAGTAGGTAGACTAGAAGTAGGTACACTAGAAGTAGGTACACTAGAAGTAGGTACACTAGAAGTAGGTAGACTAGAAGTAGGTACACTAGAAGTAGGTAGACTAGAAGTAGGTACACTAGAAGTAGGTACACTAGAAGTAGGTACACTAGAAGTAGGTACACTAGAAGTAGGTACACTAGAAGTAGGTTTACACATGTCTGAGAAATACAACTCACCTTGTTCGACCTCTGGAGAAGAATTGGAGGGTGTGTTGGAACTATATCCGTAAACTTCTGTACACTTCTCCGATCTGAAGTTCTGGAACGATCGCATCTTTAAATCCTGCCTGCAAAATTGAAAAATTGTATGAACGTTTCGAAGTGTTATAAGAACGCTTATAAAAATTGTATGAAGAAAGACAAAAGCGTACAGTAATAACATGGCAGCGACTCAAATTAAGAAATTTATGAAAATCTCTCAATGGTTATTTGTTAATCTCACTGCAGCCGTATTATGTTCTTAATTTAAATTTACAAGATAAGATGTTAACTGGACTCTAAACCAACAGAGTATGAAGATTAACAACAAAGAGGAAAAAGCACTCATCACTCTAGGAGGTACAGATATTTTCATCCGTTAATTAATGCATTTCACTACTATTATGGTAGGTACAACTATGCTTGGTGTAACTTGTTGGGATAGTATAGGAATTCTGGTTCCTATAGTTGGGAATGAGGTAGTTGTCTGTTCACAGATCGCCCTCTAAAACTTAGTAAGTAGTAGTAGTAGTGAGCTATGTGCCCATCCTTGGAGAACCCGGCGAATGTCCTTGCTGTACAGTGTACGGCAGTGTTAAACAAGGAACTGAAACCGAGGGGTTCCGTTCAGGCCCTTCGCACTTTGTTTCTGTCTAGTTCTAATGTACCGTCACAATAGTGACTTTAATATACATATTACTATATCTATCTAATTCTCAGAGGCTTTATTTTCACATTCGAAGCTGAAGCATGGTGCAAATGAAGGCCAGACCAATATCTTCATTTCGAAATTTATCGTTCAATATTTCAGTTCTTGCAACTTTTGGATTTACGGTGCTGTGTTTCAACAACTTTGATGTTCACCACACACTTGGGTAAGTAGAATCAGGTCACAAAGATCAGACAAAACGTCTCAAATTTATGAGTACATTTTTGAAGTTTTCTTTATTTCTCATGTAATACAGAAAAATAGAGAACGGTTACAGTCAATCAGTTGGCACTCCCACCCACAATCCTCACCACCAGAGGACAACAACTTTCTACACACAATTCTTAACAAACCCCACCAGGACTTTCTACACACAATTCTTAACAAACCCACCAGGACTTTCTACACACAATTCTTAACAAACCCACCAGGACGATAACAACTTTCTACTCACAATTCTTAACAAACCCCGCCCACCAGGACTTTCTACACACAATTCTTAACAAACCCACCAGGACTTTCTACACACAATTCTTAACAAACCCCACCAGGACTTTCTACACACAATTCTTAACAAACTCACCAGGACTTTCTACACACAATTCTTAACAAACCCCACCAGGACTTTCTACACACAATTCTTAACAAACCCTGCCCACCAGGACTATAAAAGAGTACGGAGTTCCAGGACTCCTCTTCTCTGGAATGGTAGCCTTCTGCCTGTCTCACGTGCAGTTCCTGATGTACCAACACAAGCAGTTTAAGGACTACCCTGGTCCACCTCGAGAGAGCTTTCTCGAGGGCAACTATGGCCAGATGAGGGAGGCTCAGGCTCAAAATAAGTTAGTTCATTGTTTCTGTTTAAAACGGGTTGTGGAAGTTGAGATGAATTTATACTCTTTACTTAGTTTGCAGAAATTTCACACTACAGCGATCAATTAGTAAGTCATTATAGAGTGATTTAATAAGTCATTAAACAGTGATTAATTAATTCCAGGCTGTTTGACATGTTGAGGGATTGGATTATTGAGTATGGAGACACGATAGTGTTTTGGAGGAATGCCAGCCCCAAGGTGAGTAATCCTGTATTTTGAAAAGTTAAAAGAAATAAACTTAATGAAATTTCAACGAGATTCAGGGCAACCTTATTTGTTAGGCACTCAAATATTGTGCTGATTTCCATTCTCAAATTATCTCAGTTCTTCACGGCGGATCCAGATATTATCAGATCAATGCTAACGGAGATAACGATATTCACAAAAGTAGACGCTATCCCTAACCGCACCCTTTTTGGGCAGCGCATCACCGGGACCAACAGTTTCCTTACTGTCACTGATGGTTAGTATTTTATTAAAGCTCTTCTAAGGGAACTAAGTCCGACCCGACTTAGTTCCGACATAGTATTAGTAGTAGTCTTCTAAGGGCGTACCAGCTGGTACTTATCTGATTTGCGAGGGTACTACGCTGAACCCTGGCTACGTCCTTAAGGAGAAGTTTACATGTTACATCATCACCGACAATGTCGGTCCGACATATCATGTTATAATCGACTATTCAATAAATTACCTCGATTTTAAGACCTAAACACGATGACTGACTTAGAATTAAATCCTGAACAACAACAGGAAGTAACTGGGCGATGAAGCGTAAAGTGATGTCTCCCTACTTCACGAAGATCCACTTGACGGACATGTTTGAGAGGTGTCATGAGTACATAGAGCGGGGTCTACAGGCCCAGATGAGCGAGATTAAGATGGGGGAGACGGAGGTGGATTTAGTGTGGTATTATGGAGAACTCTTTCAGTTCTTTTTAGGTGTGTACCTCGCATGTTTACTACTCAGCTGGTTTCGATCAGTTATGACAAAGCCTGATAATATACGTATTATAGCATTTTACCAGTGGGATAATTGTGGTCGCGAATATTGGAAAAACGGAAATTCCTAATATTATATTATAATCTTATAACAGGGAATCTGCAGTTGATTTGTATTATCTGGAAATGAAATTTAAAAGTTTAATCGATTTAAAAGCTAATTAAAATTTAACACGATTAGGAGCTCTGGGACTGGACCTGGACTGCGAGTTTGTCTCGAAAAATGCCAAGTTCCACAACAAAACGATCCAACTTCTCCTCAGCTGGATCCCACAACAGTTTGGAGGACTCACCAAGTTACTTCAAATGAGGGTATAATTAATGTGCAGATTGTCATTTCATAATCTGGCTGATAGACCATGATAAGCCGCCCACTCCCTCTGATTCGAAGCTCATATCAATTCTGTTAGGAAAATACTCTGGTACTGCCAGTGCCAGTACCTACTTACTTGGTGCTGTGATTGAGATTTTGATTGCATCGATCAGCGGAATTGTTAACATTTTGTTCTCTTATAGGTAAACCCGGAGGTGAACGAGGCACTGTCACATCTGATAAAACTAAGAAACGTCTGTCGGTACATATTGAGCGAGAAGATGAAAGAGTACAACAAGGTAAATAATCGGGCGGGAAGATAGAAGTTTCTTAGAAATAGGGAATGTAGGTAGAAATAGGGAAGGTAGGTAGAAATAGGGAAGGTAGGTAGAAATAGGGAAGGTAGGTAGAAATAGGGAAGGTAGGTGGAAATAGGGAAGGTAGGTAGAAATAGGGAAGGTAGGTAGAAATAGGGAAGGTAGGTGGAAATAGGGAAGGTAGGTAGAAATAGGGAAGGTAGGTAGAAATAGGGAAGGTAGGTGGAAATAGGGAAGGTAGGTAGAAATAGGGAAGGTAGGTAGAAATAGGGAAGGTAGGTGGAAATAGGGAAGGTAGGTGAAATAGGGAAGGTAGGTGAAATAGGGAAGGTAGGTAGAAATAGGGAAGGTAGGTAGAAATAGGGAAGGTAGGTAGAAATAGGGAAGGTAGGTAGAAATAGGGAAGGTAGGTAGAAATAGGGAAGGTAGGTAGAAATAGGGAAGGTAGGTAGAAATAGGGAAGGTAGGTAGAAATAGGGAAGGTAGGTAGAAATAGGGAAGGTATGTGGAAATAGGGAAGGTAGGTAGAAATACTGAAATAGGGAAGGTAGGTAGAAATACTGAAGTAGGGAGTTTTTGTCGCCTTCTGCTTACAGCAAGGTCTATCAATTGTAGCTGATTTGAGTGAATTTATTTATTAATGATGTTTCACGAGATTGATCGCATAGTCTTAAAACTGATGTAAGATTTGGTGAAATTATTTACATTCAAGTTGGGTAAATGAACCACTTACATATTAGAAATAAGTTCCTCAAATGTAAAACTCAGCACACCACGTGCTAATTCAATTAAACCACGTGTTAAAATTCAATTACACCACCTTAGGACGGACCCAAGCCAGACGATATCATACACCACGTAATAACAGCAAACCAGAGGAACTACTCCCCAACAGGGACAGCTGGAGAGGACAGGGTTATGTACATGATGGATGATGTCATGACCATATTCCTGGTCATCGTACGTTTTACTCCTTTATTTCTATACCATCAAATTATTAATTTAGTTTCCTTTTATGTTCATGAATCAAATTTAATTAATATCTTTACAATGGAACATTCCAAGTCCTGTCACACTAGCCGCATTACCTCACAATGATGTTGCTATTGCCTTTATGAGTATAGCTGCACGTGTCATAATATACCGATTAACACAATATCCTGCAATACTGCAGGACAACATGGCCAAAACATTAGCTACATTGTTCGTGCGGTTAATACGAGATGAGCGGATATACAAGAAAGTTTGCGATGAAGTGCGGAGTGCGGACTTGACTTCTCTACAGACCATGGATAAATCGTTGAAGTACACGGAAATGGTAAAGGCCGTATCTTCTTAATTTTGGTTTTTGTTAGGAAATGTGGAAAAAAAATCTAAAATCTGATGTGTTTTACAGTGTATGCATCATGGAGAATGACCTGACGTGCTTGCCTTACTTATGGACCTCGAACAGCATTTCGAATAATCGCTTACAACCTTAAATTTCTAATTCCTATAATAAGCGTATAACTCTTCTATATTCAGGTAATTCTAGAAATCCTGAGACTACACCCAACTCTAATGAGAGGGATCAGGCAAACCCTGAAACCAACTAACTTAGCTAACGGCATGCACTTGCCGAAGAAGACTCTCATTTTTTTCGGACAGCTAGTCTTACACAAGCATCCCAAATATTGGAAAGACCCTTTGGAGTTCCGACCAGGTTCGTTAAAAATAATGACTTTGTAAAGCGGTCAAAATATTACCGAATTTATTTGTGCTGAAAATTTCTGATTGGGCGTTGTTCGAATAAAATTGATAGACACGCGACTTAAATAGAATTTCCACAGAGAGGTGGGAGTCAGGGTCGAAGGATATCACTCCCTTTCACATACCTGCCCTTTGTAGCTGGGCCCCGGGTCTGTATGGGAAAACACCTGGCCATGATGACCATGAAGATGAGTATTATACACACCCTTCGTGACCACGACATGCGCCCAGTCCCCGGTACTGAGAAGGATATGGACTGGGATTACAGGTTCACGATTGTAAAGCCTACAAAAGGACACAAGGTGATTATTTCCAGAGCAGAGCCCCGGCAGGAGGCCACAGAGTCGTGAGAATTTCGGGGAGTTGTTGTGAAGTGATGCTATCACATTCCAGTGACCATTTCATGTAGCGAGACTGGTATGTTTTATCTGCAAGACTGATTTTTTACTTAAATTCTTATCATATAATATATAATATTATGAATCTTGCTTGAAAATACGTTCTTGTTATGTGGGACGATTCAATGTATCATTTATTTGTGTTGATTGTTTAGATGGGTTTATACTTGAATTAAATCTGATAATTTACATAACTGATTGAACAAAGGTACGCGCAAATCTAATGTATAGCGTTCCTAAGAAAGCTAACAAAAGAAACAAGCTGTAGCTCTGTTGGCTTCCTTCCAACTCCCTCTATGTAGATTATTTCCTCGCCCCTCGGCATTTAAATACCAGTCATGATTAAAAATCAGCTCGAAAAAAAAATCACGGTTCATACCTTGCTCCTAGAATAAATCTCTGATAATTTCCACCATCGTTAAGTTTAAAGTATGTATGAGGGATGTCAAAGTACCGGACATTTTTGTTTAACCACCACTTTGATAAATTAACACCTTGTAGAAAATAAGAAAACATCTGGTCATAAAACCTAACAAAATCATGGCAGCATATCCATAGATCTGGATAGTGGTTGGGATGTAAACCATATTTTTTCCCTGACACATGACAGCGATGAACCAAATCAGCTTCCAGCATTGAAAACCCAGAATCACTGTCACGTGTCAAAACAAATATCAAATATGGTTCACCTTCCCAGTCCCCACTAGTGTTTTTAAACATTGATAGATCTGCAGCGCTGTACTTTCAGAAAATAAAATTCAAATGAAAGAATTCAGCTTAAAACGTTTCTGTCAATTATGAAAAGATAAAATAATAAGAAAAGACGATCATAGAAAGAAGACGGATAGAAAAAAAAGAAAGGTTGAGTTAAGCGATTGAATTTTTTAATCAACAGATTTTTGTCTGAATTCCGAGGTAAAAAACTCACTTAAACTGCTGAATAACTTTTCTGTACAATCTGTTACGATGGTAAAGCGTGTAACTAAAATCAATATGAGATATGATTATACGAATTTTTCTGGTACAACGTAACAACAGGTAAACTTGAGATTTGCCAATATTGCCGGGGTACTTAGATATCAGAGGATCAGGATATATACATATATTATATATGCGATATATATATATATATATTATAAATCGCAGTGCTTAAACCAGACCTTCATTTATTTGTCAGGATACGATCATTGAATATAGACTGCAGTAAAATGAAAGATAATTTAAGTATCAAGGACAAATGATGGTAAACTTAAGCAAGATCTGTCTCCAAAACTAATTTGTAATTCATTGTCAACAATTTAGACGGGGAGACTATAACATATGTATAATATATTGTCATATTTAAGATAGCAAGAAACTGACAGCATACGAATGTTTTAAACCTCTTACTGCATAATCATACAAAAAGAGGGGTAATTTGTGATCGTACATTATACAAGATCTTACTTTACCAATAAAAGATGGAACAGAAAATGCATTTTCTTGTACAAATCTTACCTCTGACTATCGCTCAAACTGACAGCGGGCAGACTACCGGCTTTCCGTCGGCGATCTTCCACAGGAGACTCGGCCCCGCCACCGCCGACACTGACAGAGTGGTGCTCTGGCAGGGGAAATTGGGAGTTTTCTGGAAGGTTCTCACACCGTTCGTCTAGTTCGAGGAGGATTGTTGGGAGGGTTTCCAGACGTAGTCGATCTTCCTGGTTAGAATGGGATTTTAGGAAAAGTGTGGTTCAGGTCTAATTTCAGTGTGGTCTAATTTCGTTGTAAGTTTTAAAGCATCCGCTGGTCAGGATAACATACAATTTAATTCATCAATCATTAAAAATAGCTCCTCAAATTTTATCATCCATAAGATGTCAAAATCTAATGTAAAGAACTAACAGGGGAGAGAAGTCCGATTTTCTCAGTCAGAAAAGAGTGGAGTGAGGCGAGGTTGTGACCAATATTAGAGTTGTAGATTTCTGCTGTCTTAAACTCCGTCTCCATCGGTTCCTGTGGGAGAAGGATTGTCCGGCTAAGTTGCATGAAATGTTACAGATTCTTAAGAATAAGAAGAATTAGATTATGGTCAGGATTGATGCTCTATCTGACTTTATTTTAGCGTTAAATAATTTTGCTCTGATTGAGATTGATTAAAAGCTGGTAAACATTAAGATTGTTTGGGCACTTTAAATAACTTCGAAATATTATTTCTTCCACCTAATCTGGCGTCTACGCCAACTTTATTGAAAATGATCTAAATAGATCCGTTTGTATCTCAAGATCAAAGAAGGAAATCAGCCAGCTTGAGTTGAAGACAAGAAGGTTCATCTATTGACAAAGGACAGATAAAACTTTTTAGATGTTCCAAAGAACTCTGAATACTCCTATCCACCTTGCGAATACCACCACACACGTCGAGAAAGTCAGTATATAAGAGGGGTGCACGACCGTCTAAGAATCATTCAGAAATCACGGGTCGTTTTAGCAGCTAAACAATAAACTGATTTCACTCTCACAACATGATGTTGACCAAAATGTGGTTAATGTTCGCGGCAACTCTTTTCCAGAACTCGTTGCAGGCATCTCTGGTAACCAGCAAATTCTGTTCGGAGCTCCCCAAGCCCCTTAACTCGTAAGTTCGATTCGTTGTTTAATTTTTAGGCTATTGGGTCAGACTTTCAAATCGAAGTCCTTGAATTTGTGGATTTAAAGTTAAAATATTAAAATCAATATCAGAAAATTTCCTCAGAAATATACACGGCCATACCCCCTGTTTAGGTCTGTTCAAGCCGCCTGGGTGAGGACGACGGAAATGAAGGATATGTTAGCCAAGACCGGAGCAGCGGTGGCTAGTGCTTGTGCTGATGTGGACGGTAAATCAGAGATCAAGGACATGGGGAGGTACCTGATTAGCGGATTCGTCAACCTCAGGTACGGCAGATGGGGCCGTGCGGGTCCATATACAGGGCGCGGACTGGAATATGGGGGGGGGGGGGGGGGGGGGGGGGGGGGGGGGGGGGGGGGGGGTAGTGCCTCAATTCTAGTCCACTTAGTATTTTTTTAATGGCATGATGTTATAGAGTGCAAGGATTCTTTGATCCGTCCAACCTCGAAGAACCAGTTAGGCTTGCAAGAAGTGTTAAACCCCCGATATTTTTCTTATCTAATCTAAGTTCCCGACAGATGTTTGGTGGTAGCTCACATGAAGGAACTCTCTAGAGTTGAGATAGACCTTCTCAACCAGATTCACATTCTCATCGCAGAAATAACTGGCAATCCACTGGTAATTAATTCACATATTGATCCCATCCCAGTAACGTACCGTAGCTATTTCTATAAGCAACCTTGTGCTCCAATATAAATTACGGATCTTGAAAACTACAAATTAGTTGGTAACTTATGACTAAAATCTCGAAAGATTTTTTCTGACAGTAATCTTGAACCAAACAGTCACCTTACATACAATAACCCCTCAGATTTGCCTCGATTTCGCTCCACACATTGAGGAATGTCCAAAAGACATGCCCCAGGATCTCTACACCGCAACCTCTCTCCTGGCTCGCATTCTTGAGAACCTCTACATGAGGGTGGGATCAGAAAAAATCACGCTCTTTTAGAGATCCACCTCTTTTAGAGACCCACCTCGTGCAAAAAACATAGGACAGTTTTAGTTGAATGGTGGAATTGCGTGGATTCGTATCTGTTATATCATATAATGTTTTAAGATGATGGTTTTTTTGGCAAATTTGTTTAATTTAGCAGAGTGTTTTATTTATCAACAAAAATTATGGTAAAAAACGTACTGATATTTTCGAGAGGAATAGTTCCATGTTGGGCGTGGCTGTTTCCACAAACTCGTTCATGAAACTCATGTACTCTTCTTTGCCACCAAACCTGAGGAATCATGGTTATAACTTTATAACGAAGTAATGAACAGCTACAGTCCATTCAGCTGCAGAAAAGCTTTTATTTAAGTTCATTCCGCAATCCGCACCTCCCAATCAACTAAAAAATCGCAAAAATGTAGCGTTTTATTAGACACAGATCAACTCACTTGGTAAAATTAGCGAGGTTCTGGATAACTTTAGCGGTGATGATGAGACAACGACTAATTCTCTCGTCGGGATACTCATCAGTCAGGTTAAACAAGCTGGGTGACATGATGGCGGGGCAGAAAAACCGCAGGAATATCGACCCACTCAGCAGCTTCTTGCTCAGATCACTCCGGCCGGAGTTATCACATCTACGGCGGATCCGGGAAAATAGTTCCCGCAAATCTGGGTAATATTTAAGATTGAAAAATTGAACAAAATATAGGCAATTATCAGTATAAATACAGAAAACCAATAGCAACAGGAAACTTTTGATTGGCGAAGTACATGATTTTACCTGGAGGAAACTTGGGGTAAGAAGAGAGGATGAGAGCCCATGCTTTGTCCACCTTCATCCTCATATTCTGTTGGTTTGTTACGAAATCTTCTCCTGCCACTATTCTTGTGGTATCAATCTGACAAATTTAGTATATGTAATTAAGTATATGTACTTAATTAATTAAGTATATATACTTAATTACATATATATATGTAATTAAGATTGAATTTGAAGACAATCTGTGAGACAAAATTAGCAAATAATGGAAACCAAGTTAATCAAGTAAATTTGTCAATCTTCAAGTTTTAATTAATCCTGAAAGTATAATGTGGATTCTCGTGGGGAGGTGAGGTAAATTTGATTACTTTAATAGTAAGTACCCGTTCAGCAGAGGAGAGAGGTGATGCACATTTTGTATTATGGAACGCTTGTAACGCTTGTAACTCCTTCTTGTTACCTCCCTTTGAAGGTCCCGAATTATTTTCTGAACGAAAGCTCAAAAATAACCGAGAAATCATCCTTGTTATTGACTCATTCTGATAACTATTCTTGACCTAAAATTGCACGAGAAATCGATTTAACTAGGTTTCAGAACCTATAAACATTTCATTATCCCTCAAAATTGATATTTTATAGTTTATATGAGCAACAAGCAACACATATTTTGATCCTTCGGTTCTACTCATGACCTAGGGCCTAGTGGGTTAAGCTGAAACCGAAAGATCGAGGCAATCGTCACCTTAACTGATCGAACAGGTACTAATACAATTTTCAGAGAGAAATGTTCGTTGCAATATGTTTATTGCAGCTTTGCAACTTGAGTGAAGAGCAGAGTACTCTAGCATCAGGATTCAGGAGTGGTGTTTGTACATGAATAGCAGACTGTAAGTCCACCAACCAGCAGGTACACTGTACAGTTAATGTTATTGTAGAGTAGCATTTTTACTAAAAATATATACTGTTGTGACTGTTGCTGTTTTTACAAAGGAACGCAACATGACAGCCATTTCAAAATTTAGAGCTAACGGCCTCGGCCTCAATGAATGTGTGTACTGTGTACAGCAAATTGTTTTAGATATATATCCACCAGCGTGCGCTTTTTCGCATAGCGGGCTCTCACCAGCCCGCTGTAAAAGGGCCCGATATCTTTACAGCCCGCTCATGATATAGCCCGTTAACAAGTGACATTTAATTTGACCAGTAGCAATATAGCCCGGAGTTCTCTAAAATATTTTCAGTTTCTGTATCGTCTCCTTGTGAAATTCCTTATTACACTGACTATATATACATTTTATTTTTGTGTCCGGTAGGATCATGCAGCTCGTGAGCAGATGACATGATACTTTGATTTATATCAAAGTTATTATAACACACTACATAATAGACATCAGCACTATAATCGGTCACCCTATATTATTGATATTCATCGTCACTGACATTACATTCATTATTCCCACGGCCCAGGAATGCAGTGCATCTCCAGCCCCTATATACGACACACCCCTTTATGATTGGCTTACATTGAACAAATGACGTGTTACCATGGTTACAACAATTAGTGGTGACCTTTTCTAGAGTTGACTTTTATACAAGCTCCATTGTTTATTTATAAAATTATATATTAACTGTAATACGCCCGCTGGTGGATATAATCCACATCACCTCGACCTGCGGGCGGAAAAATCGTATAGCACTCGGGCCCGATGGGCCCTCCGTGCTATACGAAAATATGTCCTCCTCGGGCTAGCGCCCTCGGGGACATATGAAATATTGCACGCGCGTGCGCGTGCAATATTTTGTTCCGCCCGCGAGTCTCCGGTGATATGTATATATATACATATCACCGGAGGCTCGCGGGCGGAACAAAATATTGCACGCGCACGCGCGTGCAATATTTCATATGTCCCCGAGGGCGCTAGCCCGAGGAGGACATATTTTCGTATAGCACGGAGGGCCCATCGGGCCCGAGTGCTATACGATTTTTCCGCCCGCGGGTCGAGGTGATGTGGATTATATCCACCAGCGGGCGTTTTACAGTTAATATATAATCTTATAAATAAACAATGGAGCTTGTATAAAAGTCAACTCTAGAAAAGGTCGCCACTAATTGTTGTAACCATGGTAACACGTCACGTGTTCAATGTAAGCCAATCATAAAGGGCTGTGTCGTATATAGGGGCTGGAGATAAGAGATCCATACTGGCACTGCATTCCTGGGCCGTGAGAATAATGAATGTAATGTCAGTGACGATGAATATCAATAATAGGGGGATTATTATAGTGCTGATGTGTATTATATGTAGTGTGTTATAATAACTTTGATATATATACATATCACCGGAGACTCGCGGGCGGAACAAAATATTGCACGCGCACGCGCGTGCAATATTTCATATGTCCCCGAGGGCGCTAGCCCGAGGAGGACATATTTTCGTATAGCACGGAGGGCCCATCGGGCCCGAGTGCTATACGATTTTTCCGCCCGCAGGTCGAGGTGATGTGGATTATATCCACCAGCGGGCGTATTACAGTTAATATATAATTTTATAAATAAACAATGGAGCTTGTATAAAAGTCAACTCTAGAAAAGGTCACCACTAATTGTTGTAACCATGGTAACACGTCATTTGTTCAATGTAAGCCAATCATAAAGGGGTGTGTCGTATATAGGGGCTGGAGATGCACTGCATTCCTGGGCCGTGGGAATAATGAATGTAATGTCAGTGACGATGAATATCAATAATATAGGGTGACCGATTATAGTGCTGATGTCTATTATGTAGTGTGTTATAATAACTTTGATATAAATCAAAGTATCATGTCATCTGCTCACGAGCTGCATGATCCTACCGGACACAAAAATAAAATGTATATATAGTCAGTGTAATAAGGAATTTCACAAGGAGACGATACAGAAACTGAAAATATTTTAGAGAACTCCGGGCTATATTGCTACTGGTCAAATTAAATGTCACTTGTTAACGGGCTATATCATGAGCGGGCTGTAAAGATATCGGGCCCTTTTACAGCGGGCTGGTGAGAGCCCGCTATGCGAAAAAGCGCACGCTGGTGGATATAAATCAAAGTATCATGTCATCTGCTCACGAGCAGCCCTACCGGACACAAAAATCAAATATATATATCTCCGTGCTATGAAAATATTTTAGAGAACTCCGGGCTATATTGCTACTGGTCAAATTAAATGTCACTTGTTAGCGGGCTATATCATGAGCGGGCTGTAGAGATATCGGGCCCTTTGACAGCGGGCTGGTGAGAGCCCGCTATGCGAAAAAGCGCACGCTGGTGGATATAATACTCTAATATCACGCGAACTTGAATCTCTGGTGGGGATTCCCTTAGCTTATTACGTAGCATTATTAAAATATTCTTTATATTATCGGGATATTATAATGCTGCTACCATTTTTTCCTTTCATCACCTCGGCTAAAATCTAACATGTAGAAGCTACACAGATGATAACTGTCGTCCTGCCCGAAAGTCCCAAAAGTAGCCCATAGAAATGTGTTAGTAATATTCAGGATTGCACCTATAAATCTACCATCTTTTATTTATTTCTTCATCATTATTTTTCTCTCGAATTGTTCTATATTTCGGCAAGTTTCCATAAATAAAATTTTACTATGAGCGCTGTTTACTATGAGCGCTGCTTTTCCCAGAGTTCGTTTACAGCACTCAAGTTTAACTCTACCCAGGAACCAATTAGTTGTATACAATTCAACTAAGATTTCAACCAATACACGGCACAAGCGTTCCATAATGCAAAATGTGCATCACTTCTTTCTTCTGCTGAAAGAAATGTACCTCACCTCCCCACGAGAATCCACATATATTGTATGTTCAAACCTCAAACTCTTGTGCGTTGTCATAAACATCTCTGATGAAAAGACCGAGCGTGTTTTTAAGGTACTTTGATCCAATAAGCTTCATGTAAAGATCAACTGCTTTGGTTGCTATGGAGTTCCCTCGGAACAGCAGGGAAGGATCCTCCGTTTTCTCTACGTCTGAAATAAGACAAAGAAATAATTAACACTAACAATATCAAAATATGTAAATACTAATGAATAATATAATACTTCAACCCGTGCACCATATTAATACCAGCACATTAAAAAATTGCTGGAAATAAGTTGGTCCGAAATTTTGAGCTAGTTATAATTGTATTGACGCCAGGCATGAAAATCCGAAATTTATGTGCAACAGTTATTAATTCGTTCAGGGTTCGATATTTCACTGTAAAAAGTTTTATGTAAGGACATGGGCAGAAATTTAATCTATAACAGATCCTGTCTACCTAGCCTAAAAATCCTGGTTACCTAACATAACAATACTAGTTACCTAGCATAACAATCCTAGTTACCTAGCATAACAATCCTGGTTACCTAGCATAACAATCCTGGTTACCTAACATAACAATCCTAGTTACCTAGCATAACAATCCTAGTTACCTAGCCTAACAATACTAGTTACCTAACATAACAATCCTAGTTACCAGAGGCACATATTAGGTGCGATGGGTGCGGGATCGCACAATTTACCGTTTTCCGCACATTTCCGCATAATTTATTGTTTTCCGCACATTTTGTAATTTTCTGCATATTTCCGCATAATCTTGCATTTTCCGCGTAATTTCGCATAATTTTGAAATTTTCGCGTTAAGATTTTCGAGTGCAAAAACCAAAATATGTTAAACTTAAAAGTCGGGCCATTTTAGGACCGTGACTCAGGCCCTTTCGGGACCCTGACCCAGGCCCTTTTGGAACTCATACCTAGGCCACGTGACCCAGTTACCACGTGACCCAGGCCCTTTCGGGACCGTAACCCAGGCCCTTTCGGGACCGTGACCCAGGCCCTTTTGGAACTCATACCTAGGCCACGTGACCCAGTTACCACGTGACCCAGGCCCTTTCGGGACCGTAACCCAGGCCCTTTCGGGACCGTGACCCAGGCCCTTTTGGGACCGTTACCCAGGCCCTTTCGGGACCGTGACCCAGGCCGTTATGGAACCCTCGTCGTTACCGTACTTTCACAGTCGTAGTCCAGCATAATTAAGAATGGCTCGAGGGAGTCCAGGGGTTGAAGTTGTTGAGTAGATTCCATGATCCAAAGTAGGTGATAATAGAAGAAGTCGGTGTAAAGGGTAATGAGCTCTATTCGTTGTAGCGTTGGCTTTATAGTGGGCTTAATGGATCTTGGATCAAATGGTTCACAATCAATGCCAACAAGCGTGTCACATATTTGCGATCACGCATGGGATCTGATCGACTTTATCAAGAGGCGTCTTCTGATCTCTACCAGGTCAAGTCACTGTTCTCAGATAACTGAATCTCAATATAGGTTCAATCATGGTCTTAGTAAAGAACTACACCCTCAGTAACACATAAACAGACCTATTTTTGATAAGAGCGGCGGTTATACGTTTAGAATTTCCAAAGTCCTTGAGAAAATGCAAAAGAAAACAGAACAATTCCCGCACAAATTTCGAAAAAAATCGCCGCACATTTGCCGCATAATTGGTAAAAATTTACCGCACCTTACCGCACATTTTACCTTTATAGTCGGGTGCGGTACCGCATAATTTCGATTTTTTTACCGCACCTAATATGTGCCTCTGCTAGTTACCTAACATAACAATCCTAGTTACCTAGCATAACAATCCTGGTTACCTAGCATAACAATCCTGGTTACCTAGCATAACAATCCTGGTTACCTAGCATAACAATCCTAGTTACCTAGCATAACAATCCTAGTTACCTAGCCTTACAATACTAGTTACCTAACATAACAATCCTAGTTACCTAGCATAACAATCCTAGTTACCTAGCATAACAATCCTAGTTACCTAGCATAACATTCCTAGTTACCTAGCATAACAATCCTTGTTACCTAGCATAACAATCCTAGTTACCTAGCATAACAATCCTAGTTACCTAGCATAACAATCCTGGTTACCTAGCATAACAATACTAGTTACCTAATATAAAAATCCTGGTTACCTAACATAAAAATCCTGGTTACCTAGCATAACAATACTAGTTACCTAGCATAACAATCCTGGTTACCTTGCATAAAAATTATAGTTACATAGCGTAACAATCCTGGTTACCTAGCATAACAATCCTAGTTACCTAGCATAACAATCCTAATTATCTAGAATAACAATCATGGTTACCTAGAATAACAATCCTGGTTACCTTAGAGCATAACAATCCTAGTTACCTAGCATAACAATCCTAGTTACCTAGCATACAATCCTAGTTACCTAGCATAACAATCATGGTTACCTAGCATAACAATCCTAGTTACCTAGCATAACAATCCTGGTTACCTAACATAACAATCCTGGTTACCTAACATAACAATCCTGGTTACCTAACATAACAATCCTGGTTACCTAACATAACAATCCTGGTTACCTAGCATAACAATATTAGTTACCTAGCATAACAATCCTGGTTACCTAACATAACAATCCTGGTTACATAGCGTAACAATCCTGGTTACCTAGCAAAACAATCCTAGTTACCTAGCATAACAATCCTAATTATATAGAATAACAATCATGGTTACCTAGCATAAAAATCCTAGTTACCTAGCATAACAATCCTAGTTACCTAGCATAACAATCCTAGTTACCTAGCATAACAATCCTAGTTACCTAGCATAACAATCATGGTTACCTAGCATAACAATCCTGCTTACCTAGCATAACAATCCTGGTTACCTAACATAAAAATCCTGGTTACCTAGCATAACAATACTAGTTACCTAGCATAACAATCCTAATTACCTAGCATAACAACCCTGGTTAACTAACATAACAATACTAGTTACCTAGCATAACAATACTATTTACCTAACATGAAAATCCTGGTTACCTAGCATAACAATACTAGTTACCTAGCATAACAATCCTAATTATCTAGAATAACAATCCTGGTTACCTTAGAGCATAACAATCCTAATTAACTAACATAACAATCCTGGTTACCTAGCATAACAATCCTAGTTACTTAGCATAACAATCCTAATTATCTAGAATAACAATCCTGGTTACCTAACATAACAATCCTGGTTACCTAACATAACAATCCTGGTTACCTAACATAACAATCCTGCTTACCTAACATAACAATCCTGGTTACCTAGCATAACAATCCTGGTTACCTAACATAACAATCCTAGTTACCTAGCATAACAATCCAAATTATCTAGAATAAAAATCCTGGTTACCTTAGAGCATAACAATCCTAATTAACTAACATAACAATCCTGGTTACCTAGCATAACAATCCTAGTTACCTAGCATAACAATCCTAATTATCTAGAATAACAATCCTGGTTACCTAACATAACAATCCTGGTTACCTAACATAACAATCCTGGTTACCTAACATAACAATCCTGGTTACCTCACATAACAATCCTGGTTACCTAGTATAACAATATTAGTTACCTAGCATAACAATCCTGGTTACCTAACATAACAATCCTGGTTACCTAACATAACAATCCTGGTTATCTAACATAACAATCCTGGTTACCTAGCATAACAATCCTAGATACCTAGCATAACAATCCTGGTTACCTAGCATAACAATCCTGGTTACATAGCGTAACAATCCTGGTTACCTAGCAAAACAATCCTAGTTACCTAGCATAACAATCCTAATTATCTAGAATAACAATCATGGTTCAGGGTTCGATATTTCACTGTAAAAAGTTTTATGTAAGGACATGGGCAGAAATTTAATCTATAACAGATCCTGTCTACCTAGCCTAAAAATCCTGGTTACCTAACATAACAATACTAGTTACCTAGCATAACAATCCTGGTTACCTAGCATAACAATCCTGGTTACCTAGCATAAGAATCCTGGTTACCTAGCATAACAATCCTGGTTACCTAGCATAACAATCCTGGTTACCTAGCATAACAATCCTAATTATCTAGAAAAACAATCCTGGTTACCTAGCATAACAATCCTGGTTACCTAGCATAACAATACTAGTTACCTAGCACAACAATCCTTATTACCTAGCATAACAATCCTGGTTACCTAGCATAACAATCCTAATTATCTAGAATAACAATCCTGGTTACCTTAGGGCATAACAATCCTAATTAACTAATATAACAATCCTGGTTACCTAGCATAACAATCCTAGTGAATCCTGGTTACCTAGCATAACAATCCTGGTTACCTAGCATAACAATCCTAGTTACTTAGCATAACAATCCTGGTAATCTAGCATAAAAATCCTGGTTACCTAGCATAACAATCCTAATTATCTAGAATAACAATACTATTTACCTAACATGAAAATCCTGGTTACCTAGCATAACAATCATAGTTACCTAGCATAACAATCCTAATTATCTAGAATAACAATCCTGGTTACCTTAGAGCATAACAATCCTAATTAACTAACATAACAATCCTGGTTACCTAGCATAACAATCCTAGTTACTTAGCATAACAATCCTAATTATCTAGAATAACAATCCTGGTTACCTAACATAACAATCCTGGTTACCTAACATAACAATCCTAGTTACCTAGCATAACAATCCTGGTTACCTAGCATAACAATCCTGGTTACCTAGCATAACAATCCTGGTTACCTAGCATAACAATCCTAGTTACCTAGCATAACAATCCTAGTTACCTAGCCTAACAATACTAGTTACCTAACATAACAATCCTAGTTACCTAGCATAACAATCCTAGTTACCTAGCATACAATCCTAGTTACCTAGCATAACAATCATGGTTACCTAGCATAACAATCCTAGTTACCTAGCATAACAATCCTGGTTACCTAACATAACAATCCTGGTTACCTAACATAACAATCCTGGTTACCTAACATAACAATCCTGGTTACCTAACATAACAATCCTGGTTACCTAGCATAACAATCCTAGTTACCTAGCATAACAATCATGGTTACCTAGCATAACAATCCTGGTTACATAGCGTAACAATCCTGGTTACCTAGCAAAACAATCCTAGTTACCTAGCATAACAATCCTAATTATCTAGAATAACAATCCTAATTACCTAGCATAACAACCCTGGTTAACTAACATAACAATACTAGTTACCTAGCATAACAATCCTAGTTACCTAGCATAACAATCCTAGTTACCTAGCATAACAATCATGGTTACCTAGCATAACAATCCTGCTTACCTAGCATAACAATCCTGGTTACCTAACATAAAAATCCTGGTTACCTAGCATAACAATACTAGTTACCTAGCATAACAATCCTAGTTACTTAGCATAACAATCCTAATTATCTAGAATAACAATCCTGGTTACCTAACATAACAATCCTGGTTACCTAACATAACAATCCTGGTTACCTAACATAACAATCCTGCTTACCTAACATAACAATCCTGGTTACCTAGCATAACAATCCTGGTTACCTAACATAACAATCCTAGTTACCTAGCATAACAATCCAAATTATCTAGAATAAAAATCCTGGTTACCTTAGAGCATAACAATCCTAATTAACTAACATAACAATCCTGGTTACCTAGCATAACAATCCTAGTTACCTAGCATAACAATCCTAATTATCTAGAATAACAATCCTGGTTACCTAACATAACAATCCTGGTTACCTAACATAACAATCCTGGTTACCTAACATAACAATCCTGGTTACCTCACATAACAATCCTGGTTACCTAGTATAACAATATTAGTTACCTAGCATAACAATCCTGGTTACCTAACATAACAATCCTGGTTACCTAACATAACAATCCTGGTTATCTAACATAACAATCCTGGTTACCTAGCATAACAATCCTAGTTACCTAGCATAACAATCCTGGTTACCTAGCATAACAATCCTGGTTACATAGCGTAACAATCCTGGTTACCTAGCATAACAATCCTAGTTACCTAGCATAACAATCCTAATTATCTAGAATAACAATCATGGTTCAGGGTTCGATATTTCACTGTAAAAAGTTTTATGTAAGGACATGGGCAGAAATTTAATCTATAACAGATCCTGTCTACCTAGCCTAAAAATCCTGGTTACCTAACATAACAATACTAGTTACCTAGCATAACAATCCTGGTTACCTAGCATAACAATCCTGGTTACCTAGCATAAGAATCCTGGTTACCTAGCATAACAATCCTGGTTACCTAGCATAACAATCCTGGTTACCTAGCATAACAATCCTGGTTACCTAGCATAACAATCCTAATTATCTAGAATAACAATCCTGGTTACCTAGCATAACAATCCTGGTTACCTAGCATAACAATACTAGTTACCTAGCACAACAATCCTTATTACCTAGCATAACAATCCTGGTTACCTAGCATAACAATCCTAATTATCTAGAATAAAAATCCTGGTTACCTTAGGGCATAACAATCCTAATTAACTAATATAACAATCCTGGTTACCTAGCATAACAATCCTAGTGAATCCTGGTTACCTAGCATAACAATCCTGGTTACCTAGCATAACAATCCTAGTTACTTAGCATAACAATCCTGGTAATCTAGCATAAAAATCCTGGTTACCTAGCATAACAATCCTAATTATCTAGAATAACAATACTATTTACCTAACATGAAAATCCTGGTTACCTAGCATAACAATCATAGTTACCTAGCATAACAATCCTAATTATCTAGAATAACAATCCTGGTTACCTTAGAGCATAACAATCCTAATTAACTAACATAACAATCCTGGTTACCTAGCATAACAATACTAGTTACCTAGCACAACAATCCTTATTACCTAGCATAACAATCCTGGTTACCTAGCATAACAATCCTAATTATCTAGAATAACAATCCTGGTTACCTTAGGGCATAACAATCCTAATTAACTAATATAACAATCCTGGTTACCTAGCATAACAATCCTAGTGAATCCTGGTTACCTAGCATAACAATCCTGGTTACCTAGCATAACAATCCTAGTTACTTAGCATAACAATCCTGGTAATCTAGCATAAAAATCCTGGTTACCTAGCATAACAATCCTAATTATCTAGAATAACAATACTATTTACCTAACATGAAAATCCTGGTTACCTAGCATAACAATCATAGTTACCTAGCATAACAATCCTAATTATCTAGAATAACAATCCTGGTTACCTTAGAGCATAACAATCCTAATTAACTAACATAACAATCCTGGTTACCTAGCATAACAATCCTAGTTACTTAGCATAACAATCCTAATTATCTAGAATAACAATCCTGGTTACCTAACATAACAATCCTGGTTACCTAACATAACAATCCTAGTTACCTAGCATAACAATCCTGGTTACCTAGCATAACAATCCTGGTTACCTAGCATAACAATCCTGGTTACCTAGCATAACAATCCTAGTTACCTAGCATAACAATCCTAGTTACCTAGCCTAACAATACTAGTTACCTAACATAACAATCCTAGTTACCTAGCATAACAATCCTAGTTACCTAGCATACAATCCTAGTTACCTAGCATAACAATCATGGTTACCTAGCATAACAATCCTAGTTACCTAGCATAACAATCCTGGTTACCTAACATAACAATCCTGGTTACCTAACATAACAATCCTGGTTACCTAACATAACAATCCTGGTTACCTAACATAACAATCCTGGTTACCTAGCATAACAATCCTAGTTACCTAGCATAACAATCATGGTTACCTAGCATAACAATCCTGGTTACATAGCGTAACAATCCTGGTTACCTAGCAAAACAATCCTAGTTACCTAGCATAACAATCCTAATTATCTAGAATAACAATCCTAATTACCTAGCATAACAACCCTGGTTAACTAACATAACAATACTAGTTACCTAGCATAACAATCCTAGTTACCTAGCATAACAATCCTAGTTACCTAGCATAACAATAATGGTTACCTAGCATAACAATCCTGCTTACCTAGCATAACAATCCTGGTTACCTAACATAAAAATCCTGGTTACCTAGCATAACAATACTAGTTACCTAGCATAACAATCCTAGTTACTTAGCATAACAATCCTAATTATCTAGAATAACAATCCTGGTTACCTAACATAACAATCCTGGTTACCTAACATAACAATCCTGGTTACCTAACATAACAATCCTGCTTACCTAACATAACAATCCTGGTTACCTAGCATAACAATCCTGGTTACCTAACATAACAATCCTAGTTACCTAGCATAACAATCCAAATTATCTAGAATAAAAATCCTGGTTACCTTAGAGCATAACAATCCTAATTAACTAACATAACAATCCTGGTTACCTAGCATAACAATCCTAGTTACCTAGCATAACAATCCTAATTATCTAGAATAACAATCCTGGTTACCTAACATAACAATCCTGGTTACCTAACATAACAATCCTGGTTACCTAACATAACAATCCTGGTTACCTCACATAACAATCCTGGTTACCTAGTATAACAATATTAGTTACCTAGCATAACAATCCTGGTTACCTAACATAACAATCCTGGTTACCTAACATAACAATCCTGGTTATCTAACATAACAATCCTGGTTACCTAGCATAACAATCCTAGTTACCTAGCATAACAATCCTGGTTACCTAGCATAACAATCCTGGTTACATAGCGTAACAATCCTGGTTACCTAGCATAACAATCCTAGTTACCTAGCATAACAATCCTTATTATCTAGAATAACAATCATGGTTCAGGGTTCGATATTTCACTGTAAAAAGTTTTATGTAAGGACATGGGCAGAAATTTAATCTATAACAGATCCTGTCTACCTAGCCTAAAAATCCTGGTTACCTAACATAACAATACTAGTTACCTAGCATAACAATCCTGGTTACCTAGCATAAAAATCCTGGTTACCTAGCATAACAATCCTAATTATCTAGAATAACAATACTATTTACCTAACATGAAAATCCTGGTTACCTAGCATAACAATCATAGTTACCTAGCATAACAATCCTAATTATCTAGCATAACAATCCTAGTTACCTAGCATAACGATTTCTTCTAAGAAGTCTCTGGCTTTCTGGAAGTCGTGTAGTACGTGAAGAAGAAGATTAGCGAGATCCTCTTTCTGTCTGACATTCAAATGGGGCTCCAATACTTTACACAGGTCGATTGATCTATAACATTCAATTGTTATATTGGAAGAACGGAATATGAAGGAAAAAATATATCAACAGCACAAAATTGGATTAAGCCTATCATCTGTCATGTTTCTAAACTTATAAATTATCGCTCGACAGCAATATAAATATAATTCAAACGTCATTTAATGAACCTAACAATTATTGAATATATCAGTGGAATTCTTACTTGGAAGCAAGGAAGGTCAACAAGCTCTCGTAAAAGTTAAGTGGTAAAATGGTTAAAATCTGAAGTTTAAGTTTGAGTCTGATTTGGGGTTCTTTAACATGGTGACCGGTCTGTTTTTGGGTGAGGTTTGAGAGATTGTACCTGAAAAGTACGGTTGTAAATGCCAAGCATTCCTTATGAAATGCACCAATGCGTGCACACTACACAATGACTGGGTATTACGTCCAGAAATGAGCTCATAAGTAATATAGCGTACCTTACAAGACATATTTATAACGTACGAAATGTGGCGGTTTTCCGAAAATTTCGCCATATTTTCGGACCGCCAAAATTTCGGTCGTCGTAATAGAATCCGTCGCATTATCTTTTAGCTTATTTCAATGACTGTGCCTTCACTGCTTTATGTTGTTTCTAAAAAGTAATATCAAGTAAAATAAATAAATAAATTCTGGCATCTTGGGACAAATTATCACCACACCAATGACGAATTGAATGTCAAGCAATACAGTTTAAATTTGCATTAAAATACATGTATGTGCTAACATGAAAGTCTTACAGTCGTAATACAGACTAAGTTTGAACATGATTTTACCGAATTTCAGAAATTTCCTTACTGCTTACTGTCACAAAATATGATGAAAAATACCCTTATTTTCTGTGACGTCCGAAATTTGACGGTTTTTGTTCAATTTCGCCATATTTTCGGTCTACCAAAATTTCAGTCGTCGCAAATTAGGCCGCCATAAATATGTCTTGTAAGGTACATAGGTAGGTTTAAGGTTATGACAATTATGAGGTGACCTGCGTTGAGACATAAATTCTGCAAACATTAATGTCACTAAATTTGTTTAAATATTTTAAAATCAGTGGAGTGCAAAGTTCTGGTTCTCTCACCAGTGTTCATGCTCCAGGCCAAGAGTTAGATCCTTGACGTGTATCTCAGTTTCTCCGATGACACACGCTTTCTTGTTTTTATTCTCCCGGCGCAAAACGATCTTTAATTTCTGAAACTGCCGCAAATCCCTGAACGAAATGGATATTTAGTGATAAAGTGAGATATTTAGTGATAAAGTAAAATACTATATTTACAAACAATTGAATTGGCATAATCTGCTCGGAGCACGACTTTTCGTCATGATAACTAAAGTCCAAACTGGCAAAGATCAGATCTCAATTCTCCACTCATGCCTAGTCTAGTGAAGCTGGAGTGAAGCTGGAGATTGCGCTCGGTTGTGAGCTTAAGTGTTTCTAAAACCAACGTCAAAATAAGAGGTTTCATCTGCATTTTCTATCAACGGTGGAAGATATAATTATAACGGTCATTATGAAACCAGCATGGCTAAAAATAGAATAATGGCTGGGTTTTTACCACCTAATTGACGTTTTTGATGGTTACGTCCACGTAATCGTATGCTTCCAGGCTTCCACCCCACCCCTAATGCAACACTTTGCAGCGAGCTGTTAAAGCACTGATCAAGTAACACTATATACTTCCCATAATATGGAAGTGGTAGTAAGATTGGCCGAAGAATCGGATATTGACAACAAACATTGAAATGTAGAGGATAAAAAGCCTGAATACGTAAAGAAGCCTGAGAATTGGAAGGTAAACATTTAAATGCTATACATTGCATAAAATAATACTAAAGCTCTAGCAGATTGATGAGGCTGCATTGTGCATTATACCGTATATTTTACGAATTTCACTGTAAAGGTGTGGACACATGAACGATATCCCACGGGAAAACTGAAAGTTGTACAAAATAATTTTAAGCGCAATTTTAAATATTAGCTACAAACCAGAATTTGAAGTTTTCTCCCCAGAATAGCATCTCCTTGACTGGCTTGGTGACAGTTCGACAGCAGAACATGTTGTCCAGATATAACTCCACGAAATACCTGGGATAATAGTTGATGAAATACTTTCTCATTTAGAGAAAAATAATTTTTAAATAGTTCCAGATCACCACCAGAGTTAAGGACGATTCAAACATGATGATGGTAAAGCCACTGAAATATCAGCCGTTCCTATTCATCATATGTTTCAGTAACACCTCCAGAGCATTCAATTTGTATCTATTCCTCAAACGTATCCTTACACCCTAACCTAACCTTATAATTCTAACTCTATACCGCCAACCCCTAATTTTACAATAATAAATAATTCTACCTTCAACATCAAGCTGCAACCTACCGAAATCGGTACACTTGATGGTGAAGATGGCGAAATATTTTTATTCATTATAATAAACTTGGCGAATAAAATATGTTGAGAAGATTCTCGACTTATTGCAAATTTTAATCCCAGCTCTGTCTGTTAGTCTGTATTCGCATAGTTTTGCTAAGCTAGTAATTTTGATTCTGATCGAATTATTTAACGTACCGGGTATAAGATTACCAAGATGAACATTTGCCAATAGAATATAATTCACTTATTTCCTTGCATAATGTAAATGTTATTCAATGTTTGACACAGTGATGCCGTGAAACCCACCATGATTATCATAGAATGGTGCAGACCCCTCCTGGATTCAATTGGTACCTTATTTTTATTAGAAAAGAGCGCAAATAGAAGTATATTTCATTACTTTAAAATATTTGTATCACATTTAAGCACGTGGCACGCCCTGCACGAACTTCACATCAGAGAAAGATCATGCTTCCTTGAAGTCGCAAATTCTAAGTATCAAATCTCAACTAGCTTTAATAGAGGTATTCCCGTATCACTTTGTTGTCCACTTTTTCGTCAGAAGTACCATGTTCCGTTTTATCGTGTTCATTGTTTCTATAGTTATTGCACTTCTTGGCACCACTACCGCGGAAGGTGATAGCAAGAGTTACACAGCTCTACGGTTTGCTTATGATGGTTCGAGTCATATATTATGACGCAGTGAAACTATATCGCCTTCGATTTGGCACGATATCTGGTTAAACCGTAGTGTTTGTGATTGTACCGTACTGTCCACCCTTTGTAGTGTCCTGCATTGGTTAGAACACTCTGCAAAACATAATAAACCATCTTCATCTCATTAAGAATACCAAATCAAATGTTCCTCAATATATCTTGTTACTTCGTTTAAAGTTGGCAAATTATTTCGATGTAACCTCTTTGTCAGGCAATGTCAGATCACACAAACGACCCTTCGCTGCACAGCAGTTCTATATGATCGTGTTATAAACCTGCCGGGAACAGATGAAGAAATCCATTATTCTCGCAGTTCTCATTTCTCTTTGCTGTTTCACTTTGTTTCTGGTCTGGAAGTCAGGATACAGTTACCAGAGTGAGATAAGAAATGAGTAATATTTTATTAAGATACTCGGAAAATCACAAGCTGAATCAGCTTATCGGCAGGTCAGTTTTCCTTACGTCTCATTCTTTCTCAACTTAATATTTACTTCAATAAAATGTTTTACTTCTCTGAGGAAAATATGATATTTTAGAATTCTTAAAATTGAATGCTATATATAATTGTCCAGCTGTATAAGTTGAAGTAAACAAGTTACAGCTGTCACAACCCGCCTGAGTTCCCCTATTTCCAGTTATCCTACTGGAACCGAGTACCGGGACCTCTCTCAGCACGTGTACCCACCACCTCCCCCTGCTCAGCACTACAATATCTTCCTTATGCACGCTGAGTACAACTACCAGTTCCTGATGAGCAAACTCCCGGCAGACAGGTAAGAGTTTGAGAGATTTAAAGAACACAACAAGATGATGCACAATAAGTGTGTTGCAGGCAGACAGGTAAGAGTTTGAGAGTTTTAAAGAACACAACAAGATGATGCACAATAAGTGTGTTGCAGGCAGACAGGTAAGAGTTTGAGAGTTTTAAAGAACACAACAAGATGATGCACAATAAGTGTGTTGCAGGCAGACAGGTAAGAGTTTGAGAGTTTTAAAGAACACAACAAGATGATGCACAATAAGTGTGTTGCAGGCAGACAGGTAAGAGTTTGAGAGTTTTAAAGAACACAACAAGATGATGCACAATAAGTGTGTTGCAGGCAGACAGGTAAGAGTTTGAGAGTTTTAAAGAACACAACAAGATGATGCACAATAAGTGTGTTGCAGGCAGACAGGTAAGAGTTTGAGAGTTTTAAAGAACACAACAAGATGATGCACAATAAGTGTGTTGCAGGCAGACAGGTAAGAGTTTGAGAGTTTTAAAGAACACAACAAGATGATGCACAATAAGTGTGTTGCAGGCAGACAGGTAAGAGTTTGAGAGTTTTAAAGAACACAACAAGATGATGCACAATAAGTGTGTTGCAGGCAGACAGGTAAGAGTTTGAGAGTTTTAAAGAACACAACAAGATGATGCACAATAAGTGTGTTGCAGGCAGACAGGTAAGAGTTTGAGAGTTTTAAAGAACACAACAAGATGATGCACAATAAGTGTGTTGCAGGCAGACAGGTAAGAGTTTGAGAGTTTTAAAGAACACAACAAGATGATGCACAATAAGTGTGTTGCAGGCAGACAGGTAAGAGTTTGAGAGTTTTAAAGAACACAACAAGATGATGCACAATAAGTGTGTTGCAGGCAGACAGGTAAGGAACTACATGTTTCGCTAAGTTACTGATTAAATGCTTCAATATAATTAGTTAAGAGCTGTAAGTTTAAACAGTCTCGGTAAGTTCTAACCGGATTAGTAGTAACTAACGAATAAATCTACCCTTTTATTTCAGATTAGTAGTGATCAAATTTATCAGTTTGTTTTGACGGAGTTTGGACAAACTGATTTCCAATGCCTGGCTATGAGCTCCCGGGTCACCCCATTTGCACATCTTATTGAGAAGCGTAATCAGGTTAAGACGGTTTTGATTTTCTAATTACCAGGTTAAATTAACTCCCAGGATCTCAGTTGGGGGATATGAACTGTCCCTAACTATGTGGGCATCACTAATCGTGGTCACATATTTCATTTTGTTATCTTAAAGAGATTTTAGTTCCTTAGTTTTATTTTCTTACTGTTATGAATTGTTTACAGGGGCTACAAAACGACGGGCCTCACGAGAGTGGCCATCTTACTCTACAGGATTTGTACAACGTTCGCCACGTATAATGGGCTTCTTTAATTTTGAAGAAGATATTCCACATTTTTGCGATGTATTACTAAATTCTGATATTCTTTTTTCAGTATATTTCTGTTATTCATATAATTGTTGTAGATATTTTTGTATTTCTGCACACAGCGCACCTGTGTACACGTGAGTGGACTTGTGATATATATTTCTTCCACTGTTTAATTCAAATCTAATTCTTTGTCTCTCAATATGTTTATGTGATATCTCAATCTATTATATTTATATACCTGAAGTTTAAAACGTTTCCAGGGCGCCGAACAATAAATTGCTAATACTAGCAACGCATTATCACACGCGATCAAATTAAATTATATTATACTAGTGTAACCATGGTTGTGCAGTGCCTTCGGACGGGACTTCACTATCGCAGTTGAATTGCAAGAGTATAAACGGTGCAAAAGCATAAACTCGCCCAGTCGAAACCGGCCGCATTATAGTCAATTTAATTCTGAGCGTCCAACACGTACCCAATAGTAATACTTAATGGGCAATCTTGCGGCTCCTGGCTCTACTGCCAAATTACCTAATTATATACCAGAGCTGTAATTAGGGGAGCTGTAAATTGTGTGAGAGAGGGAGAAAGAGTGAGACACTTTAGTTTTGGGGTACAAAACCATCAATTAAGGCCACAGGGGGGGGGGGGGGTCGAGGCTTCAAAAAATGCAAACAAATATTATGCTTTGAATCAATATATATTTTTATGGTGGATACTTTGCCACCACTCATTTGTCTGTAGCTATTTTACTTTTTTCTATAAATGAGGTTAACCAATTCTTCCTTAACCTCATTTTTTTGATAAATCGATAATGGAGGGCAGAAATATTAATGCCATTACAACTGAAAACTACGATAAGCTTTGTTTTTATTGTTTTTGTGCTATTTCAGCAGTTAAACTTTGAAAAATATACAATTAAAGACAAAATACTCAAAAATCACATAACATAAAAAACAGTTTTTTGCCTCTCCTGAAAACCTCGAATTTCTGACTTCAAAATCTATCTTCTCCTAGAGTTTTTATCCATTTCACCTCAAATTTGAAATTTGGAACTTATGTTCCTGACATAAATTTAAAAGTGTGTTATGTAACGATTGTTGTAATTTTGCTCCTAACTCTTTTTATGAGGTTAACCATTTTAAATTTTGTAACCCGCACTCATGGTTAACCTCATATCTCAGCTTTGGAGCAAGATATCATAAATCGTTACATAACAAAAACTCAAATTACCTGGAAGAAAATTGTTGCCAAGTTACAAGGTTCTAAGTCATAAACTGAAAAAGAAGATAGATTTTGAACACGATTTCATTTAAAGTTTTCATTTACAATAGAATTACAGGTAAACCTCAAAATTTAACGCGCGATATCTTCAAATAGGAAACTTTGTTTTCGGTAAGGACAAAAGCATTTGAAAATTTAGATCGAGCTCTACAACATATCTCAAAATCTCAAAATCGACCTCGGACCCCCCCCCCCCCCCCCCCCCCCCCCCCTGTGGCCTTAAACCACTTACCACCAGCCGATTTAGAAAAGCTTTGTTTATTGACTTCGTCAGAGTTTTGTCTAAACTATACCGAAAAAAACCAGTCCCATACGTAACTCTAACCGTTTTCTTGATTAAGCCGCTCGAAAATTACACGCGCACAGACGCACACACATTTTGGGATTATTAGCATAGATGCAATTGCATTGTACAATAGTTTATTGATCGAAAAGCTGTTTGGAGTTGGACTGATACATCTCCCAAATAAGTAGTTTTTTCAAAAACTTTTTCCGTCACGTTGCTCATTATATTAATACACTAGTGTAACCAGTGCCTACGGCCGGGACTTCACTATCGCAGTTGAAATGCAAAAGTATAAACCCGCCTATTATATTCATATATTCGAAAACACGCATTACATTTTCGTAGTTAAAACGGTGCGAAAGTATGAACTCGCTCTGTCCAAACACACCGCAATTTAATTCTGAGTGCCCCTCACGTATCTTATAGTAATACTTGATAGGCATTAGGCAATCGAGGTCCCCCCCCCCCCCCCCCCCCAAATTACCTAATTATATAGCAAATCTGTTATGAGGGGAGAGAGAGCGAGAGAGGGAGAGTACTGAAACACTTTAGTATTACATTTAGGTCACAAAATGATCAATTAAACCACTTACCACCGACCGATTTGAAAAACATATCTCTTACTATACCAGTCCCATATCTCTTACCAGTTCCATATCTCTTACCAGTCCCATATCTCTTACAAGTCCCATATCTCTTGATTAAGCCGTTCGGAAATTACACGCGAACGAACACACACACATCTTGAGATTATTAGTATTTATAAATAATATGAACGAAATCAAACAAAATAATAATGTAGATTGTAGAACCACTCTTGGATGGCAGTTATTGGTGTTGGTTGCCATGACTCGCAGTTTCATGCTGTCGTCATTGACATCGGTCAACTTTATGGTGAAGATGGCGAAACATTTTTATTTATTTTATAATATTAATAAATTTGTCGGATAAAATATGATGAGAGGATTCTAGACTTATTGCAAATTTTTATCGCAGCCCTTTTTTAAAATTTGTATCGAATTATTTAACGTACCGGATATAAGATTAGCAAGATGAACATTTGCCAATAGAACATAATGCACTTATTTCCTTGCAAAATTAAAATGTTATCCAATGTTCGACACAGTGTGACCGTGATGCCGAGAAACCCACCATGATTATCGTAATTTTTAATATGAAATGGAGTAGACCCTTTCTGGATTCAATTAGTACCTTATCTTTATTAGAAAAGCGCGCAAATAGAAGTATATTTCATTACTTTAAAATATTTTTATCACATTAAAGCACGTGGCACCCCTGCACGAGCTTCAGATCAGAGAAAGATCATGCTACCTTGAACTCCCAAATTCTTATCAAATCTCATCAGTCTTTAGCGCCGTAAGTTTCATTGATCTCAACTAGCTGCTGAGGTATTCCCGTATCACTTTGTTGTCCACTTTTTCATCAGAAGTACAATGTTCCGTTTTATCATGTTCATTGTTTCTATAATTATTGCACTTCTTGGAACCACTACTGCGGAAGGTGATAGCAAGAGTTACATAGCTCTACGGTTTGCTTATGATGAGTCTAGTGTAATCTCATTCAGTCCGGAAATGAACGCCTTAACTGACAAATTTTCTATTTGTCTTTGGATCAAGAAGCTTCAATCACACGGATCAAACCCGACCCCGTTTGCCTATAAAAATACAGAAATATTCATGTCAGACAGCGGCTATTACAACAGATTATTTCAATCAGGCGCACTAGATAACGTTCTCACCAGCAAGTTCACAACAGCTAGGGGTAGTTGGTATCCATATTGCTCAACCTGGAGCTTGGCTACCAGGACGTTTAAAGTATACGTTAATGGTCAGCTCGTAGGAACCCAAACCACGCCATCCGGGAGGAAGCTACAGACAGGCGGAAACTTTGTCTTAGGGAATATGCGTCCGAGTTCAGGTCACAAATTCGGAGGTGAGATGTTCAACATGAATGTTTTTTCTAAGGAACTGACCGCCGTAGAAATAGCAACCATGGCTGCAAGAGGTTTCTGTGCAGATATCCCTGAGGATCTTCAAACGTCTAGAGTCATCAAATGGGGGGAAATTCTAAAACTGACCAGGTCCGGCACGGTGACGGACTTTATCGACCCAAAATGTGCTGAAGCCGCAGTTCTCAAAGTTGAAGAACTACTGTCTCAACTAGATGAGGTAGAAAGTGGAGCAACAGCTACCCAAAGAAATTTGCAATCGGCCGTCAGTGAAAAGAATAGCCTCAAACTCTCCCAGAACCTGACGCAGGCAGAGCTGCTGAAAGTTCAAGGACTCTTCAACTCAACACAGGAGGATCTAGAGGAGGTCAAGAGAGAGCTGAATGAAACGAAGAGTGCGCTTGTGGATACCCAGTCGGAGCTTGAAGATGCCCAGTCGGAGCTTGAAGACACCCAGTCGGAGTTAAGGAATGTCACTGAGTACAAATGTCCGATCAACAAGGGAAATGTGACCAAGTGGGATATCTTCTATTCTCCCATTTACTATAAAAAACCCTTCACCCGGCGGCTTTACCAACAACTCCGCACCACTTGGGACTCAGTCAGCAGTAAGATTTAAGTGCCTGTTATTTATCAGAGTTCAGACTATTCCTAATTTACTTAAGAAATTTTGGTTTTTTAGGCTAACATTAGTACATTTTTATTGATTAAATTTTCGCTTCACTCCAAGTTATGGTTAACATGTGACAAATATTAAACATTTCATATTGAGAATTTAACTTTTACTTACTGCTAGGGCCACAAATCATTGGTGGATATTTTTGACTAGGTGTTTACTGTTTATATATAAACTTGTTCTTACAACCAATTAAACGAATTTTCACTCCCGTTCAGAGCAACTGTTTGGAGTCACGATGACAGACACGATTATCAAACTGGCAAAAAACCTGGACTGTGAAGATAAGGTATTATTGTGGAGAGAATGTATTATCGGTCACTGTCATTTTATCATCACTAACCTATTCCAATCTCTACTTAATAAAAAACATCCCAATTTCTAAATTCACTTTTAACAGATTCTCTCGTTGTCAGGAATTTTCGTAGTTCTTGACATGTCAAGTGACGATAACTGTGAAGCTTTGCTTGGACGATGGAGTTACAGAACCAGTACGACCTTTTCTACTAAAAATGTTCTACTTCCACAAAAACAATAATTAGATTTATAATTTACATATTGTATGCCCACTGTAAGGGTATATAAGTTAATCATCTGATAATTTTTTATTATTAAGTTAAGTACAACTCTGATTACGCCTAATGCAATGCTCAACTGTTTCTTCGAAGGAGAGAAATATACTTGCTCAGACTACTTCTAAGTTTAATTGACGAGCTCATTTTTGTTTTTGTTCGCATTTTTTTTACGAAAGCGCTGTTTTTCAGTTATATTAATAATTCTTCTAAAATCTGACCCACAAATATTATTAAGGATGATAAAGCTAATATTGTAATTCTTACCTGATTTGGATTTTCTCAACAAATTTGATGTTTGATTTTCATGTTTTTAATTCCTCAATATATAATAGTAAACAACTATGCTTAAATCAAAATTTAACAAAATTAATCGTACGAAAGCAACGTGGATTGAAATATAGTCCGCCCTAAGAGGGTACTACATATGAAGGTATATATGAAACCTCATAGTTATATTAATAATTCTTCTAAAATCTGACCCACAAATATTATTAAGGATGATAAAGCTAATATTGTAATTCTTACCTGATTTGGATTTTCTCAACAAATTTGATGTTTGATTTTCATGTTTTTAATTCCTCAATATATAATAGTAAACAACTATGCTTAAATCAAAATTGAACGAAATTAATCCTATGGAAGCAACGTGGATTGAAATATAGTCCGCCCTAAGAGGGTACTACATATGAAGGTATATATGAAACCTAGACATCATTTGCAAAATCTACATTGTGGTATTCATTTGTGATTTGTCCATCGTGAGCGCATTTATGGCCCCCTAATTTAAGTCGTACATAGTTTTACAACTTTTCAAGTTTCATATCTTTTGCATATGGAAACGATATGAGGTGATCCAATCTGATGTTATCTAACAAAATAAGAAAGTCATTTGAGTCAGTTAACTGAGAAGCAATTTAACCGCACGATGATTGACTTGATAGCTAATCGACCAATTTGGTCGAAAAATAAAATCTAGCAGTTCAGCTAGGATACAGTAACTGCTTCACTAAAACAATGCTGTTCATTTTGATATAGCAATCTAGCTAGCCCTAGCTAGCTGGTTTGATGATAATGTGGATAACCTAAACGGTATGTTTTATACAGCAAAATAGAAAGCGCGCGTTCCAGCAATTCACCAGCCGAGCCATTTTACAATAACGTGTCCCAGAAAACATTATATTATGGGGTGTGTAATTCGGGTTTGATAAAATTACAATGCAATTCTCAAGCAGCCAATAGGTCATAACTTAAGTTAAGAATGCTTTATAACAATATTACTGTCTGCAACATGGTTGGCTGTACTTTACATCAGATTCATATATGCGAACGTTGGCTGGGTTCGTTTTGACAAATATTATAACACGTTGTCATCGAGACGTTACAGAAGCATAGACAGATTCAAAGCCCCCCAAATCGTAGCATGATGCTATATTGTACAGCGACTAACTACTGAACTAATACAGTAATCTGGTCTCTGGTGTTACATAGAGCACATTGGATAATGTTAGAGTGGAAACCTTAGGATGAAATTACTGGAATAGCTCTGGCAAATTTGTGGATTGAGGGAGGAATTCAGAGTGAAATACCAAAAATATTTGACAATTGACTCACCTCTTTTTAGGTAAGTGCTTAGCTTCGACTATCCAAACTGTAAGGGACTGATCAAGTTGCACTCGCTCTTCTTTCATCGGATCAACTACGTGCTGCAGACTGAAAAATAAACACTTAATATTTACTAAACTACTTCAAACTAAACTAACAAGCGATTAAAACTTCAGTGAAAAAGGCTGAACAATAAATGTGGATTCTAGAGGGGAGGTGAGGCACATTTTCTAACACGTGACTGCAACAAACCAATCAGCTTCCACTATGCTGACCAAACAAACCCCAGGATCACTGTCACGTGTCAAGAAAATATGCTTCACCTCCCCATCAGAATCCACAGATCTATATATCCCCAAAATACACAAACCTGTCAATCCAGCGGTTAAGTTCCAGATCACTCCGGCAGGCGAGGTAGAAGCTCCGTTTCTTGGTCTCCACACAAAAAGTGTGTTCTCTGCCGGACAGGGACTGGTGGACTACCCTGATTAGGGGAGGTGAGTCCGAGCCCAGGTACACTGTCCATACCTGAGGGTGGGTCAGTTGTAGAACTATTTGAAGAATTTTTGGTATTAAACACCCTTAAATTTACTTTTTATGTAAATATTCTAATTTTAATTGGGACATTTGCCGTGTACTCGACTTTCACTGCAAACTTTTAACTTTTCCACTTCAGATAGTTTTAATACACAGTTCTCATACAGTTCTCATACCATCTACCAACATATTTTTGTCCCGCAAAAACAAAATATACATTGTCGGCTCAAACCACATTTTAGACTCAAAGCAGAACTCAAAAGAGAGCAGTGTAGCGAATTTTCGTGTTAGGTTGCTACCTCTTCAATCTATTGCAGCTTTAATGCAGCCCTTATATGGCTGCTGATTCCCCAAAGTTCCAAAGTTCTTAACTCATTCTAAATACGAAGTGTGCATCTTACAAGATTTGCAGGAGCACAGATTCCGGGTACGATAAAACAAGTACAGAGGACGGTACGGCAGTTTCCTACCTGCAATGTCTAATTACGTACGTCTGGGCACACGTACGGGCTACTATCAGACATCTGATAGACAGCACGCACTTGTGCGACTTTAGACGCACGCAATATATCCGTTTAATAACTTAATAATGTGCGGTTATTTTATTGTGTTTCAACAGGAGGTTTGAACGTGTCATGAAATAAATAAATCTTGGTTACGCAACAACAGTTTACTCTCGAGTGACTATGACGTCATGAACACGTGCTAAACACGTGATAATCTCATACAATGAATTGAAGAAACAGTTTCGTACATTCTTCCTCCTTCATTCCAATGTTTACATCGTCAAAGCTCGGCTATACTATCCAACTGAAATCATTCACGAATCACGGGCCTATCATACATGTAATAATGTAATATCTACTCAACCTAGAATTCTGCAGAGTGTTGCGCAACTGTCTTAACACTGGCCTTCTCTAACTGAACAGATGTTTTCAGGGCTCTGAGTTACTGGTGTTTATAAATAATACTCGACGCCATGAAACTCCTCCATAATGTTATAAATATTTAAAAATTGTACCCGGCCATTCTTATCTAGACTTTCTAATTGGAAGTCGATTGAATTGGTCGTAAACCTGTTGCTAACCGGGGGGAGGGAAGGCCGCAGGTTAACCGTAATTATGTAGTTAGATAAGTTGTAAACAATTCACAAGGGTATAACAGCAGGGTTGTTGACAGAAGCTGAGTAAGCTTGAGAAGAAGGAGTAAACTAAAGTAGCACCGTCCAGCTAATGATTGAGAGATTGAGAGGAATGCTGCAATCTTAGGAATTTGACACTTGGAGAAACAGAGGAGGGATTGTGATTACCTGAACTGTCAACTGCAGGTTTTTATGTATGAATTATTAACATGTGGATAATTTTTGACTTGATATTTCAAAAACCGCACACATTATGTAACTTGACTCACCAACCCACTATCCACCAAACGCTCAACTGAAGTCCTCACTCACGCATCTAACCTCCTCATCACTGAAAGACTCAACCACTATCGCCTCAAATATGCACAACACAAACGCACTTATGAGCACAACCTCAGACACATAGAATCACTCATAACCCCTCAATATTTTCAGAAACTAGGACACCTCAACACCAAAAAATCCTCATACACCCACAGAAAACAACTCCTTACTCACCAAAAGAAGTTCGCGGTACTACTCTCAGAATACGACACCCCGTTCCTCTCACCCTACGACACTCTTAAAACGCTCGACATACCCTCTCCCACATTTCATGGTCCCCTCCTCAAGACCTCACCTACCCCCAAGAAAGACACCACAGCCAAAACAGTGATCAACCTCTCTGGACAGACCCTCTCCACAGCTGAAACTGACGTCCTCTCCCTTGGACTGAAGTTCGTCCCGACACCCACCTCAGATCCTACCCCCGACCTGGCTCCCCTCATACAGAATATCACTAAACAACTAGGAGAAGGCATGGAAGCCTCAGCCACATATCAGGTCACCTCTGTATTATCTAAATTTGACAATAAACGTGACATGACCACCGACAATTTGACTCCACAACAACGTACCGCTCTTAAATCTTTAAAATCTAAGAAATCTGAATTGAAATTTCTTCCTGCTGATAAGGGCAACGCCACTGTTGTACTGACTCACGATCAATACATAACCAAAGTTACCGACCACTTATCCTCAGGTAGTTACACCCTCTTAACGAAAGACCCCACTCAATCCGTTACCACTAAACTACAGAAAGTCCTCAAGAAACTACACACCGACAAGAAGATCACGACCGACCTATACCACAAGATGCGCAACCTACATCCTAGATGGCCTCAACTTTACGGACAACCTAAGATACACAAACCCGGCGCACCTATCCGTCCCGTAGTCAGCTTCTACAACACCCCCCTCCAAGCCCTCCACAAAGTCCTCGCATCTTTCCTCAAACCCCTAGCCCAGAACCCCTTACGCCTCAAAGACTCTTCCGACTTCAAACATCGCTTCGACTCCTCTCTCAATCCCTCCTTCCACTACCACGCCTCCTTAGACGTCCAATCCTTGTACACCTCCTGTGACATGCGCCTAGCCCTCAAAACTGTCATCTCCTCCTTTGAACAGAACCCCTCTCGTCTTCCCTCCAATGTCACCACCACCACCATAGGCTCCCTTATCAACTTTTGCCTTGACAACTCATACCTTGAATTCAACGGCTCCTTCTACTCCCAAGACGAAGGTGGTACAATGGGATCCCCCCTCATTGTTGAACTAGCTGAAATCCGCCTTGCTGAAATCGAGACCTTAGCTTTATCCTCATGTCCTGACCCTCCGAACACTTACTCCCATTTCGTTGACGACGGCCTTGGATCTTTCAGAGACAGAAACCACGCAGAATCCTTCCTTACATTCCTTAACTCCCTTACTGAAGACCTCAACTTTACCCAAGAACATCCCTCTACAGACGGAACTATACCCTTCCTTGACGTTCTCATCCACCCTGACAAATCCACATCAGTCTACAGAAAACCCACCCACACCAACCTCTACACCAAGTACTCCTCCTGCACCACCAACTCATCTAAGAACGCAGTCATCCGATCACTGACCAGAAGAGCCCACAACATCTGCTCACCCCAACACCTTGACGACGAACTCCAAACAGTACGACACGTTTGCCTCCAGAACGGCTTCCCTCCTCACCGCATCACCACCATCATGGACGAAGTACAACGGAAATTTACCAACCCCTCTCGCCACCAATCCCTAGCCTCATTCAACCGACAGACCCGTGAACATACCCTTAGTGTTTCTCTTCCTTTCCATCCCTCCCTATCCAAACCCATCTCCAAGATACTCGGACAACACGACATCAAAGTCACCCACTCCTCTGCTACCTCCCTCCGCAACCTCCTCACCAAAACGAAGACCACACCCCCTACTCACCTCGCCCCCAACACCATCTACGAAATTTCCTGCTCACAGTGCCCCTCCAAATATGCCGGACAGACCTACAGACCCTTGGTCCACCGCATGAAAGAACACGAACGATGTTACAGACTCAACAACGCCATCGACGAATCCACAGACAGAATCAAATCAGCCCCTGCACATCATGCCCTGACCACCGGCCACACCATCTCCTGGAACAACATCGAAGTCCTCAAATCCCTCACCTCACGCACCCAACTAGACCTCACAGAACACGCAGCTATACAAATACGACAACCAGCTATGAACAGAACAGACCGCGCACCCAAATGTAGTTCCCTCTGGGACCCCATTCTTCCTAAAATTGCCAAATCCTTAAAGTCCAGACCATCTGGCATTTCCTTCTCAACCTCAACAGAAGACTAAATTTTTATTGACATTGTACTGTAATTTTCACTTTCCCACCCACACCTCCCCCACCCTCCATCCCTGACACCACTCAATCACATATAAGCATTGTCCACCACATCACATTCAGCTGACGACGATTAACACATGTTTATTGAAAGCTTCTACAAGTTAAATCATCGTATCTCTTATATGTTTTTAACCCAACTCCACTCAGTATGTAACTTGAATAAGTTAATAGCTGTATGTCACTTACTCCAGTTTAAAGTCGTTCAAGTAAGTACTTTAACACAATATTATAGTCTACATAATACGCTAGTTAGCTGATTTTGTGGGATACGTTATACACACACAAACACACACATTTGATACTTTAATCATGTGTCATGTAGCTTTAACTTGGTTTAAAATTTAAATCCTGTTTTAAAGATATAACACGCGTCTTTTGGAGTCACATTGTAGTTGGTGTCGTACCCCAGGTTTTAATTCATTGAATCCTTAGAGTAGTGGATACTGGATAGTGGTTACGGAAAATTACTCCTTTGCTCATACTTATGAGTATTTTGATTACAATGAGTTACAGGCTACAGCTACCTTGAAAGGCTCATAATATATAATACCAAATCAGTCAGATTTTGAGAACACATATTTTTGTAATCGGGGAGTTTCTGGTTTCGAGGCCAACTTGAAATAAAGAATTAACTGTTATATTAAGAAACCAGCTCACATACTAACAGACCTACCAACGTTGCAGTGTTAGTGAAGTGCTGGCACGTGTTAGTGAAGTGCTGGCACGTGTCAGTGAAGTGCTGGCACGTGTTAGTGAAGTGCTGGCACGTGTTAAAAACAGGTCTGTAGGTCTAATAGTGCTCCATTACCACGGCACTTTGTTAACAAAGTACCCACACACCACAAGAAGTATTCGGAGCAGCAAGCTCAAACGCAGACGATATATCACAAAACTTGGGGTTTTAAACTCCACGCTCCTGGCACCGGTACAACAGGTGAAGTTGCTAACCGATTTACTTTATCATTAACACTTGGTTGAGCGTATTATATATATTTTCATTAATTTGTTTTACAAGACTATTAATAGTGGTGTTGAAAGTATTAAACCTGGTGGACTCCAAGTCTTACTCTCCCCGCACTCAATTATTGAACTGCTTACTTATCATGGAGTGAAGTTAAACTCATGGTCACTGTGGTCAGCCGTGTTATGATATGGTGTGTACGGTACTGTTTCGTGGTGTGTTTTTACACTTTATACTTTAACACTTTAACATTAAGGATACGATCTGTTGATGGCATATTTAAACATTATAAAACGTATAACTCCGGACCAAATTAGAAGCAGACTAAATTAGAACCGGACCAGCACGGTTGTAGTCTTCAAACCTGGCAACAAGATAACTGTATGCAAGTATCCTGACAAGAATTACCCTGACCAATAATGGTTGGTACAGCCGGATTTTGGTCCGGTTATAGTCTTTGGGTATATATATTCCCAGCCAAGTTCACGATTTTCTTAGAATTTTTCTAAGTTAGTAAAATGAAAGGTTGAATCATGAGTCATGACCCAATCGTAGATGGATTACTTCTACCATGATGTTAGCCTCGTTTTGATGATTTCATCATTACATCTGCCATGATGTTAAATTGGTTTTAATGACGTTATCAGTTAACCTACCATGGGGTTAGCTTGGTTTTGATGACGTCATCATTACATCTGCCATAATGTTAGCTTGGTTTTGATGACGTTATCAGTTAATCTACCATGGGGTTCTAGCCTCGTTTTGATGACGTCATCATTACATCTGCCATGATATTAGCTTGGTTTTGATGACGTCATCATTACTTCTACCATGATGTTAGCCTCGTTTTGATGACGTCATCGTTACATCTGCCATAATGTTAGCTTGGTTTTGATGATGTTATCAGTTAACCTACCATGGGGTTAGCCTGGTTGTGATGAGGGTCCGTGTGTTCTGACTTATTATCAGTCCCGTTTATCTGCACCGACTGCGCTCTGTTTATACCCAGGATGGCACCTGCTTTCTCTGTAACCGGCGACTCACTGAGGGGTTGTAAGGTTTTAGTGGAAGTAATGGAACGTTTATAACATAATTAGGGGGCATAATTAGGAAATCTAATTAGTTAACATTATTAGTAAACATTATTAAAATGCCGTGATTATACAGCTGGGGTGCATTGCACACTAACAAGACTTACTATAACTGGTAACAGTAATAGTAAAACATTTTATAAGTTAATATATTACCGTCAATATATCGACAGTTCTATATCCAGATGACATATATCATGTTAACCAGTATAATAACGGTGCTATAGTTTATCTTGTTAGGGCGACAGTGTTTCAAGGCTATCAGATAGAGCTGTCAACGATCCAGTAAAAATAGGATAATCATTAGTTTCTTGTATTATAACGAGTTGATATCATTTATCTTTTATGTAGCTCCGTGTTGTGGGCACATTTACGGCAGAAATTAGTCTACCAATATACTGATATAATAATAGTAATATATACTGACATGTTCGTTAGTATACAACTAATTCACTCCCCTCAATTAGAGCAATTTAAAATATTTAAATCCCTATTTTGTTGATCCTAGTTTATCTTGTTTGACCCGCCCTGTTGCAGGCGTTCAATCAAGCTTGTCGCAGTTTTATACCGCTATTTTAGAAATGAAGAATATGTCGGGTTAAGGTCATCACCACAATATTTACAATGGTTGCCTAGCAGTCAAAGTAAGGGATCACAATGAATTAAAGGCTGTAGAGTTTATGGATCACGCAGAGAATGTAAAGTTAAACACCAGACATAGAAATTCCATTTAAAATTGTGATGAATACAGAGATAAGGATCAACATTTCAGAAACAAAAATTTTAATAAAGACTACCTGAACTACGTAAATTGAAAAGAATTTCGATATTAAATTCAATCAGATAACATTTATATAAGAGACATTTAATCTTTGTGTGGCAGATATTTCACAAAACCATCGTGGAATGATAATAGAAAGATTTAAAATGTAAAACATGTTGTTAATTTAAATTAAGTAGAAGTGGAATGAGAATAAGACGATGTAAAACACGTTAATAAAGTTAATCAATTAATTAAGTAGAAGAAATAACCAGGAAGAATTAAGTAAAGCTGCAATGTGCTGAACATTTAAAGAAGATATAGGTGACACATTGACACTAAGTGCAGTGTACAATATTATAGATCATTCAACTCACTCAATACATGACATTGTACGATCAATGCCCAGTATATTTACAGCTTTTTCTGACGCGGACCGATTCCTGTTGGATATTGGTAATGGGATAAATTAAAATATTTAAAAAATGTATTTAAACACTTAAACGTTTCTTCTACATTCGGGTTTGCTCTGCTAATTGTTTCGCAGAACTGTAGAATTGGTGGTGATGAATAAGAAGAGAAATATAGTTCATTCCCTCGAACATGTAGGAATATGTAGATTAAATGTTAAGCAGGCTCAAAATCATTTGATTGTATTCCCATGCATAAAATCCGAGTCATCTGTAATATTTTGGATTTAATGCTTCGAAGATTTTTGCATTCAACATTTAATCGATTTTTTAGTGCAGAATTATGACCTAAGAGTGTGTGTCACTATGACATTCAGCAAAAATAGCTATAATAGTTTGGACTCGGGAACTTTCGAACAAATGCAACATTTATAAATTGATAGTATATACCTGGCCTGGTAAAAATGTTCCACATAATATAAAAGATTTATAACCGTAACTTTCATGAATAATTAAAATACCGTAAATAACACACCGAGTGATCGAGATTGCTGTTGATACATGAAATACATAAGACACACACAAATAGCAAAGGCTACAACATTTCACCTTAATTTCTGTTAAATCGCGAAATATAGCTGTTGACACTTTTCTGGCGTAATGTAGAAATCGCTGAGACTAGTTTGTAGTTTGTGCTTCCACAAGAACCATTATAGCATTATGAACATTTTTTAAAAAACTAATTACAACACTACAAATCTATTACATTTATTGAGTATTATGTAACGCGATGGAAATATTTTAAGCGGGTAATATCCTATCCAAACCCAGGATACATAACATGAAGACTTTGTTGTAACTTTGTGTGAAAAGCATTAATACACTTACTTATCACCATATAAGCGGTTATCTTTAAAATGCAGTCTAATTCACAGGTCAAGGTTATTCTTTATCGCGGTGCTAGGTAACGTTTATGATCTGCTAATTCAAGCTTGTGTACCAATTAGAATCTAGATTATTCCTTTCAGTAATTTAATACATTATGTGGCGCACGTTTTTGTGCTTTAAGAAAGGCTTAACAATCAACAACTAACGAACTGTAAGAAACCCTGAAAGATAATCGTATCTGTATCTCAATCATGCTGTTCAGAAATTAATTTTCCCAGACAAATTAAAGGATGTGAACGTTGAGTAGAAAGGTGCCGGGGTTAATGTGAGAAGTTTGACACTGAAATCGACCCATGCTGAGTTGGTGAGTTCAACAGCTGAAATTTCAAGAAGAGATGTGCACACAATCTTACAATAATATAAGTGATTGCGACCGGTGTATTCCTAGGACGGAGACTGCCTTCTCGTGGGACCGCATCCTCATGCACCGTCCTCCGTTTATACTGCTGCAGAGTTCTTTGTTACAAATTAACGGACAAACATACAAATGTAGAATATCTCTTAATTTATTCCTCTAAATAAATGAGGTCGTCAAGACTGTTCCCTCTAATTGGATCCTCCCACTCTCCCAGTTCTAAAATTTTGATCAATCAAGGATTTTTGTTGTCGGCTTTTTCTGTGACCACTCCACTCTTCGATTGTTCAAAGCAAAGGCGTTTCATCGTTTAAAAAACATAAAATCTTCCAGTCTCCTCCTTTCAATTGTCATGTTGTAAAATTACCGTGACGTAATTCATTTTATTATATCTATCATCAATGTAATCTAAATACTTAAATAGGAACTCTAGCCTGTCACTCAGCAGAAACCCATAGTTCATATCCAAATAATAAGCACCCAGAAACCTAGCGGCTAAATTGTTTTTCAGTAGCCGCCGCTTTGCACTGTAGCGGCACTTGTAGGACTTGCCGCTTCACAGCAAGGTTTACAGCTTCCACCACAACTCTTTGTTTTGTGTTAGCTCCAGACGGAAAGTAAAGCTTTATTATCAATTCTAGCCTGTAGGGAGGCGCGCACACGTGGGTCGGAATAAAACTGTACTGAAGGTGGTTATAGAATGTAGTCAGCAACAGTAATATTATATGAGTTCAACCGACATTTTGTTATATTAATAAAAAGAAGGTATGTTGGCTGTTATCACGTTAACAAGCGAAAAACCGACGGTTTTTCCGTTTCGTGCTACCTAACACCTCACGACGGGCCGTTCAACACATCCGCTACCGATCTAGATTTCATCATGTTCCTGGAATCCTGCTGTTGGATCCTCCCAAAGTTCTGATAGATATACTGAGAGATGTAGCACACCTCTGTAGTATAGTAGTAGTAGCGCAGATCATTCTTATTGTTTTTTAGGATCCAGACAAAATTACAAATCCTATCAAGTTTCGTTCAAGTTACAAGATCAAACCACCAAAGTGCAGTCAGGATATATGTTTTGTGGAAGAGCTGTACTGTACGGCAATTTCTGATCTCCCATCCCTTATCAATTTTAGTGGCATCTTATACACGTAATTTTATACACTCCTAGTCCTAGTATACCAACATATTATAATGCGACAACATTACACCACACAAATACTAACACCCTCAAATAACAACACTTTAGGTGGGGTAATATTATCGTATATATTATTATATCAGTAGTAGTGGCGGGCTACCGACTGCTGTTCCCGCGCTTTTAAATATCTCTCTTCTGACACGTGTGCGGGGATGTTGCCCGCAGGTGCGATAAGCGTGCCTCACTCAGACAGCCGACCCACACACACACATATAGGTCACACACACATCATATTATAATCATAATATCTCTGTTACATATTACAGATAATATCTAGTCTGTAGTCGGAGATTTTATATCTCTCTCGCTCGACAGAAACATGCCAGGTTTACAAGGTGATATTATTACTGTTATATTAATAAGTTCTGTGCGATATATATATATTACTTAAGTACTTAAAAGTAACACGTTGTGAAACAACAACTTATGTGTATATTATTATGATACGACATAATCATGATAATGATTCATGACGCAGTGACTACTGCTGCTGCTGCTGGATACTTGATATATCATATATTTGGGGGTTTCGTCGCATATTATTACAACATCACAACAAGGCACCTGTAAAGAGACAGTGCAGAATTGTACTATAATAGGGCAGAAGTGGAAAGTGTACATGTTTTACATGAGAGAGAGAGAGACTCGGCAGCGAGCTGTTAAAAAGGTTAAAACTTCACACCATACAGTTGTCAAGCTGCAGCAGGGTGGATTCACTACCGTACCTGACTGAGCTATTACTGTTAACCATCTCAACTGTTATTGAGGGCAACACTTAGCGCGGGGGTTAGTTGTGATTTACAGAGTTAGTTGTGATTTACGGAGCCTGGACTGGGGTGGCACATAGTTTAGTTACGACCAGAGCACCGTTAACGGAGTTGGGAAATAGGACTAAGTTTAAAGTTAAAAATCTGCAACAATTACCCAGGAAAGTCGGTCGGAAAGAATTCGGGAGTGTTAAATGTTTCCCAGCCAAAATCTACAAAATTACATAGCACCTGTTATTTTTACCTGTAACACAAAAGGGCCGGTATAGTAAAAAAAGGTTTTCTAGGTTGAGAGTTCTTGGTTAGGTTTTCTCTGGGATAAGGTTTTACAGTCGTGTGATAAAACAAGTTTTATAATTGCTCAAGATATTATCAGATTTTATCATGTAGTGTTAAACATGTTTTAAAACAAATTCACGTTAAATTTTGATGAAAATGTTTGAAAGAATAATTTTCCCAATTGTATTTCTAAGATACGAACAATTTTAATTTTTAAACCTTAGACTTTTCAAAACATATTATGGAGGTAATGTCATAAACACATTCCACCTTACTGACACCCAATTACACTAATTATAAAGATAATCACCCGAAAATCACCACTACATTACCTCCCAATTAAACATAATTTATCCACATAACTATGTCTCCAACTCTCCAACCTGATTTCTAACCGTGACCGGCATGCCGCCATGAAGACGACCGGCAGGATGACGAGAACGTTATGCCCGACAACCATGCAGCTGTCACATATTGGCATAAACTGTATTTTTCTAGCCACTTCATGGCTGCAACTAATAAAGTCACGCTTAAAATTGTTCGTAAGTAAATAAGTAATCCGTTGTGGAACACTCATCAGTGTAGTCACCGACTAAATCATCAAAATGTTATCAAAACAGTGAATGGACCATTGTTGAGAATTTAAACTTTAAAAACTCGTGATTAATCTCGTGATTATTAGCTGGCAGCATCACTGGTCACTGTGCTTGTCCGATATTATAACTTCTAGTTTTGTAACACCGTTCACTGTTTCAGTTCATCGCCTTATTCTCAGAACATAGTCATTATATATTATACATCATTTCATATCTAGACCATGAATTGTTTCGGTTTTAAGTGACCGTTAAGATATATGTTGTAGGCGTCAGTGAATCGTTGTTATTTAAAATTTACTTTTAACAGTATTATACCATAACGAAATGGTGAGTCTACACGATATGAAGCCAGACTGTCGATACGATTACCACACAGTTCATCCACTGATTTTAAATACGGTTCTAAAATAAGAAATTTAAATTGAATCGCACGCTGCGTGATCTGTCACTTTTTCAACGCACACTTGTACAACTTCCTAAAGTAGCTAACAAAGCCTGCAACTGCAGTTGTTGTTAATCCTTGACAACAGCAGCCCCCCAATATTCACTCCCACACACTTGTTACAGCTCAGAGTCTAGGTGGTCCGAGTGACACGTACAACAGGGTGCGCCATTACCTGATCACCATACCTCACCCTAACGACCACCACCCTGACTACCATGTTCCACCTCCTGCTCCTGCCGAGTTTGGCGCTGGCAGTACGCCATTCCACCGACCAAGAGACCCGCCAAATAGTGGAGAAGCTACACGGAGTGGTATCTAAACAGGGCGGCTTGATAGAGGAGCTCTCGAGGACCGTGTCAGATCAATCAGCCCACATTCAGCAGCTGCAGTTGGAGGACCAGGACCAGGAGACTGAGATCAGAATACTGAGGCACAAGTTAAAGGGACTAAACCGGAAAATGGGTGATTTACAGTGGGACAGTATCCACGCCAGCGCATCAGCCGCTTGCAGCCACCTCAAACCCTCCATGACTAAAACAGTGATGCCCTTTGTTGAGGAAGTGAGCTGTGCTATGGTGTGTGCTACCAGTAACACCCGGTTCACCAACTGTGTGGCTATGATACGGTTCAATGTGATGAAGACAGGGAGGATGGTGGAGGCGGTGCCGTTTGGGGAGATCTGGGTGCGTACGGACGCGTGCAGATCCTCCTCCTACACACTCGGAACTGAGTTACTGAAGGAAGACACCTTGGGGTTTTACAGTGTTTGTTGTTGTGGACTCTGAAGAAATGTGTTGAGGGGATTATTCTCTTGTATCTTGGACTTGAGATGCAGTGCCAGTTATTATAAGTTTTGAAGTTTTAACAGAATCAAGAGATTATATATAGTTTTGTTTTTATTAAAAACAGTTTTGCGATCAGAGCTACATTGTATTTGACTGAACGACGATATTGAGAGTTTTGTATAACTATTATGCATGATCTAGAAGTTTGTATTACTATTCCAAAAATGATTAACTTTCAGCCAAAATAACCAAACATAAATATGCGAAATATCACATTATGATTCAAGTGTCAAGTTTCAATGTTATAGACTATCTCTAAAGTCGAAATGTTCATCATGTACGTACTATGCTATGTAGTAAATGTATTAGACAATTCCTTCAGTCGCTGTTCAATTCATTAAACTCCGCTACCACCATTATACAATGGCCATGATATTCCTAACACTATGAACAGACAATCTTTAGAGTGCCCACAGTTCATAGAAAACCGCGAGGGTTATTTGATTAAAAATCTGAAGACCAATAAAGGCCCCCTAAAATAGGTGTAATGTGGCTGAACAGTGTACACTACTACTTCATACAAAATGTACATTATAATACTACCTCCTTTTGAGCTGTGCCTCACCAGACATTCCGTGTGATCTTACAATTTAAAAGGTAGGAGTTGACTAAAAGTTTAGGGGAGGTTCATCGCTATTTTTGACATTATGCACTTTTTGAGATTTTCAAGAAGCTGAAAATGACGAAACATTTTTTTGCCATTTCGGTAAAAATCATGATTTTCAGGATAAGTGGTGATTGATCTCTCGAACCTGTTAAGTTGGTAGTTCAAATTCCGATATATTTCAAATAGTTGAATAGCAACCAGAGTCAATAATTCCACTTTACGCAGTGGCGTAATATAAAACTGTACTGTGCTTTCCTTTTTGCTGAGTATAAAATACCGCACTTTAACAGGAAATTGCCGCACATCTTGAAGAATGTCAAGAGATGACAACTATAATTTTTGCTCTCATCCTTTTCGCATGATTAAACTATTAAAGGTCCATTCGCCTTCGAATTTTAAAATTAAATATCCCACACAAAACCTTTTGTTTGCGATGTTTTTCGACTTAGCATTTATCTGGGTATGGAGAACTAAGATGATTAAGATTCCACTACTCCCCAACAAGACACAAAGAACAGTAGAACTGTAGTATACAGCCTAGGGGATAGGGCCACACATTTGAACCGGTGAACAGTACGTAAGTTTTATTAAAATAGAGCTATTTGTAAAACCAACTGTGTTGGCAGTAATAGTATACATACTGTGAAGGATGTAAAGATAATGGAAACTATTTACTAAATGTACAAAAGTGGAGGGAGGCGGTGAGGCGGCCCAGACATGATGTTGAATGTATAGGTAGCAACCAGCAGCATTCTATAGTAGCAGTGTTATATTATATAGTAGTATTATATAGTAGTATTGTTATATAGTAGTATTATATAGTAGTATTGTTATATAGTAGTATTATATAGTAGTATTGTATACTAGGATACTATGTGGTAACTTATTATTATATTATGGTAGTATTATTTACTATCTAGTATTATATTGTAGTAACTAATAAAATAGTAGTATAGTATATTATACAGTAGAATTAAATATATTAGCACAATGAGGGTTACTTTGTGTGTCTGTCCGCTACAACAACAACAATTATTGGTCCATTTTACTGTTGTCATGAGACCGCTGTTAGTGAGGGTAACAGTAACAGTAACTATCAAGACAACAATATTAGATGATGTTTTATGGGTCTAAGTTCTGTTTATTTTTTAGGGGTTATTTTTGAATAAAATTGTTATCACATTTTCTCTTCGAACGATAAGTAGTTGAAACAGAACTAAGCTCGCTGAATCTGATGTAGAGTTTTTCTGAGCTGTGACACAACAACAAAAAATTGCTTGAGTAGATGACGTCACGACTGAAAAACACCACGTGACACACCACGTGACACGTGACACACCACGTGACACATTTATCAGTACTGATCACTCACTTGTTGATTGAAGTGTTTCTGGTAGACAGCCTTACTCCACTCGACTTGATTCGTTTGCTTATCCGCTGAAAGGACACGCGCTAATTAGAGTTTTGTAGTCTGAGTTTCAGGAAATGTTGAATAATATGGAGAGGCAGTGATATCATTCTTATAAGTGGTGGTATTCTCCTAAAAAAGGTGGTGATATTATCTAAAAAAGGTGGTGAATGGTGATGTTATCTGAAAAGATAGCGTGATATAATGATAATAAGTGCTGATAACGCCTGGAGGATGTTTACACCTTTATTTTTCAGAGAATCGAGTCAACAGGGCGAAGTGACGATATCTATCAAAGTGATAAAAATATATATCACTATTTCCTATCGCTGATAACTATCTCAATATTTAATATAATGTAACACTGAATGATAAAATCTAAGTGTTAGCCAAATTAGGTGAAAGGTCTATCATAACAATTTGTCAACAATTTCAGTAAAAATCGCTCCTATTCTAATTCTAATTTTCATAACGGCTCACAACCAACATGTGTGTAAAATCTAATTTTCCAGAATCTGTCAAACAAAAACAGGGAAAAAACAATCGTCATTATGACTGGAAATAATATTTCGGCGTAACGTTATCTCGGGTACTCACGTATTGAGTGATTTGTGTGAGGGTTGTTCCCGCGTCGAACACTTCATCCAGCGGCTTGTCAAACACTGAAAAACATACCACGTGACTGACACGACCATATAAGGAGGTAAATAATTTAAGACCGGTCACGTGATAATTATTGAAAATGGATTGCACCATGTGAAGATAGTGGTACTAAGTAGGTTGCAAATTAGTGTTGAAGAGGAGTTTGAGCTCGTTTTACCATCTGTCGTATATTTATAATTATTGTATGTATGATGATAATTCTAATTTTAGCCCGGGCGCAACAAAGCACAGCAAAGGTAGCTGTTGTTGGGTTGTTCTATAGCATATAATAATATATTTAAATGTGGTCATTGATCAGGAGTGCTGTGCTTTAGTATCTTTACATAAGTTTGGAACAAAGGGAAAGCTATTTAAGACTTTGATAAGATGTTGTGTTATATTAATTAAGGACTTATTCCGCTGTTGTGGCCGACAATATCTTTTTCAACTCAAGTTATATCGTATAATAGTTCAGATATATGTATGCCGTATGGTCATTATTTGATATCACTTAAAATGGGCACATGTAAAATGTATCATAATATGGCATACTTCGTAGCTTTTAACAAACAGAAAACATGCTTACTAGCCTCACCCAATTAATAAAAGGTTGAAAACAGTTATGTTGGAAAAACAGTAAGACCCTACAGTTAAAAAACAGTAGGGTTTATAAATGCCCCAATAAACACATCATAAAATAACGTACACATTATTGAACTTTTGGATGTTTACAATACACAGGAGCACAGGGGGAAGATAAAACACTTTCACAACAAGGTCATATAATCACAGTTACAAAACCGAAAGCTTAGCATTATTTTACAACAGTTACCATGGCAACTGCAGTTACCATAACAACTGCAGGTACCATAACAACCACAGTTACCATAGCAACCACAGTCACCATAGCAACCACAGTCACCATAGCAACCATAGTTACCATAGCAATTAGCAACCATATTCGCCATGTAGCCAAAATTTGCCATAGCTATATCAATCACAAATGCTATAGCAACCGGAATTACTTTAATTGTAGCAACCTAAGTTACTAATAGTAACCACAGCAACCATAGTGATCAGCCAAGATCAATTCACTTAGCAAAAGTTACCTTGATTTTACACTGGTTGATTGCAGAAAACCTGAAAGTTCTTCATAATTACAGATACTTTATTATAATTACAGATACTTTATGTTATATATTATTATAGACCAACATACAGTTGAATCGCACTTGAAAGATTATATACCGAGAATTAAGACACCCAGTACTAACTAAAAACACCATACATTCAGTTCGTGTGTTACTCCACTCATAATGGTATTGGAACCTGAGTATTCTCTTTTTTCAGGAATCTTTGTCTTGAAAAGTGTTTGTTTCTCAGAAGTAAGTGTTCCTTTCGTGTAAGTCTGCTCTCTTTTTTGAGAAGTTAGCGTTCAGTTTTTTAGATAAAAGATAAAATATTCTTCAACCTCGCCACGAGACTTTGTGTTATACCGCGCCAACTAATCATGTATAATACCGAATATATTATGCCCACGACACTAAATCGAGCATGTATATTATCTGATATGGTTCTGTTAATATCTGAGAGCTATAATTACAACAGTATTTATAGGTAGCGATAACGGCAGTTATTATAACATACATATTATAGCATGACGGACGTCAGTCGCGTTGATCAATGGGCCTAGTTGTGGCGGCTCGATTCTAAAAATAAATACAGTCGGAGTAGTAGATTACTGGGTCCAGTGGTTAGTTATACCGCGCCAGATGGGCCCTTGCCAAACATTGACCTCTCTCTCTCTCTCTCTCTCTCTCTCTGGGCCCCGCACATCAGCCCCGTATTAACATGTTAAAGGCGTGGCGGCAGCACTGGAGCCTGTACCTCAGCCACTGCGTTATTAAAGGGCAAGGTTTAACAATATATAGTACAATTTTAACCATATATGGTATAATTGGGCTCTCATTGACTGAGAGAGAGAGAGGCAGCTCGCGGTGACTCGCTGTGTAGCATCTCACCTGGCACTCTCAGAGTCTCAGCTACACCCACCATCACACTGACTGTGGCCCAGTAACTGGTGGGGTCTACCCTGCTACTAGTAACTGGTGGGGTCTACCCTGCTACCAGTAACTGGTGGGGTCTACCCTGCTACCAGTAACTGGTGGGGTCTACCCTGCTACCAGTAACTGGTGGGGTATACCCTGCTACCAGTAACTGGTGGGGTCTACCCTGCTACCAGTAACTGGTGGGGTCTACCCTGCTACCAGTAACTGGTGGGGTCTACCCTGCTACCAGTAACTGGTGGGGTCTACCCTGCTACCAGTAACTGGTGGGGTATACCCTGCTACCAGTAACTGGTGGGGTCTACCCTGCTACCAGTAACTGGTGGGGTCTACCCTGCTACCAGTAACCTGGTGGGGTCTACCCTGCTACCAGTAAATAGTGGGGTCTACCCTGCTACCAGTAACTGGTGGGGTCTACCCTGCTACCAGTAACTGGTGGGGTCTACCCTGCTACCAGTAAATAGTGGGGTCTACCCTGCTACCAGTAACTGGTGGGGTCTACCCTGCTACCAGTAACTGGTGGGGTCTACCCTGCTACCAGTAACTGGTGGGGTCTACCCTGCTACCAGTAACTGGTGGGGTCTACCCTGCTACCAGTAACTGGTGGGGTCTACCCTGCTACTAGTAACTGGTGGGGTCTACCCTGCTACCAGTAACCTGGTGGGGTCTACCCTGCTACCAGTAAATAGTGGGGTCTACCCTGCTACCAGTAACTGGTGGGGTCTACCCTGCTACCAGTAACTGGTGGGGTCTACCCTGCTACCAGTAACTGGTGGGGTCTACCCTGCTACCAGTAACTGGTGGGGTCTACCCTGCTACCAGTAACTGGTGGGGTCTACCCTGCTACCAGTAACTGGTGGGGTCTACCCTGCTACTAGTAACTGGTGGGGTCTACCCTGCTACTAGTAACTGGTGGGGTCTACCCTGCTACCAGTAACTGGTGGGGTCTACCCTGATCCCTTAACAGTAAGACACTTACAAAATTTCAGAGACCAACTTTTAACAAAGTTCTATATTTTAGAGGTCCTCAAGACCAAAACCAACCGTATATTTACAATTTACATCACATGTCACAACAGTGAACCGTAAAGCGTTCTATGGAGAACCAGTTTACACCATCCAATGGGTTAGTTGGTAAGTTTGACCATTACAATTAATTCATAGAATTCTATATCATTAATAACGCTATTTTATTAATAATGCTATTTTATTAATAGCGCTATTTTATTAATAATGCTATTTTATTAATAACGCTATGTATAATTAAAGCTGTATAATTATATTACTCAAGAGAGAGATGTATAGCTAGTTCGATATGGTGTGGTGTACGTGACGCTGGAGGATTTATCACTGTACAAGTCATAAGATTATTGCGTGACAACTGTAGAATAATTTAGTTAGGGTAAATAAAGATTTAGAAGTTCAACTGTCATGACTTAGGCGTTAATTCTGTCATCATTTAAATACTTAGAAATATATTAATGACCTGCATTTAGCATTACTAATTTTAGAAACAGGTTCTTCCTCGAGTACTCGACACAAAACGTTGGAAGTCAAGTTGTAAAGATGCCGATTAGTTTTAAAGATCAACACCAATTATATTAAATTTAGAGGGTAATACGCTCTCTTTTCAACGAAAGGACAAACTTACCGCTGAAGACAATCGGTGAGATATCCTGCTTGTCGTCAAGGAAACACATCACGTACTATAACCCACTGATATATCAACAGCTATAATCTACCCTCAGCTAGCCCAACCTATAGCTTATCTATTCATACTCAATTACGTATGCAGCACCAGCACTACAATGGTAACTACTGCATAATATAATAAGGCTACCTACTACCACTGTAAGACGACCTCTGTGCAGGTCTCTTATTTCAGGGACCTCTAATTATCACCCTCCTTACAACATCCTGAGATGTGTCCCAAATTCACACATTTCCACCAAGAAGCCAGCCAATAGACCGGTACTGGTTGGACAACCCTACAAGTATCTCCGCTCTAAACTATGTTGAATTAAACGAAGAACAACGGTCTGCCCGCCTCATTTGCGGCAAATTTTCGATATCTTTTAACATGTAGCTTGAAAGAGAAAGAGTGAGAGAGAGAGAGAGAGAGAGAGAGAGAGAGAGAGAGAGAGAGAGAGAGAGAGAGAGAGAGAGAGAGAGAAGAGAGAGAGAAGAGAGAGAGAAGAGAGAGAGAAAGAGAGAGAGAGACCAGTTAGAATATAACATGAGATCTAGAGTGGGATGGGTTCGTGTCGGAAATTATGTGTGGCTAAAAATAAGCGAGGTATTGTCAGTTGTTTGAGGTGATTTAAAGGGAAGGAGGCGATTCAGACAGATACTGTAATGTGCGAATTAAGAAAATATCAGGAAGGGCAAAGCCCCAAAACTTCTGCAAGAGATTTGACCAGCAGGACATTTAGTCACTAATTCAATACATCAAGGGTTTGTTTTGTTGTATATAGTACAGTGTATAAAAGTCTAGAATGGAAGTAGTTTGTATGATGATGAAACAGCCGGTAGGAACACAATCCGGTATAATACGGACACTTTTTGGAGGAGTACAAGGTTTCCAGCAGGCTGGTGACTTTAACCCCAGGTTACCGCACGTCATGTTGCCCGACAGGTCAAGGCACAATGATATTGTTCTGTGTATTATTCTAGTTTATATATTGCCTGACACCACCACCGGCACCAGTGTACAATTAACGGTTTTCTATATGTTGGTAGCAGTAGACGCCCTGTCAAATGTCACATGACATCCCCAAAATTGCCAATTTACACACTAGTAATTTGACTTTGAGTCTGGTTAAATTTGGGGGTACTTTGCGGTCGAACTTTTAATGAGCTCCACAAAATATAGACTTACAATCTAGACTCAATACAGCTATCTGGCAGGGAAATTATCATAATGCACACACACACACACACACACTTTGCACCAGGTAAATCATTAATATAAGTAGGGCGGAAGACGTTGGTACAAAAACCCCTAATAAAAAAAGCGTCAACTACCAACCTTCTTCACGGGTGTCTGTATCATTTTTACAATCGTCGTCCAACCTCACAACTGCACTGTTACTGACTGACTGTGCACTCTGAAAGAGACGGAGAAGATGAGAGTATGTTGAGCTGAGACGCGTGGCACGGTGCTTCACACTGATCTGTTCATCTTTACAAGAAATTGTTAGGGATGGGGTGGAGGGATGAAATTGCCATTATATTTTAACTCGGAGAACATTTAAAATGTTTGGCTAAAGGAGAAAAAAAAACCTGGTGTTTGTAAAAATTGTACTTATTGAAACTGTCTAATAGGTAACCTTAAAATTCTGTATCATCTACTATGTACATGAAGCCACACCGGCCAAAGTATGTCATAGTCATGCAGTGGGTTACTTCAAAACCATCTCTTTTTCTAATCTACGGGATTTACACTCTGCATGATCTAATGCAATGCCGATGGATCTGTTGATCAAAAATATTATGAAATCATAATATATTTAAAACGAAAATACTTTATTGACCTGTTCATCTTTAAGCACATAGAACTTCTTGAGATTGGGTTCGAGGACACAATATCTTCGATGCCACACTAGAGAGGATGGAGGGTAGCCACTTCCTAGTTCAACTGAAAATGTATAACAAACTAAATTAAAATGGAATTGAAATTAAGGTCAACTAAGTGTTGGATGATCGTTTTATTTATATATATATATATATATATATTATATTTACTGTTACAGACTGAACGAAATAAATACTGATCGATAAATCATAGTTAACCCTGTCTATTCATTGACTACTGATTACTTACAAGCAATGTACAGCCAGCCTTCAAGCCGCGCATCTAACTCCATTTCCAATTCTTCATCCTTCTATTGCTCCAGAATCATAGAAAATGACTAAAGAAAAGATATCATGTACATTACGAGACATATTTATGTTCGGCATAATTCCGGTGACTTAAATGATTTGGGAACGAAAATATGGGAATTTTTTCGAAAACTGCCACATTTCGTACCCCAAAATAACTCATGGTTTTTGGGAATTTTTTTCATCTCCTTATTTTACAAAAATGAAACCCAATATTTGAGAAAATTAAATACAAAGATCTTCTCTGATAAGCTGTTTCATCCTGTAAACAATTTTTTCGGATCCTTTGAAAGTTAGCCTCAACTTAACTTCAAATCCTCCAAACGGTTTAGGAAACTGATGGTGTCTGTAATCTTCCACTACCAATATAGTGGCCAATATAGTAGTGACAGAGCTTGCTTACTTTTAATCATAATGAAACCTGTCTAAAATCATTTTTAAAGCAATTCATGATCGAACACTAGTGTTCATTTGTTTGATGAATCATATTCAAACTTACTATATTGATAGTAAATCGATAAAGTCATAATTAAAGAAAATACGTGAAAAATAATTTGGGGAAATAATGACGATGACCTAAATTTGTCCGAAAATATGGTGTTTTTTCGAAAAACCATGGACTTTTGTACCATTTAAATATGTCTCGTAAGGTATTCAAGAATGATATTGAAGAATGATATGATTACATAATCTGGTAAACAAATAATTATGCAGTGTGTTACCTTTGAGACTTGCCTCTCTGACTTTAGCTCACCTTCTATGAATATATGTATGTGTCATTCATAAAAGTATTAAAATTAGGAAATACCAAAAAGTTAAATTCTTTTAAAAATAAAATAGCCTTTGAATGTTATTAATAGCATGGATATATTGTTGATGTAGAAGAATAACAACTAGAGGCCAAGAACTGAACCTAATACATGTATTTAAAATTTTATATTTGCATTGAGCTGTCAGATTTTTCTTTACTGGACACGGCCTGTCATTCCACCGCAGCTTCTATCTATCTATGTGTTTATGAATACTATCAGCCTTGGATCCCCATGTAAATTTGTCTGCGAGTTACATTATTCATTGATGCAATAAAAACTGACTACAAACAAATACTATTACCTTTTTGCTCTTGAAAATTGAGTGTTTTTGCTCTTGAAAATATTAGACACATTCAAAAAATTAATAATTAGCGTTATATTACAAAGTGGTAAACATCTTAATGGGTCACTGGCCGCTTCAGTATTATGCTACTACTCAGTTATGTAATATGTAACCTAATAATAACTAATCTACCCAAATTACCAGGCACATAATCACTAATCAGAATGGGGACCTTATACTAATCCCAAACAAGTATGGTATGCAGACGACTCTGCATTCTACAGGGCCAGGGGTAAAATCAAACAGCTTATAAAATAGCGGACAGACATAAAAAATCATGTCCCATTGCATGTGTGGATACTATACTACCGACACTCATCAACACTAATTTTGAAACCATAACATATTATATTACCAAAGTTAAAGCTGTAATACCAAATGGGTCAGATATTGAATCAGAAGAAAGCGTTGAAATTTTCGCAATAGTGGTAACCATCAGTTGGATCTGAGAGCAACTATTTTAGGTCTTCTTGATATAACTGCTATCGAACCACAGCAAGCTTATTTATCATTCATTTATGTAGGATACAAGGATACAAGGATACAAGGATACAAAAGTGATAATTATTTTATTAGGAAAACAAATTTTTAGGAAAACAAATTTAAATTTTGGTATTTATTAATAACAATCAAAACATATCATATCATAAAAATAAAGCCGCGCGTTGGTTGACTGCCTCAGTAAGGTGAATAATTTAAGCTTGAAGGTGCCCTGCGCATTTACAGAACCTTATGCGGCGATCACATATTCACGAGGACCTGTGAGCGCCAAAATTAATTTAAAGTTTCTAGAAATCATACATCACTACGAGTTACTCATGCTTTTGGATTATAAGAGTGCGGATTGTCAGGTATTTCATTCATTCATACTTAATCGGTTTAAAGCTGTATATTTAGAACTCACTATTGTTTAAACTACGAAAGCAGAACGTAGATAATGGACAATATACCGACGACAATACCAAGGACCCGAGTGCCGCATTGACTTTTCCGGATCCGTTTTTACCGAAGGCTTATCCACCAGTTACTCATGCTGCATGTATAGTCTGATAATATTTTGTCTTATCTCTAGCAAGCATTCTGTAAATTGAAGTGTCGTATTTATTGAATTCACAATAGTTATAATTCTGAAATAATTTAAGGTTACACAATTCTAGTTATTTACAAATGTGTAGGGATAAAATAGAAATGTTTTATAATACTTATATTTTTCTATGAATAGATCGGATTTTTAGATTTCGATCTTATTTTGAGGTTCTATAGCATTATGCATTGGCCAGTATTTGAGTGGAAATCTCGGCTCTTATAATAGTTTTAATACTTTCAACACTACTATATAACAAATAATTTGAGGTATGTGACATGTACGCAAACAAGTAGTGGGACCGTAGATAAGACAATACGAAAACTCAGACCAGATAACGCCTCAATACCTGACACTGAAGATCTCCTTCTTCTCGTCTTCCCAAATATACAAAGGGAGTCCGACCCATAAGTCGGAACCTCTCCGGTTGGTTCAAACTTTTTCGATTTTGATCCAGTCTTTGGCCCAACCTCCTTACTACTATCTAATTAGCTTGGATTTGGTTTTGGTATCTTCATCCTCTTTGGTACTGTGCCAGGCGAAACTATTATTTCCTTGACTAATGTCTCAACCCCCCAGATTGACAAGATACACCGTAAACTTCAGCTGATTGCCCCACAGGACTACGACTTGGACGGCAGGATCGAACTATTGAAGTCCAGCGTAATTTACAACAACGGGCTAAGTGAATACAATGAATCTGACATACAGGTGATATTCAAAAATGGTGATTTTGTGGATTTTAAAACAAAAGATGACAGTTTTGAAGGGCTGTTTCCAAAAAACAAGTCTGGCAAAGTGTTATATCCATGCCAAGTATGTGCTGGGGAAGTCACAGACAAAAGTGATTCCAGTGGATCGGGAATTGAATGTGATGGTTGTAACATGTATTTTCACAACCAATGCTCTAGCAGACCCCTTACTAAACCAGAATTTGATTTTATTACAAAGTCCCCTGGCTATGTCAAGGTTCTATGTCCACCCTGCAATAGAGTATATGGCAGTGCTGCCCTCAAGCTAAGGCGAATTGAAAAGAAGGTTACCAAGACGGCAAATACAATTAATCTCATGTCAGATCAGGTAGAGGACCTTGTTAGTATTGCCAGTAAACCATCCTATAGTGGAGTGACCAGTAAAGCAAGTAATGCGAATCACCATCGAAGTGCTTTGCTTCCTACAAACTTGGTTGAGAGTCTCCACACAATGACTAAATCTACTAGGGATAGCCAGAATGCAGATAAGCTTAAACGGATAAGAGTGGCAGTCAGACCAGGTGACACTAACATCCGCACCAGTCGTGATATCAGGAAAGAGTTCAACAAACACCACAAAGGCTTAGTCATTAAACACTGTCGCCTAACAGCATCTGGTTCTATAACCTTTGAGTTTGAGGATGAGACCACTGCCAAGTCAGTTTATGATAACTGGTCTACTGAATTCTTTGGAGGAAATAAGGGCATGAAAATTCCGGGAGCTGACAACACCACTGGAATAGTCAAACACGTTTACGATGACCTATCTGAAGATCAGATGAAAGATGATATCATGAATAATTACTCAGAGGATATAGAGGGCTGCGAGTTCCTCAAGCGCAAAGGTGACAATTCATTCATGGGACTGATTAAAGTTGAATTCAAATCTAGAAACAGCCTGCTCAAAGTAATGGATGAAAAGATAAAATTCTGCAACCAGAGATACATTGTTGAGGAATACAAACGAAAATCAAGAGTAATAAAGTGCAATAAGTGTCAGGGCTGGGGCCATGTTCACAGGTACTGCAACAAATCTGCTAAGTGTGGGAAATGTGCAGGAAATCATGAGAGTCTTTCATGTGACATAACCACAGGATTCAAATGTGCACACTGCAACAAAGATCACAAAGCTGGCTCCTATGATTGTGAAGTATACAAGAATAAATTGGCTCAATTCTCAGTAGATCGTCAATATGACTAGCACTAGTTCCTGTTTAGATATGGGTAGAAGTAAAAATAATATCCTAGGAAAAATATGTACTATCAACATCTGTGGGCTCTCCCAGCGAAGCCACATGATGCTAAACAAATATGTGTTTGATAATGATATTATTCTCCTCTCAATCCAAGAAACTGGCAGAAACCAGGAATACAAGAAACTGGACAACATGAAAACTTACGAGGACACCAACAACCAGACCAACAAAGGCTGTGCTGTTATGGTTCGAAATGATGCAATGTTCACCCAATTCTGTGACATCTCTAAGTGTTCAAAGAACATTGATACTGTTTGGGGTATGCTGTGTTGGAGTGGAAAACGGTACATAATTGGTAATGTCTATCTGAAACTGGACTATCTATCCGGTGTGAAGGAATTTAATGGAATGCTTGACAAAGCCTATAATCTTGCCAAGAAACACCAGTGCTCAGGAATTATTACCATGGGGGACTTTAATGCTCGCCACATTATCTGGAATGACTCAGTCAATAACAAATATGGTAAGTGCCTTGAGGAATGTCTAGACTGGTCAAAGTTTAGTGTTCATGCTCCTTCATCTAGGACCTTTTTATCAAAAAATGGTAGCAGCCTCATTGATTTCTTCATTACATCGAATGACCTAGACTACAATCTGGGCACTCCTTTCACTGATGACAAAGCCATTCTGTACAGTGGAGCCCCAGTAAGGGGTCATGTTCCTGTGACAATAACTATCAACCCCAGATGTCCCAGAGATGCCAAAAAATCGGAAAAGAAACTGGATCTATCCTCCATGAACTGGGACGACTGGACTAGTGATATAGAACAGACACTTTCTGCAGAAGCAATCGAATCCTTAGCTTTTGACAACAGTATTGACAACTTATGGAAGCTAATTGAAGATACAATAAATGAAGCTACAAAAGCAAACTGCTCACTAAAGCTGGTAACAAAACACAGTAAGCCCTATTGGACAAAAGAGCTGTCATCTAAATCAAAAGAACTAAGGGATGCGCTTGGAACCTACCTGACCAGAAACACAGATGAAGCCTTTGAGAGGTTTCAAGCAGCAAAAGAAATCTTTGAGGAAACAAGGAAACAAGCATGTCAGCAGTTTATAGTGAACAAGACCCAAAATCTAAATGTAGCTCAAGCAAACAAATTCTGGAAAGACTTCAACAGACTTTTTAAGCCTCCAACTGACCAACAAGTGGAAGCTCTGGTTAATGAGGATGGGACAGTCATGACAGAGAATAAAGAAATAGAAAAAGAGTTGTTTGAGACATTCTTCATGGGTAAGCACATTGTAGAAAACATAGATAAATTTGATCAGAACTTCTATAATGAAACCAACAAACTATACTCAGAAATCAAAGAGGATGGATTTCAGCCATTTGCTGATTCCATGGATAACTTTCAACACAGCTCAAAGCTTTACTGCCCAGTTACACACGGGGAAATCCTTGGTATAATTAAGGGAAATAAATCCACAGCAGGAAGTTTCGACAACTGCCAAGTTCATCCATCTATGCTCAAACACCTTGGTCCAAACGCATTGCATGCCCTGAGTATACTTTTTAGCCTCTGCCTGAGAAATGGAAAATGGGTTTGGAATGCATCTAACATAATATTTCTGAAAAAAGAAGGAAAGAGCAGTTATGCAAAGCCTGGTTCTTACAGACCAATCTCAATCTCTTCATATTTAGGCAAACTCTTTGAACGGATTCTTGCATGCCGGCTGGAAACATATCTTTTCACTATCGGACTCATTGATAGCAACCAAGAAGGCTTCTCAAAAGGTAGAAACACTATAAGGTATCTGCACAGGCTAACAGCTGGAATTAAAGGAGACATGATGAAAAAACTGACCGTTCTCTGCCTATTCATTGACTTCGAAAAAGCATTTGACTCGGTGTGGAAACAAGGCCTGATAGTGAAACTATGGAAGGTTGGTGTGCATGGATGCTACCTAAGAACAATTGATAGTTTCCTCTTTGGGAGGACGGTAAGCCTCCTCCTAAATGGTTTCATTGGTCCTGTTAGGATGTGCCTCGATTATGGGCTGCCACAAGGCTCTGTTCTGTCACCAATCCTCTTCAAATTTTATGTGTTCGACATGGAGACCCTGTGTCAACTGTATGAGCAGATTCAGGCCTTCAAATTTGCAGATGATGGAACCATCAAAGTGACTGGAAAAGATCTTGAAGAATGTCTCTTTTACCTAGAGCTGGCGATGGGATTCATAGGGGAATGGACTTCTCAATGGAGGATGGTCATAAACTGTAATGTGAATAAAACAGAAGTTATATGTTTCCAATGCCAAGATGCTTCAGCTGTTCCTAAATCCTTTGATCTATGTGGAAACACCATTTATCTCACAGACAGCAGCAAAGTACTTGGTATAACACTTGACAGTAAGTTGAACTTCAAGCAGCACAGCCAGGATGTATACAACAAGCTAATCTACCGCTGGGTTTGTCTGAGCAGGTATACAAACCGTAACTGGGGGATGAACCAAAAGGTCCTAGTGAGGTTGGCCAAAACTGTGATGTTTTCCTCCCTCTTCTATGGCTCGTTTATCTGGCAAACTAATGCCAACATGCTGGAACTGAACAAACTTTGGTACAAGGTTGCAAAATCTGCTGTGGGAGCAGTCTTCAATGTTCAAAATGCCATACTAGAGGTCATCTTGGGAATACCCCCACTCCGGGTTACAAACAGAATAATATCGGTGAAGCACTACCTGAAGGTATTCAGTAGTATACATATCGATGTACACCATGACTTCATATGCAGAGAGATAGAATCCGGAAACACAAAAATTCTGGGCCAGATGCGGGATGTGCTGAAATTTCTAAAGTGGAAGGTTGAAGTACATGCTGACTCTGTTCTGCCAGGTGATGCAATAATAATTGGACTGAATGATGCCTCGAAATTGTTCGAGCTCTCTAGGAAAGCCTGCCATTACACCAAGGTCTCTATCAAACAATTCACTGAATTCGTATGGCAGGAATCTATTAAGAACCAGTTACAAATGGAGGGCTGGTCTCAAATTCCCGTGGTGTCTACCACCCCCCTGAAGTTCCCTTATCATACTAGCAGAGAAACTGAGGTTCTAGTCATGAGCTTGTTTTACAAAAACAATCTTCTAAACTCATTTCTTTTTGTCCTTGACAGACTGAAATGGCCATCTCCCTATTGCTCCTGTGGTCATGAAGAACAAACTGCAATTCATATACTGACTAGTTGTGGTCATGTTGACGAAGACCTTAGGGACCAAGCCTCATATCTTCTCAGTATTGGTAACGAGGTCTCCAATCTGGAAGATCTGGGTACTCCACACTTGGCGATCCTAAACTGCTCCAGAGATCCAAAGTTCATCCAAATCTGCAGTGAATGTGTGAATAATGATGACCTCAAGCTAAGAAGGAAGATCTGTATTTCTACAGGGCCCACCCACGCCTAGCTGGGGAGTCTAGTCCCTACACTAGACGGCCAATGCTCTATCCATTGGTATGTACGCGGCCTTACCCAGGCCTGTAATAAATGGGGAGTCCCTCTTAGGACGACCAGTGCTAGACACTGTTTACTACTGACTGAATGGAAACCTACTTTACTCTTCGGATTGGTAGAACCTGTCTGGTTACATGAACATTGGAGCTAGTTTTATATTAACTCACATGATATTATTGTCGACTTAGACTGCTTGGATGTATCACATCTCAACCATTGTTGGGTGTGTTACTTTGTTTTGGGCTGAACACTTTTAAGCTTTATTGATTTGATCTATAAAATTGCATCTCCATTGATGTTTATGTAACTCAAAAAACTTTTTCTACCAAAAACGTTTTTGATCGGGAATCGTCTTTAAATTATTTTGGGGAATATTTTGACTTGATATAACGACGTCGTCGTAATGACACAAGTGACTGATCAACCACCTTATTTGATAGTGTTTTAAAAAATAAAGTATTTATATTTTTAACTTGGGGTGTAAATATTTTTAGGGTTTTTATTTTTTAAATTTCAGATCTTTCATACTATTTGTTACTAAAATGCTCATTGTAGCCTATAATATTTAGATTTTCATCATCATAATAGTAGGCTGTAAAATGTTCGTTCACAAAGCTAAAGAGAATTGAATGGATTGCTCTTGCTGTGGCAGTAAATTTTGTAGGGTCTAGTGTTTTATCGGATGGCAAACCGGCTAGGTCAGTAATATTTTTGGGGTGGAAGTTAAATTTTTCTCTAACTGAGGAGTAGAGTAAACAGTCAGTTAGAACATGAATTTCTTCCTCAATAGGCTTAATATATAAGCCCCTTGCTGAAAAAGCAGAAAGTACACCATCGATGTTTTCTTGATACTTGTAGGTTTACAACCTACCAGGACGCGCGCCTTGATTGACGATGTCAATCTGTCGAGATCGTTGCTCTGCGAAGGAGAGCAACGATCGAAGAAACGATCGGAGCAAGAATGCTAGTTCGCGCGGCGCGTCGAAGCGGCGAAGTCCTCCAACGCGCGCCGAGTTGGACTTGTCGACGGTCCAATATATGGAACAGATATTTTACAAGTATCACCCGTTAACTTGGTACTGTAGGGGGGTTTCGTAACGGCCCCTCTAAATCTTAAGATGTATGAATGGGACTTCCAAAAGGTAAAATTTATGCCATACATGTTATAGCGAGATGAACCACTGGACCTCGCCGAGCTGCGAAGGATTGACATTCCAATGTTCAGGCAGCTACCACGTGACACAATTCAGCCAACCAGAGTACCAAGTACAGGAATCCGCAAAGTTAAAGTTGCAAACTTTTGATCGGCCCGAAAGGGGACTTTTCTGGAAATTTTGAGATAACTCAACAATTACGTTGTCTTGAATTTTCCTCCTGGAGAGGCCAGGTAACGTTATTTATATTTTTAAAAGAGGAACATGTTACAAAAAACCGAAAGTCTCCAACTCTTTTACTTTCAAAGTTAAGCCCCATCCGGTCAGGGTTCCTGG